TTTTTTTTTCCCCCTTTTATTGTCATTGATATATACAGCTTTCTTGCAGATACCCACAGATTTGCATCCTGCGACAAAAAAATCTTCTCTGGAGACTGTGCTTACGGTATTGTTACTTTAAGTAGAACAACTGCTATTACTTGCCATTATCATATTGATCATGCGATTTTATCTGCCGTGCTTGTTATTCGTGCAGGTTCTACATGCAGGTGGCAAGTTTGGTGGCACGAGTAGTGGCTACAGTGTATCTGGTGGACTACATGGTGTTGGTTTATCAGTTGTTAATGCTTTGTCTGAGGTGTGTACTAATCTGTACTCACATTTCTTTTGGGAATAACTTATTATTCTATTTACCGCCGTAATTTGTGAAACCAGTTTGGGATTGTTACGAGGAAAACTAACTTCCTTGACCTCTTGGTTTGCAGGCCTTGGAGGTTACAGTTTGGAGAGATGGGATGGAGCATAAGCAAAAATATTCTCGTGGAAAGCCCATAACTACACTTACATGCCGTGTCCTCCCGCTAGAGTCAACGACTAAAGGGACGAGCATCAGGTTTTGGCCCGACAAAGAAGGTTTTACCTATTTTCCACTTGTTACTACCTTACATTCGCCATAACTGGTTTGATGATTAAATTTTCTTCTTATGGAATAAACTATTTTACAGTATTTACAACGGCAATTGAGTTTGACCATAACACCATTGCTGGAAGAATTAGGGAGCTTGCATTTTTGAATCCAAAGGTGATAATACTTTACTTTAATGGAGCTTGGTCAATCATGACAACTTTTCATTGACATGAGAATTCACTGTGGTTTACTTCATGGAGCATTCCGCTAGCTGCTGTTGTATGATTCTTTTTTCATAACAAATTGATCTATTTTTATGTTTGCAGGTTACCATCTCACTTAAAAAAGAGGATGATGATCTTGAAAAGAACCAATATACTGAATATTATTTTGCTGGAGGATTAAATGAATATGTTAGCTGGCTAAATACTGATAAGGTGAGATTCTACACATCAAAATCACGTTTGGTGTAATGAACTTCTGAAGCATATCAAATTCTTTGTTTAAGTAAGCTAAGATGACTAGAATTTTGTCAAGGTTATGTGAAACAATATGCGATGCATCTGCTGTGGTTTCAATGAATGTCTTCTCTGCTAACTTAAGCGAGCAAGATTGTTGAGTACCACTCTTATATTTGTTGATTACTATCAAGGGATCTTACCAAAAATGGACTATTATGAACTTAATTTATACAGAAGTGAACTCGTAGCATTATTTTTCCATATATCATAAATTGCTATACTACTATCTTATTCCTACCTTTACATAAAAAGATTAGCTGACACTTCTTTTGTTTAGAATCCCATTCATGACGTGCTGGGTTTCAGGAAAGAGATAAATGGTGCCACTGTGGACGTTGCCCTTCAATGGTATGTTGTTTTTTTACTAATTACATGATTATCCAACTCGTACTCTGTACAGGGTAATCTGTCTGCATGTATTGTGGTTTTACTCTTACCTGTAAATTGGATCATAAGTGGTAATACTTTGTTCATGTTATTCACAACATGCTGTGGTTTGTTCTACCCATGAAAACACATATTTTATATGACTATTTTAGATTGATATATGCTTATAGGCTTGGGACATTTTTGTACCAGGTGTTCAGATGCATATTCAGACACAATGCTAGGATATGCCAATAGCATTCGCACTATTGATGGTGGAACACACATCGAAGGTGTGAAAGCTTCATTAACCAGGACTCTTAATATCCTTGCAAAAAAGTCAAAGGCTGTAAAGGTACGAGATTTTTAACCAGCTTAGCTTATGTGCCTAAATTTATCTTCATTTTAAAAAAGTTTCGACCCTTTAATCCATCATCTTTTATCCTCTCATTTTTTATGAAAATCTCATGGGCTTTTCCAAGTACTGGTTTACCGATCATAGCTTGGTTGAAAGAGCCCTCTTAGATGTAGGTAGAAAACTATATTGTCTATTTGCGAACTGGGCTGAATTTTAACACCTGTACATATACAGTGTACACTACAGGCTCCGCTGTTATACATTCTTAGTTCCTACCTGCTTTGACATATACAATGAACAATGTACTTCCTTAACTTTTTTTTTTAGTATGTTTAAAAAAAATTATTTTTGTTGGCTGTGGTTTCAGGAGAAGGATATTAGTTTAAGTGGGGAACATGTTAGAGAGGGATTGACCTGTATCGTCTCAGTCAAGGTTCCTAATCCTGAGTTTGAAGGTCAAACAAAGGTACGTGAACCCATAATAATTGCCTCTTTCTTGATGATCTCTGGTCAGCATGAAGATTCTTTTTCTGTCTCATTTTTTAAAATTTACCCAAGTAATATAAGTTGTCTCCTAATCCTCCTTTGTCCATTCCCCTTACAGACAAGATTAGGGAATCCAGAGGTGAGGAAAATTGTTGACCAATCAGTTCAGGAGTATCTCACGGAGTTTTTGGAATTGCATCCAGATGTACTTGACAGCATTGTTTCCAAATCCCTTAATGCTTACAAGGTATGCTTTTGATGCACATAAGTACATAACAATACTTCTGCTTCGTCATCTACAAGCATGCACCAAATGTATGTTTTAATCCACAAGGACGTTGACAGCAGTCTGTAATTAGCTAGATTTATTTGATTTAGCATATTGCTTTCTACGTCCTTCATGTTATTTATCCCCTGCTATGTTTAATATAAATGTATTAGTTGCTATCTTTTAACCAAATTATTATGAAAATCTGCCTCACCATCTTTTCTCTCTACAGGCTGCTTTGGCTGCCAAAAGGGCAAGGGAGCTGGTCAGGTCGAAGAGCGTTTTGAAGTCATCATCACTTCCTGGGAAACTGGCTGATTGCTCATCTACAGATCCTGAAGAATCTGGTATGTATTGGCCAGCATAAAAATGTCGTTTATCTTATTGATTAAAGCTAAACATGACAGAAAGTATCTGATCATCTTATATTTCAAGTGAGAAAAATATTTGTATGCTTTAATTAGTTGCTACAATAATTATGAAAGACCCATGCTAATTCGGTCAAGTAGTGACATCCCTTTTGCAATCTCTTCAGAGATTTTTATAGTCGAAGGAGATTCTGCTGGTGGCAGTGCGAAACAGGGCCGTGACAGACGTTTTCAGGTAATCATATCTACCTCTATTGCATCGTGTCACTATCCGATAAGAAAGATGGTTATGGGTTTTGATTGTTGATCCATCCTTAAGAGATCCTACATTTGATTTCCAATTTCCAAAAAAAAATAGTAGGACTAGACTAATCAATGCTAGGAGTTTTCTCTAAACCATTCAAAGACATTGTATCTTCTGTGAAATTGGAGAATTTGTACAGCTTGAAAGGCAATTCTTCCTTTGAAAGATAATGTAACAGGTTTTGGATTTTGTAGGCAATTCTTCCTTTGAGAGGTAAAATTTTGAACATTGAAAGAAAGGATGAAGCAGCCATGTATAAGAATGAAGAAATTCAAAATCTAATTCTTGGCCTTGGCCTTGGTGTGAAGGTGATACCTCCCTTTTGGCCTTTTCCCATCTCTTGTTTCTCCTTTTCTCTACATTTTTGAGGTATGGAAAACTCAATACAATAAATAACTGGTTTCAGGGAGAAGAATTTAAGAAAGAAAATTTACGGTACCATAAGATAATCATCTTAACAGATGCCGATGTTGATGGTGCTCATATACGGACACTTCTGTTGACCTTTTTCTTCAGATATCAGGTATTAGTTTAGGATTTTTTTAAATGTCCCCTAAATAGATTGCAGCGTTTATTTCATTGTACATTTGACTTAGTATATCTTTTTTGCAGAGAGCCTTGTTCGACGCGGGTTGCATTTATGTCGGCGTTCCACCTCTATTCAAGGTAGATTTTAGATTTTATGATCTTCAGACCTTGGGTGCTTCAGATTTAGGAATGTCTAACAAAAACTGTTTTACTATGAAAATGATCAGGTTGAAAGGGGGAAACATGCTCAATATTGCTATGATGACGCAGACCTTAAAAAGATAACTGCCAACTTTCCTGCAAACGCGTCCTATAACATTCAAAGGTTCAAAGGTAAATATTTTAACAAAAATATGAGCTTTGCGATCTACATTGTCTGGCTTCTCACATAATATGAGTATATCAGAGGCACTTGTAGTACTTGTTTGGGATCCAATCATACACAAAATTCGAAAAAGTGAATCTGGCTTACTTTCTCATGGTTAAGAACTAGGTAGACTGCGTCTTTACAGAACCGAAACTAGAGTTTACTTCCTGATTCTGTTCACCCCTTATATATTCTAGTGTCCAATACCAGAAAGTATATCAAGAGGAACATGGTAAACTTAGCAAACGTGCACTGTTTCGTTTTCTGATATTGCAGGTTTGGGAGAGATGATGCCTGAGCAGCTTTGGGAAACAACAATGAATCCAGAAACAAGGATATTGAAGCAACTAGTTGTTGAGGATATAGCAGAAGCAAACATGACATTTTCATCACTTATGGGTGCTCGGGTAAGTCTGCAGATTGCCAACTTCATTGATTTTTTCTTAAAGGGTAGACATTCTCAAGATTAAATGCAATTTGATTGATCTTCTACCGGTTTTAAATTTAAGGTCGATGTCCGGAAAGAACTCATAAAAAATGCAGCAACAAGGATCAATCTGCAGCGTCTTGACATATAACTGGAAACCACTTGAGATTGGTCGCTAAATATTTCTTCATAAGGAACACTAGATTGTATTTGGTCGGAGAGTCATTAGATTATATTGGTCAGTGAGAGACTAAGAGGCCAATATCATGCATGTTTTGGTTCCTCCACTGGCCTAGCAAAAGTAATCACTGTTACAATTGTGGCTATCTTCTCGGTTCAAAAGTTTAAATGGTATTTCAAAATGCATTATCTGGTAAGCGTTCTCTGTTGTAACGTTTTTTTTTTTTTTTTTTCCTATTTTGTCTTAAAATTTAACCAAATTTTTAATTTGTATCCCAGAAGAGAAAAGCTTATTATTACTGAAGACCCTTAAATCGAGATCTTGTAAATGATCGATTACTACAAAATACGTGACAGGAACTGATCCACAAGAACTTCGACTTAAAAAAAATAACAATCACACAGAAACAACAGATATAGAGATAGAATATGTATGATAGATCTCGCGATCGATAGAGGTAAGATATGAGTGTATAGATGATGAGGAAGGTTCTCTAGACCTTGGCGTCTCCATCAAATCCACGTTGAAGAAATCCAACGGATGAGAGATGTGAAACATCACTCCACGAATCGATGGACCACTTCTGGTCACGGAGGTGAACAACATTCACTGACGCATTTAGGAGTTTTCCGGCAGAGGAAGCTTGCGTAATGCTCAAGTAGATTGCCCTCAACACTCCTCCATGAGTCACCACTATCACTCTCTCTCCTTCAATCCCACACCATGCAACGTTATTATTTTTTTTACAATTTCATAACGTATGTGTTATCAGCCAATATCGAATTGAATGTGTAGATGTATACCTTTGTGCTTCTTTGCAATTTGCTCAAGAGCATTCATGGATCTCTCACAAAGCTGGTCGAAGCTCTCTCCTCCTCCCTTTGGATTATATGAATCACAGATTAATTTATATAGTAACATAAATGAATAATAGATAGTCGTAATATATGGATTATTAATCAAATCTTACAGGAATCTCGAGGTCATTCTGAGAGGAGAAAAAAGCAGAGTAGGCTTCAGGTTCTTTCTCAGCTCCTTCTGTCCAATACAGCCCTAGGAGACTACCCACGTGCCTCTCCTTCAAATCAGGCACTTCAGTCACCTGTTTACCATTACATATCATGATTTTTCTGCTTGCTTGGTATTATATAGATAAGAGAGAGAGAGAGAGATGTTGTTTGTACTTTTACACACCTCTGAACAAAAACAAGTTTTGGCGATCATTAGAGCAGTGTCTTTGGCTCTTTTGAGGTCTGATGAATACACAGCTACGGGTCTCGCCTCTTTTCCCAATCTCTCAGCGATCTAATATTATTTGCATGAGTTAGTTACACGTATTTAATAGAATATATATAGGTAAAAAGAAAAGGCATGAAAATGAATTAGATCTTAACTGCAACAGCCTGCTTTTGTCCAACCTCGTTAAGCTCTGATTCAATTTGTCCCTGCATTTGGCAAACAATTTCAAGTAAATATGTTGTGTATATTTATACTATGTTTGTGTTTTGGATATAGAAAGATAGAAACCTGGATTCTTCCGGCAGCATTCCAAGTGGTTTCTCCATGGCGAACAAGAACAATCTCAGTCACTTCACTTTCAACTTTGACATCCTCACTCCATTTGAACTCCTGCTCTGCATTGATCCTACATTTATATATATATATAAAATTCGTTATTAATCACAGTATATATGATCTATCTATCATTAAACATATATAGGTAAGTAGAACAATAGATGTATTTGTATATATGTATTCTGAATCTCTCATCGAGTATTCATGATCCAAAACGTTAAAAAAAAAATGTATTGGTTATGGAGAAACTAGAATCTAAAACAATTATTGTTTTTGGTTGGAATTAATGATGCTAAGACAAAAATTAGTAACAAGAATATAATTTGAACTATAGTGATATATTTTAAGACGTGCAAAATATAAAAATAGCATGCATGATGCTTTGTATGAGGCGTAAAGGTTAGAAATATATGTAATGAATAGGAGAAATTAAAATTGGTGAACGTGTGGTTAATAGAAGAAAATACCATTCATGACCCATTTGTAGATGGAGAAATGAATGTGAAAGAAGATAAAAGGGATGAGAGAATAATAATATGTGATGAGAGAAAGAAGTGTTAGTTGCTATACTTGTGGGAAATATGGATTCTGGGGTTCTGCTTTTATAACCTTTTTTCCTCGACGGAAAAAAAAAAAACTTATTTTTAGCTAATCCCTTTTATAATATATTTGGTGGAAAATAATAAAAGATTGTGGCAGCTCATTGATTGATAATGTTGATCGTATATATATAATGTAATCTTAATTACTAAATTACATATATGATTTGTTCGGAAAAGGGCATTATAAAACCACGTGTTATGTCGATACTTCCAAGTCTCTTGGACATATATATTCCTCAGATCAGATTCTTCATCTTACTGTGGATCTTGGCCAAACAAAATAATTATTATAATAATGAAAACACGTATGGAGTCTCCTAAAAACGTAACTATCCCATGTTCGTCGTATATCATTATTGCTTGTCCAATTTAATCACAGAACCTGATGATGATTTTTAATCATGATTACATTAGTAAAAGAAACTAACGGTAAAAAAAAAATCAAAAATCTCTCTCTCTCTCTCTCTCTCTCTCTCTCTCTCTCTTTTTTTGTTAAAAGAAAGAATCTCTCCAGCTTGACACCTACGTAATATTAAAATAAGCAAATTATATACATGTAGAAATATTTTGTTCTAATAATAATAATGTTATGGATGTTACGACTTACGATCAGTATATTGTTTTTAAAGAACATGTTAAATCAATTAGTTCATTCCAAACTTCAGGTTGTAAAGGACGACATGATATTCATCTCTTTCTAAACATATATATATAATGTAGATTAATGCTTATTTATACTTGTGATACTTTGAATTACCTGTATAAACAAAACAATAATGTACCTAACCTTGATTCAATATGAGATTCATTTCCCCCATTCTACTCTCTCTCTCTCTCTCTCTCTTCTTCTACAATTTTCTCTCTCTAAACCAGTTCTTGATTCAATAATAATAGTATATAAAAGTGAATGATTTACTCGAAAAATCAATAATTTAACATAATTTATGTGAGTGGATACAAAAAAAACAGTGCACATGAGAGAGTTGATGGCAATGCTACACATAAAATTTAAAAATTAAAAAAAAAATCAATAGAAAAGGGAACTTAAAAACAGTTCACATGAGAAAAACGATCGGTGTTAAATTAGTATTACCATTTAGGTATAACTTGTGAATCGGTCGGCAGAGAAGAACGATCGGGTATTAATGATGATTCGGATCTATCAAATCAAACGTAATCAATCAAATTTTGTGGAATCAAAATATATTATAAGAACAAAGTTGCCAGAGAGAGTTTCCAATATTGTATGTGTGGCATTTTCATTATATGTGAGCAGTGCAGCCACGTGGGATAAGACAATTTGCCACCATTGTTGTTTATTACTTTTACTTATATATATTGTTTTATTTGATACCGAATACTCAACTAATTAGACCAATCAATTTTTCAGGATTCCTTTCATTTTCCTCGTTTCTTTTTATTTAACTACCCTTAATATATATAGTAATAATGCTCTCCAATCAATACTTTAAATTAATTAATACAAGAAGACAATTCAGATTCGAAATTATTATGCAACTGAAAGAGATCGCAATCATATTCAATTTGGACTATAACCCCATGTTTTCAAACCTTTTTCATATTAGTTTAGTATTTATAATGCTATTTTTATTATTCAAAAAATATAATGATGATATTTTATCTTAACACCTAATACCAACCAAATCGGTCGAAGAGAAGGGTGTGTGGATCGAGAGTATTTGAGATCTTACGTCGTTGGAGCTTAATTCCTTCGATCATGCTACTTTATGGTTCCTTCTATATCAAAACTGTAAAACTGACGATTGCTTCCTTAGACTACTACCATATATGTCCTCTCGGCATTGGAGACAACTCCCTAGCTAAGCAAATTCTAATATTATCTCCCACTAGCTAACTTGCTTGGCAATGGTCATGTTCATTTTCTTTTTGGCACCATCATTATACGATCTGTTGAAAATCCTCTCCACGTTTCTTTGGTCCCTTCACCTTCAGCCTAGAGAGTGGCTTAACGTACCACAATAGTGTGGACTAGCTAGTACAGTATATATATAGCCAAGTCACCATATTATCCTCCAAATTTGGTTTGCTTACAAGAAAACCTCATTAGCATTTCACTTGAATGTTTAGGCCTGTTTACGTCCGGTACGGTCTAGTAATGCTATTTAATGTTAAACAACCCATTTGTACGTAAGTAATTAACCTCATTAAACAAATGACTTGCGAATCTTGTGACTTGTGCGTTAATTCATCTCGTAGCTTATTAGACAGGGCCACACGGGCTTTGGCCTGCGAGCTTTCAAGCCTATAATAACATCTTTACTCCAGAGCTTTCTTGTTTCTTGCCTACTAGTACTAAATTCATCTCAATTGATCAAAGTTATTTTTTTTTTTAACACCAAATCACTTATTGATTTTAAATCGAGTTGATACAATCAAATATTTATGAGATATCCTTGGTGAGAAATTCATTGATAATGATGCTCTAAGTGTTTTTAGGAGTGAATCTAGCAAGTAAACCCACATACAAATATTATATTTATTAAAACCAATTATACTTACATATGATATATACCATAGTCTATGAAGTCTATTGTTTTTTTTGAAACTAGTGAATAAATTAAAATATTATTAAACAAGACAATATTGTTAGAATATTAATAAAATAATAATATATAAACTTTCTATAAGTGTTGTTAATTTAATTTTTATAATATATAACACCTTGTATGTCAGCAATTGTTAAGAGAAAAAAATATTACTCAACATAATTTTTCGTATGTCAACTTGTGGGCCTTGCATACCAGCCCATAACAAATCAATCTTTTTAGAATATCGTCGGCTGACGTAATAAGAAAAATTCTCTTTTTTTTTTGCGTTGGATCTAGGGTTTTAAAATCTTCGATATAAATATCAAACCCAATGTCTTCTCCACCCCTAAAAGTAGAGAAAACCATTAGAGTGACATAAAGTATACCCTAGCCATCTAAACCTTAGGAATTTGTTCTTAATTCTAGCACAAGATCACAAAGGTATGTTCAAAATCTTAATCTAACTATATTTCTTATGAAATTCTACCACAAAATCAACTAGTTGGTTGTTTCATGTCTTAAAGATTGCTTATGTTACATTGATGTGAGATTTCAAATACTTGTTTCGTGATGATAATTGGTTTGATGTAAGTTCGAATAATTTTTATATAGTTTTTTCGTATGCATACGATAGCTTTTGCATTTCTCTTCCTTAAGATGATTGATTTAAATCTATCGGACAATAATATCATATTAAAGTTCATAAAATTTCTTAACTCTCAAAGCATGTTCATTTTCTTTTAACTTTTTAATCTATCTCGTTGTTTTTGATTTCGATTTATCTACTCTAAAATATCATCGTTTATACATATTTTTGATTCTCAATATCGTTGTTGTTCGAAGCTAAATATTTATATATATATATATATCTATCTATCGTTGTTGATCTTTTACTTTTTCATATCGATATTGTCGTTGATCTTTAACTATCTCAATTACCGCTTTGTTATTTAGTTTTCAATATATCCATAACCTAATGCCATGTCCAAAGTCTTCGAATTTCTCAATTCACAGAGATTGTTATCAATTGGTTATCATAATTTGACAATTTTTTTTAATGATTTTTTTTCCTTTTTGATTTTTTTTCGTTTTCCTTTTTCAATTACTTTTTTTTCCCTAAGGGGTAAAAAAAGTATTAAAAAAGTCAAAAAAAATATTGGGAAAAGATTTGTTTCTTTTGTTGGTAAGTAAAAAAACTGGCAATTAAGCATTATCACAATAACATTAATGGGAATATATAATTATTAATATTTAATTTTTAATTAGATAGACATATAGAATATTCTCTAAGAAGTTACAATTCGAATATTCAATACCCTAGATAGTTACTTATTAGATCTTAACGATATTTTATTGATTTTAACAATATATTAACGAATAATTTTTTACTTTTTATTCACTTTTCTTTTATTCAAAAAATAAATTAATAATTTTTTTTTTAGTTTAGAAAAAATAATGCATAATTTTTTTTTTTTACTTTTATTTTTGTACATAAACTGAAGAGGAGTAACCATATATACCAACGATTCACTATAATGTTGAAATTGTATATTCTTTTAAATTATCTTTTTTTCTTTCTAAAAACCTAATTTTTTTTCAAGTCTATTTATCTTTTGAATTGTAAAGTTTTCTGTTTGTTTTCGGATTGGTTTTATTGGTACTCATATTTTTCGATGTTTCTATATATTTTTCCTCGGAAACATTGGACTCTCTCTATTTTTATTCGCTCATCATGATTCTTAAAATGTAAGGTTTTTTTTTTTTAATAAAAAAATTTCTTATATAAAATCTCTATCTCTGTCGATTTCGAGATTTTCTCGCGTAAATTTCGGATTCGATTAAGGTGACGACGATGAGGAGGACAACCGATAGGGTTGATGTAATTTTATTTTCTCTCTTAATAGTTTAGTCTAAATCTCTATGTTCTGTTCTTTCTTAAAGATCGATTTGATCCATTTTCAAATAAACATTCAATTTTGTGAACACACACTTGTTTGGTTTCTCCCTTTGAACATTTGAATTTGCATATATATAAGTTTGATTGTTGTGGAGGATTGAACAATTCTTTTGTTTTCCAGAAACATGTTTTGATTTACTGTTTCTGTTTGTCACTTGTTTGTTCTTTTGTTACTGAAGCTTTTGTGGATTTGGGATTTGTAGGATTCTTGATTGAGAAATTTGATTTTGGCTTAATGCAAAAATACTAGTAACTTTTTTCTCTGGTTGATGTGTGACCTGGATTATTTGTTGGCTGCATGATCTTTGTTCTTGAAACTAGATTTGCTTTCAGGGTTGTCTTGCATCGCATTTCTTGTCCCAATGTGTGGAGTTTTATCCAATGTAGGGGAATAGGATGGTCTCTAATAGGTTGTGGGTGGTTTTGTTCTATGTTCCTTTTACATACCTTTTTAGTTTTTGCCCTGTCTCAACCCAAATCTACTGCTTCTTCCTGCCAGGAACCAACATCTGTTTCTTAAGTTTCAGCAATGTACTGTGGAACTGTGAAAAGGGTATCACTTCAAGATATTAAACTGGTAAGTTCCGCAAACAAATGGTTATGAGCTTTCTTCTTTCTGCTTATTTTACTAAAGCATACATATTTTGCTTATATTTGTTTGAAATTGTCTGATACTTCAAGAGTAGAAAGAATGGTTTTGTAGGTTCATGATGATTTTTGTAATGGGACAGAGTTTGCCTTTACTAACTGCTCTATACTTTATAGTGTGTGCAGGTTACAGTTTCTCTGGAAATGGAGGATAACGATCCAAATAAAGAATGTTTATATGTTGAAGGCTTAAGTGAATTCGTTAATTGGATAAACGCTGATATGGTGAGAGTTTGCGTCCAGAACTTTTTTTTGTTGTTGTAGGAAGCTTGCCAGGTTTTTACATGTGCCAAATGCAATATCATTAGTTTTCCTTCTCACATAACATCAAATCTGTATTTTGAAAAATATTAACTAACTCAACCTTTTTCAGAAACCACTTCACGATGTGCTGAGCTTCAGAAAAGAGATAAATGGCACCACTGTGGACATTGCATTACAATGGTATGTCCCTTTTTGTACTATTATTGTATGCTGATGTTGTAGTTACTTTTAACAAGATCCTATTGATTTGATCCCACTTTTATTGTCTTGTTGCTGTACTAGGTGCGTAGATGGGTATTCAGCCATAATGCTGGGATATGCCAATAGCATCCGTACCATCGATGGTGGAACACACATAGATGGTGTGAAAGCATCAATAACAAGAACTCTTAACAGAATTATGAAAAAGTCGAATCTTGTTGAGGTATATGACTAGTCAACATCAGTAACCAGTTTTTGTCTATGTGACATTTTGCTATTTCTCTAATTTTGAACATTTTTGCCATCACCAGTTCGCATCTTCACAGATTTAATTGAATTTGAATAGTTTCACATCTGCACCATAGTAGACCTTGTAGTAAAAGTTCTCAGCACCTCCATAATTCTAAAGAAAACAAAATAATTTACAGCTTACATAATGTTACCAGTGCCAGGAAAGCATTTCTGATGTTTTGTACAACTGGTGGTGAGATTTATTGTTGTTGATTTTGTTCAGGACAAGGATATTATTTTGAGTGAGGAGCATCTTATTGAAGGATTAACTTGCATTGTCTCAGTCATTGTTCCAAGACCTGAGTTTGAAGGTCAAACACAAGTACGCAGATCATAGTGATTGTTCATCCTCTTATTTGGCAATGATATCTGTGTAGCAAGCAGTGATACTTTTCCACTTTCTTCGATATTGTCTGCACTAATATTTTGATATTTTGTCTCCTAATATCTGCAAGACGAGACTAGGAAATCAATTTGTCAGGGAAATTGTAGACCAATCAGTCCAGGAGTACTTAACGGAGTATTTCGAATTGCATCCAGATGTCTTCGAGAGCATTATCTCCAAATCCTTTAAAGCTTACAAGGTATGCTGTTGCTATACCTATTGATACTGTTGAATCTTCATTTACTCAATGCATGTGAAGGTATCCGCTGCTTTATTTTTGTTTTTTTTGTTCTACTTGCTGCTTTCTCACTTTTAATTAAAAGACCTGACTCCTCTCTCTCTTTCTAGACTGGTTTGGCTGTCACGAGGGCAAGGGATTTGTATAGATCAGAAAGTGTATCAACATTGTGCACCAATCCGTCCATTCCCGAGAAACTGACCAACTGCTCTTCTGAAACATCGGGTACGTCTTATGATAATAAGTGAAATAAAAGGAGCTCTCTTTGATAAACTTTTAGTACATATAACATGATAACAAACTACATGGTTGGCCGTGTAGTAGGACAAGCCTTGGACTATGCTGTTAACTCAGATAGTCCGTTGTTATTCCCCAGTTAGTGTAAACAATATTCTTACGCCATCTGATCACTATGTCTATGGGCCAGTGCTTTACCTGTGGTGGGCTTGTAGGAAACTCCTCTTGGAGCCTAGTCACCACCACAAAGTATATCCCAGTGGCGAACACGAACCAGTGCCTCTAAAAAAATCTATGAATAAAACGTTAATTTACTCGATAATATAGTGGCTAGAGATTTGATCTCGTACCGTTTGAGTGAGAAGTAGAAAAGGAAGCACGATAGTTTTAATTAAAACTTTTTCCCAATGCCTCCAGAGATTTTTATAGGCAGGGGAGATTCTTCTGGTGGTGCTGCAAATCACGGCTCTGACAGGTGTTTCAAGGTAATGCATTCTTTGACTTTAGTTCCAGCTTATATCTGGGTAGTAAGGCAGCACTATTATGTCCCCAAGCGTATAGATGCTTGAAAAAGCCCTACTTTGGAATTTATTCACTTTATTTTAAGTAGAGTTGGGACAGCTCTCTAGAGTGTCAGAGGAATATGGGACAGAAACAAAAGTTGTTTACCCCTTATGAGCATGCCAATGCGAAAGAGTCCTCTCTTTTGCCAGCCAAAAGACATTATCTCGGTGGCTCTGACGGGTATCTCTATGTCTTGCCAGAACAAAAGGACACGGGAACAGCCTTGGAGTGATGATGCAGTCTCTACAACTCCTGGAGATTCTTCAGAAAATAGTAGCGATTCAAATTTTGAGAAGAGGAGTAAAAAACCGAAGTCTTCTGTCCAATCCTCACATCTCTGTTTTTCGTCAGGACAATCTGCTGGTGATTCAAACCCACCAAACCCTAAAGATGTTAGCAAAAAGACTCCCAAAGATTTAACCCACGGGTCCAAACCAAGACCAGTTATCCCGATCGGTCCGCGGTTCCAAGCTGAAATTCCGGTTTGGATTGCCCCTACCAAGAAGGGTAAATTTTATGGTAGTCCTGGTGATTCCGATACTCTAAGATGGCTTGGAACTGGTGTTTGGCCAACATACAGCCTTAAGAAGACAGTTCACTGCAAAAAAGTCGGCGAAGGAAGATCCGACTATTGTTCTTGTACATCTCCGAGGTCAGTCGATTGCAGAAAACGACACACTAGAGAAGCTCGGGAGCTTTTGAAAAAGGAAATTAACCGTGCTTTCTATACATGGAAATTTGATGAAATGGGTGAAGAAGTTGTGTCAAAGCCGCCGTGGACGGCCAAAGAAGAGCAAAAGTTCGAAGCTCTTGTGAAAAAGAATCCTTTGTCAAGTAGTGAAGGATTCTGGGAATTTGCTTGCAATGCCTTCCCAAGAAGAAGTGCGAAGGATCTCATCAGTTACTACTACAATGTTTTCCTCATCAAACGCATGAGATTGCTTGCTCATTCTTCTACTGCTAATCATATCGATAGCGATGATGACCACTATAACGATTTCTTAGCGGGATGAAGGCCTTGTTGATAATCGTAACCGTTGTGGAGTTTCTCGTCACTATAGGTAACTCTCTGTACCATGGTCTTGATTCCCAGTGATTCAAGAAACTTGTTTCCCTTTGAAGTTTCTTTGTCATAGGATCTTTTAGAAGAGATCCTTGTAGGGCCAAATGTGATTTTGCCATGCTAAATATGTAGCTTATCTTGTTTTCTTCGTGAACCTTCAAAGTTTTTTTATTCACTCACAAATCAGTCCTTCAATATTTCCAATCCAGAAATTTCTATTCTTAGATCTTCCGAGGATTTAGGACTTTGGATTTATTTATATAGGATTCTTTCGCTGATTTGCCCAATTAAACGCGCAATTAAACGTTAAACAATATATTTTTTTCAGCTGTTTTAATTTTATAACTAGACCAAACAAAGCTTGAGTAATTTCCTTTATCTACTAGAGTTTATAACTCTAGTTTTCGTATAGTCTAGTTATAAAAGTAAAACAGCTGAAATTCTTATCTTGTATAACATAAATAGCAGCTACAACATAAATAACCCTTATTAGAGTAGTCAAATTCCGAATTCGCAAGAATTTTCAGAAACTTGGGAAAGTATATAAATTTTCAATTAACTGAAAGTAACAACATTCAAAACGACGATTATCGAGGTTGTAGCAAAGGATTTGAGGTAGGTGCATTGCGGATCGGGGAATGGTGGCGATGCTTTGAGACATAGCGGCATCCAAAATTAGATATATTCAAACCTTATATCTTAAATGATTTTTGAGTTTTAGTAAATTTATATGATTTCGATGAAATTTGTTATAAGTTGTCGTAATCCTAAAATTTCTTACGAAAAATATCAAACAATTTTTTTTGAATATTTTATCAACATCGCGAATGGCACTATAAAAGATTTTACGAACGAAACTCTGACGTAAAAACTCTTCAACTTATATTTTCTGCTTCACAAAAAGAAGTTCAAATGACGTGGCTCACAATGTCGCGAAATTTGGTTGTAATGTTTCTAACTCTAATGTTCTAATTTTTTGGAAACTAAATCTACACAAAAAAAAAAAAAACCGAAAATTACAAGACAGAAATTTTAAAGCCAAACAAAAGAGATCGCAACCGAAACCTAAAAATAGAAGAAAACTAAAAATAAACCGAAGCTAAGCACAAGATCTAAGCCAACAAAACGTTCTCTTCTTCTGAAGTCCTTGCAAATGAGATATATCAAAGCTGTGCACAGCTAACCCATTGATAACAACTGCTTTCTCGTATCACACAGAGAGAAAATTCCCTAAACCAAACTTCATAATCTGGCAAGCTAAGGCCTAAACAAAACCTATTCAAACACTTCAAGATGCGGCGATAACCTAATTTGTTTTTTGTAAACTCTTATAAATGGGCTTTCCAATATTAATTGGGCTAAGCTTTGAACTGGTACAGTGGAAACAAGAATAGCAAAAAGTTAACAACAATGAGCTTCTCTCTTCTGAATCTTCCTATACTATTCTCTTTCTCATGATTATTCCTTATTCCATGACCTTCACTATCATATTAATAGTACTACCATCAACACCATTAATGACACGACCAAACATTTTAAGTGATTTGTGTAAAATAACAACTTTAATGTTATTCAATTGTGGATAATAAGAAATTTAAATGAAATCTAGTGTTATAAAATTAGTGATTTTCCGAAGAGATGTACATTACATAAGTATAATATTTTTGTTTATTATCTGTTGGTGATTGTTTAGGATCCTTCTTTTTAGGCTTTGTAATTTTGTAAAAATATTGGTGTGCTTTATGAATTATTCAGATGAAAAAAAAAAAAAAAAAAATTTAGTGATTTGAAAATTTACTTGGATTCTCAAATCGTGAATGCTAGATACGTGGAAGTAAGTTAAATACAAGGCGGTAAAAGGATGAAGTAAGTAGTGTAGAAGCCAGTATTCGAACCTGGGATCCCACGTTATCCACGTGGCAGATTCTCTTTAGCATATATATATAATCAGTAGTAAGTAAAAGGGGGATATATATAGGTCTAAGGGGTCTGGCCTCGTTCGTCTTTTTCTGTATCGACGGATTTGATTTGCTTTCGGGGTGGTTCCGGTTAGCCTTTTCTCGCTCATCGTTTCTACGATCTGTTTCCTCTATTCTAGATTCTTGCCCCTTCTTTTATTTCATATTTATTGAATATATCTGCGAATATTTATAGCTTTCGATCCGATTAAGCTCCTGCTCTTAACCCCTACATGTTTCGTTTTTCTTGTTTTTTTTTTTTTTTGGGTCTAATGGCTCCAGCTAAGTAAGTGAAGTGAGTATGTTGTTTGGTTAGTGAGACTAGAGAGTTGTTAATTCCTGACACAGAAATTGAGAGATTCTTCTTCTTCTTCTTCTGCTGACAGGAACAAGATCTCTTCCACTATTGTTTCAGCCATGTCAAGTTTATCTGTCAGAAGGGTGTCACCTGAAGACATTCAATTGGTATTATTATTTGTTGCATTTAGAGTCTTATAAAGGATCGGTTTATACTTGGGATCAATGTTGACATGATTCTGGCTGGCCTGTTTGTTTCTTTGCAGGTTCAGAATCTAATTGAACGTTGCCTCCAGCTTTACATGAACCAGAAAGAAGTTGTCGACACTCTACTTGACCAGGCTAAGATCGAACCTGGTTTTACTGAACTTGGTAACCTCTTCACTTTCTTCTGTTTTTTTTTTTCCATACACATTTTTAGTACCTAGTTCGGTGCATAATTCTCTTCCTTCAGTGTTGCGTCTGATTTCTTCAAGTTTAAGACATCGTTAGATATTAATGGTAGGCATATTTTCCTTCTCTGAGTTGACAGTTTGGCTGAAGCTTGAAGAAGAGAACCGAGAATTTTTCAAGGCATATTATCTGAGACTCATGGTAAAGCACCAGATCATTGAATACAACAAGCTCCTTGAGCAGCAGTTTAACCACATGCATCCTACCAGAGGGTCTTCCGTACAAAACAGGATTGCTTCTCATCTTCCATCAAGTAAGTTATCTTTGGAACTTTATGACTCTCATTTCTTACATATATATATATATATATGTGTGTTAATATTTTCTGAATTTGGTATTTTTATGAAAGTTCATTATATTCTACTTTAGTTTCTAGTGAGGATATCAAGGTGCTAAAAATTGTCTTTAGTAAAAGCTTTCTATGTATCCCTTCATATGCAACTTTTTATATCATACATCGAAGCTGCATGAATTTTGCTCTCAAGATTAATCGAGCTTAGTAACACAGAATCATTTTCTCTTAGAATAATTTAGGAGGGCCAAGATTTTTTGTTTGATAGTACTGATAGGCTTCTTTCACAGACTCACGCATCCATCCATTCAAGTTAATGAATCAAAGCATTTCTAAATCTTTATTTATTGTCCTATTAAGTCACAACTATGAGCTGAGTCTAATGACTTTTGACTGTATGTGGGTATTATCAGTTATGTTCTACTGGTTATATACGGCTGGGAAGTAAGGATTTGTGAAAAAAATATCGTGTTGCAACTAATATAGTTATTTTTTCCCAACAGTGAATCAGCAACCATTATGCTTTGAACACAAGGACTCTGATCAGTCCTCTCCTTATCGGTCATATCTCAATGGAGGCTCAGCAATTAACACAAATATACCTTCTTATGTGGACTTTTCAACCAATTCTAGAAGATTTGATCCTCCACATAAATTGCTCTCCTCTCAGGCCACAAATATTCCTTTGATGCAAGGAATGATTAAATCTGAGACAGTATATTCAAACTGTGCTCCGTACATATATGGTGGTGAAGCACGGTCCACAGTTGGAGAGGCCCCCATTGCATCTTTCAGCAACGACTCCAGCAGTCAATCCCTCAATGATCCACTTGTTGATGCAGACGCTTCTACATTTGGGTTCTTAGGTCAAATTCCTCGGAACTTCAGCCTCTCTGATCTGACAACTGATTTTTCCCAGAGTTCAGGTCTCATTTTCATATATGCGCTCCCTTTTTCCTTAAGAATCTAGGATTCATTGTTTATTAACTGTGACTTGCTTGTTTATTACCAGATATTCTGGAGAGATACGATGGATCACCATTCCTATTGAATGATGCTGAAAACTTCCTGGACTCTAGCGAAAAGGTAGATCATCAAGGTGAGCACCTGAAGCTTTGTTATTACTAACTGAAGAAAATTAATGTCGTACTTGTTGTCCCTCTGTTTTTTTATTTCCCTAGTTCAATAGATTTCATTTTGGCTCATCTCAGCTAGTATGCAAAGAGCTAAATCATTCAGGAACTAGAGACACCAGTAAGTCTTGCAGGAAAATAAAAGAGTGAATAGTAAAGTAACCATAAGTGTTTTTTTTTCTTTTTCTTCTTATAGGAGACCACGAGAGATTGGGGACTATATCTGAAGGCTTCAGTTATGAAAACCTACGTAGCAAATAGGTTTGTTACATACGGAGCTTCATCATCATGCTTTTGACCTTTGCAATTTAATCACATGGTCACTGTACATAGAGATATTCTTACGTTTTGAGTGGGGTGTATACTGATATTATTATTCTCAATTGTAGAGTATTTTGGTTTTAGTTATAATTATTTATGGAGCAGTTTGTTTTGATTGGTATAATTGTGTGATATTGGATTTTTGTTTTGGACTTATGTGGCCTAGTCTAAAACTTGTAACACGCATAAAGTATAATGAGCTTTATACCAACAACTCAGAAAATATGATGATCCTTTACATACTATATAATACAATAAGCGTTTTTCAATAAACACACCACATAAATAGTCTAGGAAGCCTAAGATAGGTTCCACAGTCTCTCTCTCTCTCTCTCAGGTAATAATATTAGATAAGGAAAACCATTCTTAGATATAGAAGAGGGAAGAAGCTTCACACACTGTAGTGTTCCTTCTTTTAAACTTAGAAACACATTTCACAAATCCAGCAGCAGCATAGTGCAAAGAGACTGCATAGGAAGAGACAAAAAAATAACAGTTTTGCTTATTAAGCTAGTTTTGGTTGTTACTTGTTAGCAACAGATAACGATTTTGTTAGCCTTACCATCCTTCAATGAAACCTCTGTCTCCTTTCTGCTTTGTCTCGAAAAACCGTGGATTGTTCTTCTTTTTGTCTTGTCCAGGTTGTTCAGAGACTTGTTCTGCAGCTGGATAAACTGTCAAGAAATGTAAGTACTGTAATATGCATGAATCATTATTGGATAACCAAGGAAAAATCTAACCTTGCGGAGGATTTTGATCTCTCATGTCCTTCATCTTCTCTTAAATGTGTGCTAACACGACAGACGAAGCTCCTCTGTTTTCTGTTGCCTCGTTCACTTTGCAAGTGGAAACACACCAAAATGGGATTGTGATTAGAAATATGATTCTTGGTTAGTTTAGTGAGGATGCTTCTCCTTATATAACCTCCGATCTTTAAGCTATTAATTAAAATGGTGGCGCACTGTCAGATGGAATATATTCTTCTCAAGTTTTTCTCTGACTTTCACAGCTTATTCGTTTTGTATCTTTATACCTTCCTTCATGAACGGGCTACTGCAAAAACTAAAAGGTTCCATTTCCATGTGTGTTTTATATGTGAAAAGGATACTTTCACTTGCCTTTTTGAGGTTCTTTGTAATTGCTTTCACACTTGTTTGCTTCTTCTTAACTTGTCCCGTCTTGTTGGAGAATTTAGCAAAAAAAAAAAAAAAGATTGAAACCAGCTAAGTATAAACACCTATTTTTATGATGTTAAGAGTTATAGTTATCCTTTCTTTAATTTTGAATTGGAATCCTACTTTTCAGAAAAAAATCTTATCAACTTGTAATCCAATCACCACAACGGGGTTAAAAGCAGAATGCTGGTCTAATCACCACTTTACTTTAATTTGGATGGCTCAAAAATTGACAACCAATCTTTTGGTAATAATAAGGAAATTCAAAGTTTTAAAAGAAGAATCGACGTTTCACTGAAACACAATAAACTGATATTACAGGGACAGTTGTGGAAGAAACCAGAAGTTGATACAGTGTGATATCCTAGGATTACGTCATTAGATAAAACTGAACAAATGTATAGAAGATTTTGATTATCCAATGTGAGTTTGTTGCAATTCGTTGAATATGAGACATGATGTGTCCCAGAGTTCCTTAGCCAGTTCCGGGTCTCGGGAAAGCGCTGAAGATTCGATGCTTCTCCCCTTTCGTCCAAAGAAATATTTGCCTGACATTTCCTGCAAAAGAATAAAACAGTTCAGAATATAGAGCTCATCAACCACATAAGATTGAGGGTTAGATAAGAGGAAAGATTTCCAAAACAGCATTATCTTACAGGTGGAGCTAAAGCAGCATCAAGGACAGATTCAGCTGCATCCTCTGGGGACTGCATCAGTCTAAGAATCTTGAGACTGCAAATCGCCATAACTTGTATATATGAAGGAAGCTCATGCATTATGTTTGTTTCCACTGCTCCTGGATCTACCGCTCTACAACAAAACAAAAACAAAAGTGTAACCACAGATTTAAGCCATAATCCCAAAACTTACAAACAGAATAGAATAATTGAGGGCCTTATTGTTTGAGAGAGTAATATGCACAACTCAAGATTGGTAGTTTCAATTATGAACAGTAGATACCACATAAGTGAATGAAATCTAAAGACAAATGAGTATTTAGGACGCGTACACAACAGAGATGTGATGTGAATCATCAGTGAGGTGAAGCTGTCTGTGCAGCTCGTACGAGAACAGTAGAAGGCATACTAGTTAACAAAGGATCAGAAACAATATCAGCATCATTACGGTATAAGAGAAAACACATGCTTGTAATTATGAATAGGTTTCCTTACATTTAGAATACTCATAGACCCTAGCACAAGGATACTGCTTTGATCTCGAAAAGTTCACTCCAGTAACAGAATCCATGTCAAACCTTCCAGCAAAAGCTACAGACAATAACCATCTTACTCTCATTGTAAAATAGGAAACCATTAGATCAGATTACATGTGAGAAAGTATTCACCAGCACGATGTGTAAAAGATGTAACATTCACGACTCGTGAAGGCACATGGCTGTTTCTCAGGAGCGGTAAGAGAAGTTTGGTCAAAGAGAAAGCGCCGACATAATTCGTAGCAATCATCCTGACAAATATTGGAGACAAAAAATGTAAGCTTGAAAACTTCAAAATCATGAAACCATAGTGAAAACCTTACCTGTCAAAGCCTTCAAAGGTTGGTCGGCTGGATGTTGCGAGTATTCCAGCATTGTTCACCAACAGTTGTATTGAAGAATGTAAATCTGATTCTAAAAGCCATTGCTCTAGAGAGTTTCTAAACTTCAAAACTGATTGAAAAGAGGACATGTCAACTTCAAAAGCTTTGAGTCGGGCATCTGCATTTTGCCTCTTAATTTCATTCAAGGTCTGTTAACAGAGAAAGTGCCAACCACAAAGATTTTTGCATCAACAAAAAGGTGAAAGGGAGAGGTTCTTCTATTGGTATAAGAAAATCAAAGGGACCGTAGAAAACCTTGGATAATAAGTGGGAGGATCGCCCAACTGCAAAAATCAAGAAAAAATGATCTAATCCGTGAGATATTAATTGAACAAGAGATCCAAATGAACTCTTTGTCTAAATTTCGAGCTGCTAAGGAAAAGAAACACTTTTTTTCTTTTTCCTTTTTCTTACCAAGAACAACATAGAAACCTTTTTTCGAAAGCTTAAACGCAGAGGCCTTACCAAGGCCCGAAGTAGCCTGTGATGAATCACACGACAGCAGAAAAAAATAAGACTAACAGGGATAGTGGGGTGGGGAGGAGTTTACTACATCACAGAGTGCGAAAGGCAATGAAGAGAATGAACTTACACCAGTGATAACACAAACAGGTCTGTGTGTGTGTGAATGATTAGAGGAAGAAGAGGTAGTTGATTTTGAGCCAAAGATGGTATTTTTAAGCAATTGGAAGTAAGAAAAAAGGAGGGCAATAGTCCAAAGCAAAGCCATCCTCCAGACATCAGATGAGCAGATGAAAGTAAAGGCCTCCTTCAGCTTCTTCATCATCTATACTCTACAACCAAAACCAAAATCACCACACAGACTGAAGATTTTCACAACTAAAGTTTTAGACTTTAGACTCTGTAGACTAACTTGATCCTCCCAAGTCGATATGGAGATTTTTTTCTCCGAAAACAAGGATCAGACCAGTGACTTGTAGACTAACTTCGAAGGGCAAGGGCGAACTAGAGAACACGATGACGATGAGCCCATTTTTTCCCTTACGGATTCGACAAGCTCCAGTTTTTATTATAAAATCTACTCATCGTGTTTCACTTTTAAATGGGCTTTTCAAAGATTAGTTTTGGTTTTATTTTATATTCTAAACGTTTTTGGTTTTTGTTTTTTAAAAACAATGTAAAAAATTATTCAGATTTTGGATCCACTCACTGATTGCATTGGTTGTTGTTGGAGATTCTATAAGTTTGTTGCGTTTTCACATTGGTTTTTTAAATTTTCGTTTATCAAAATTATTTTTCCACAAATTTTGGTTTTTTTTCTTTCTTAAGGTTCTTCTTAAATTACGAAATCGTTTTCCTTAAATTAATTTGGTTTTTAAACATACAAACATGTGTGTGTGTGTGAGAGTGATTGTGTGAACTTACGAATGATTGGAGGAAGAAGAAGAGAAAGAAGTTGTTTCTGAGCCAAAGATCCTTCCTAGAGCCGAAACAAAGTCATCCTCTTAGCAATCTCAACTATGAAAAAAAGATAAATGCAGAGGACTGAGACTTTCACGCAGGGGTCAAACTCTAGTTTTGGTTATGAGAGACTAAGAGTGTGGCGATGTACAATGAGACATCTATTACGGTCAAATCAATGAACAAACATTACATAACATTTAAGTAATCCTGTCATTTCTTTCTCTTAATAACCAATGAGAAGTTAAATTTCTATGCTTCTATTACACAAATAGATGTTTCAAACGATTGCCCAAAATTTCTTTCTGCAAAATAGAACAGTTTCAGTCTTCTTGTATCTGTCTTGAAGCTCGTGTGTTTCAACTTCCCAAAGGAATTTTGGAGCTAAGTCTCCAACTCTTGAGATGATCGATTCTTCGTCTCTGATAATGATGAACCCCTACAAACCCCCAACATCCGTATTAAAAATTACTTCAAGTCACAAGACAAGAAAAAAGATGAGATAGGTTAGTGCTGCTATGTGAATTACCTGAGGGCGTATGATGCGGTCCATCTCAAGCATGATGTCCTCTAGTATACAACCATCACCTTGGCTTTTATAGTGAGACAAGAGATGGTCCGCGTGTAGCATATCATATGTACGAGGATATGTTGAAAACGGCTCACACCTACAAACACATTCAGCAAAAGTTTTACTATTTGTGCTGAAGTTAAGTGAGAAAATATTTAACTTGAGAAAGTGATCATATTTGCTTACCAATCATGATATGCACCGGTTAAGCCTCTCTGGTAAATTCCGGATAAGGTATCATTCATTGTAGCAGGTACAACGTTCATGACCCAAACAGGATATGAGTTCATAGCTGCAGCAAATCCACCAAGGAACGCGTTTGTGTCCATCACATTTCGCACTTCAGACTTGTTGACATTCATTAGCTCCCAGTAACGATTCACTTGTTCTCTCCAGAAGTTTGTGTCCAATGCAAACTCCTCTTCGCTGATGCCTTGAGTAAGTTTTTCCGAATGAAATCAGATGGAACATAATGTCGTTTCTACAATGAACTTAATCGAAGAAATATACCTATTTTTCTTAGACTTGTCGGATACGCCGATAGACGTTCAGCTAAAGAAGAAGATTTTTGTTGTACGCTTTCACTAACGTCCACACAGTCTCTAAGAGGAACTTTCCATGAAGCTTTTGAAGCATCTTCCTCATCACATATAGTAATAAGCTCTAGCTCTGCATTCTTCCTAAGGCAAGCTTCGTCATCTTCTTTAACCCATATTGCAGTCTGTACCTTTCGGGAAATGAGCTTCCAGCACATCGCGGTAGTTAGATTCACCAACTTATCCCAAATCATAGGGAAATCTTTATCCTTTCTGTAAGCAGGTGGTGCTGAATAAACAAAGTATCCATTGGGTCGGAGAAGACGATTAACCTCTTTGATCAAGATACCATCTGCAGAGTCAATTGCAAATTATCGTCATTAGGTGCAAGTGATACAAACCAAACAAGGGATTGTCAAACAGAAAGAATATAACAAGAGACATACCATTTTCATGCCAATCAACACGGCATCTTGAACAATGAACCATATCAAATGAGGCTGCGGGATATGGCATTTGTTTAGTGGCTATGGCAGAGATCATTGCACCGATTCCTCTCTCCAATGCAAACTGAATTTGGTTTTCATGACCATCTTTAGGAGCAAAGGACATTGTCTGGATACCTAAAGGAAGAAGATAAGCTGCAAAGCTGGCAACTCCACAGCCAACATCAAGAACTTGTTCAACACCAGCTGAACGTAGGTCCCCTGTTTCGTTCGTTGTCATGTTTCCTAACCTGATGTTACATACAATAGTTCAGAGAATTGCATTAGGCAAGAGTATAAAAACCGGTCTAAGATTTGTCTGCATAGAATTCCAAAGCAATCCAGAAACCAAAAAAAGGATACTTTCAAATACCTTTGGATGTATTCTGGAGCACCGTGTTTGAAATGAGTACCACCACCAGGGAACCACCATAACTGACCTTGTTCATGCACCCAATTTTGCCCGCCTTTCACTTCAGCAAGATGAGTATGATTCACATTGCTTCTCCATACGTAATCCCTGCTGGTAGGCCATCGTATTGGTATCTTATAATCCTTTGGCGGAGGCAATAGACAAAACAGACGCTGTTCAAGTGGCGGGCAGTGTCTCTCAAGCTCTTCTCTTCTGGAGACATTCAAACTTGGGAGAAGCTCTTGAACATAAGTGACATTGTGGCAAGGGATATACTCATTGAACTTCAAAGGGCAAACATTCACCCCACTCTCAGGGATGGAAACAGGAGCTCTCCGGTAAGTAAGCTCAATTTTGTTATCAAAATTCGATGGACCTGAAACCAAAACACTGTTGCATTATCGATTCATGTCCTAATCCAGCAGAAACTGAAAAACAAAAAAAAGAAGAAACTAGCGAGCTACATTGAGAGCTATGTCCTTTCGAAAACAATCGATCTAGAAGAGAAACTCAATGGGGAATTTCAATTAATCTAGCTCCGGCAACTAAAAATCAAGTAAAGCTTGAAAATTTAACAATGTGCAGAGAAAAGGACAAGACTTTGAAAGAAAAAAAATACAGAGGGAAAGAGAGCGAACCAGATTGCGATGGTGGAGAAGAAGAAGAAGAATTGGAAGAAGAAGATGGTTGGGAAATGTAAATAGGCGAATTGTTTCCGAAGATAGAGCCAGCGTAGAATGATCCAACCATTAGAACCAGAGCCACCATTATCATCTGCCCCGATCTGGCCGAACCCAACACATAACCTCCCATGGTTTCTAAAATTCCTTATCTTTCTCTTCTTAATCCTTCTACTCTCTCGTTCGATCTTATACTTTGCTTTCTAAAAATCATGTGAATCGCTTTGTTGAGTGACTGAACTGTGAAGCAAACAAAAAGCTCAGCTTCGAAGAAGAAGAAGAAGAAGAGAGGAAAGACAGACAGACAAGATGAAGATCTCACATTTATTCCGACTTTACTCGGAATCCCCTCAAATTGCTTCCCGTCGGCAAACCCATGTGAGAGACACGTGACACATTCTGCTCCTTCATGTCTTTTTGCTAATTGTGAACCCCAAAAACTTCTTGTATTTATATATTCACTCCCTACATTTTCCTATTTATTATAGACGGCCGCACGAGTTTTTTATTTTATTTATTTCACATATAATGGAGTTCTTAACCATTTATACGTTTTTTAAGTCTTCGTGTTGCATTTTCGTACCAACAAATATCTTTAAGTTTCATACCAACAAATATCTCATAAGGACGTTTATAATAGATGAATTATACTGAAATCAGATATTAGATTAAAATTATTTTATTTATTAGAGACTTATTAATCAAGGGATGATAATACATGTGCAGATTTGTTTAAAGCAGACAGGTTTAGATTGTTTAGGACAATCAGAAGCGTCACAGTCCTCAAGTTTAGAACAATAACCACCAAAAAGAGAACCCAGGCTACAATCACATTTGTGATCCTTATTACATATTATATGTCCTGATCCTACTCGACACAAACGAGGATCACAATCTGCAACACTTTTACACAGAAAACCTTCATTCCTCGTAATCAGACCTGTATTTATATGTAATCCACAACCAATGAACAAGTCAAACCCAACCAAACTAGAACATATTGTATATGTCTTACGTAGATATGTTTTAAAAAACTTGCATATAATATATACCTATAAATTAACTTATATAACATTCAAAACGTGTATTTTCAAATTAAACAATGCAAAGAATACTTAATCTTGGAAGACTTACATGAAAAAGTTAGGAGAAGAAAGACGAAAATGCTTGTTATTTTTTCCATCTTGTTTCTTATTTTCTAATGTCTTCAATTGCTTTTTGTGTGTTGGGAGATGGGAGGCTTGTTTTATATGGGATTTTGGATCTCCTTTGTAGATTTTATGTAAATTTTGTAGCTGAAATAGTTTTTTTAATTATTATTCAATTAATTATGAATATGTATTCCAAACTAAGGGATAAGGTAATAAATCTAGTATTGAGAAAGATTTATTTCTTTTTTGTTCAAAAAAAAAAGAAATATTTTTTTTCTTTTTTGGAAACCAATTCATATTCATAATTCACTGAAATAAAATAGAAGCAAACTAAAGATATTTTCCAATTGCATTCAACCTTTTTTTTGGTTGACTACAATTACATTCAACCTTTATCTTGACAAACGTTTTTTCAAAAAAAAATTACCTTCTAAACATCTTGTTATTCTTTTGCCGGCAAAACATATAAACAGTAAACACAACTCTATACTATCATTACTGCTGATGTTACATCTGACATAGATAATAGAATTGTGACGGAGGCAGAGAGAGAGAGAGAGAGAGAGAGAAGCAGATTGTGGCGGTGGAGAAGAAGAAGAAGAAGGTTTAACCTCCCATGACTTGCTATTCTTGCTATTCTTCTACTCTCGCTCGATCTTATACTTTGGTTTCGAAAAAATCATAGTGAATCTCTTGTTGAGTGACTGTACTGAAGCAACCAAAAAAAAAGCTCAGCTTCGAGGAGAGACAGAGTAGATATGAAGATCTCACACTTGTTTGTTTTTGCCAAATATTCATCCAGTCAACCACATAACATCATCCATAGCCACTTTCCGGTACATGAACTGAGATCACAATGCAGTCTCAATACTGACGATCATAAAGTAACAAACGTCAAGAGCTCAGGTGGATGCTGATGATCATCAAATTTTTCATTTCTTAGGCAACCAAACCTATGCTCAAACCTTTTGTTTCTGACCCTGAAAAGTGAGAAATTAAACGCCTTGACGAACACGATGCAATGCGCAGCCAAAAAGTTGTGTACCAAGTATTGATCTATTCGGTCATCGATTCAAATGAAATCGAAACAGATGTGTTTGCTACACAAAGCTTTTGGCATGCGTTTTCCCCTGATCTCAGGAATGACCATTTTTAACATATTTTACCTGAGATCGATGAAAGAACTACCATCAACATCTTGAAGAGTTATTTTTCCCAAGTAAACATCACTGATGTGAGTGGAACACAAAGGGAGACATTTCCGATTCAAAGCTGAGTGGATTGTTCCCATGCCAAAAACCCATTTTTCTCCGTCTAGTGGGTTGATACGCAAGCGATTTTGCAGTAGATGTACACGGTACATGATTGTATCTGATCGCTCACAGAAACTAGCAGCACAAGAATGCAATGGTTCATCAGATGCGAGCCTGACCAAAAGCAAAGACAGTGAACCATCCACCGGTCTCGGGTCTGAAAGGTTCTTGTCTCCCATCATCTTAACCTCTCTTTCCTTTGGAAAGTGCGCCTCTTCACTCCCCTCAATATCTAATACTCTGAGATCTTTCGTGTAGTGTCTAATAGCTTCATGTTTAGTGGATCCGTGCTTCTCTGCTAATGTTAAAATACAGGAAAACCTCATATGATAACTTACAATGATTTTGAGCATCTTATAATTGTGGCAACAGCAGAAGAAATCAAGCCATTTACGCCCTATACCCGCATACCATTTGATGATATCAGAATCTTCTAGACACGTAAGGTCAACGATAGGCCGTGGTCGTCCCATGTTGTTTGTGAAACCAACTAACTTAACCGCCTTTCTAACAATTTCCTCCGGAGCTGACACCTTCATGCATAACTTAGTCAAATCCTCAACTGTCCTTTCAGCATATCTCTGTTCCTCTTCTTCTTCTACTCTCCTCGCCTCATCCTCTAGTACCTTTTTAGCTTTGGTCGGTGCTAAATGTTTGTCCACCTGCTCCTGAAATCCATCATAAGCATCAATCAGGTCTTGTGGTAATTTCTCTCGTATATGTCTCAAAGAGAGAAAATCTCCTCTAGTGAGCAGCCAATGCCATTTCCAGCGCTCTTCAAGGGATCCCATGAATTCTTGCATGACTTCCTCTCCCCAGCTCTGGAAAATATCCCTAACCTCATTCTCTATCTCACCTTCAAATCTGAATCCGGTGCTCTGCTTGACTTTCTTCAAGACATGTCTAAATATTTTCAGCCCCATCGTCTTCCGATTCCTCTCCCTAGCATTTCTCAACTCCAACTTCCTAACGTCTTTCTGCCGCTGATATTTCTTCATTGCTCTAACCGCTTTCTCAGACATAGGCGGGCGCAAAACAGAAGGTGGAACAGCCTGTAGATACATCCCTAAAAAGTTAATCTTCTCTGACACTGCACTATGAACTGATGTGTTCAGCCTATCTACTCTCAGCTCTAGTCTCTGTTCCAAAATGTCTAAAATCTGCTTCTTCAAATCCATTGTCAGCATTTTCGATCCCGATGTTATCACAAGTATCTCATCTAAATACCTCACAGCATAAATATTTACTGGCTTATAGAAAACATTACCGATCGATTCCTCATCTCCTGTACCAACGCGAGGATTCTTCACTTTCATCTTTAGCCTCATATCTTGAATTTCTTGGTCAAGTCCATCAAAGTAAACATTGATCAAGATCGAACACAATCCACATTCTTGTGGAAATCCCCTTGCATTATTACATCCACCAAGTTCAATCTTCAGAATCCCAAACTCAAACAGCTTCTTTATCATCTCAATCAACAAACTATCGTTGATCTTCTCTCCAACAAGGCCACACAGTATATCCACATTACGTTCCTCTAACACTTGTCGAGCAAACGAAACACGAAACCACCACCGTGGATTCTCCACTGAGTTCTTCAGGTAACGAATAGCTGTATGCCTACCCATACCAACACGTCCACCATACGAAAACGTAGCGAATCGATCATCGTAGACAATCTCAAGAACCATTCTAATAGCTTCAATCAACACTTTGAGTTTTAGATTGGGGAGAAGAAGAGATTCATCGCATCGTCCCTTTTCACTTGAAGAGATGAAATCAACGCAAGATGAACGAATATCAAACTTGCCTTCGCGTATCTCGCGTCCCAATTCTTCGATCGAGAACCTCCTCGAGACGCGATCGGCTAAGTCGCCGGAGGAACCGTGAGAGTTTGCAGCAAGAGACAGATTCTGACAGGCGGCAAGAAGAACAGAAGGCAAAGCAACAGCGCTTTTAACGAGACCGTAGAATTTACCATGAGAGTATTGCTTGAGAACCAGGGCTTCGAGCTCTGATTTCACCAACGGCTCAGTAATGGTTTCGTCGGAGTTCAAATACAGCGAAGAAGCCGTACTCAGATTCCTCAAGGAAGAAGAGACAAGGAAGGAGATTCCACGGCTGTAGAGAGAGTGTCCTCTCAGCTGCAAAACCATGGAATCGCTGAAAAGTTCAGCGAAGTGTCAGATTGAATTGTTCACCGGCGGCAACGGTGGAGGGGATGAGCAAAGAGAAAATCTTACTTTTGGGCCTTTACTGGATTTGGGCCGATCCTCCAGTGAGATTTGAAATTACGTAAACAATACAGGTGGTTCAAAAAGATACATGCATTATTACAGATTGAAGCAAAATTTTAAGATAACTAATATTATATTTAATCTACAGAAAAAAATTGATTCGTTAGCGGTTAGCTTATTAATCCATAATAAGTAAACTCACTTAACTCATTAACTTGTTTAACAAATGACTCACTTAATGCATACAAAATTTTCAACTCATTATAAAGTTCATGAGCTAAATTCTATACCAATGAATTCTTTTTTTTTTTTTTGATAAACATGTGAATATCATATTAATATGAAGAGTTAGGATAATACAGTGAAGATTATACTAGTGCATGTAACCTTGCCCAAAAAAAAGAGAAAAAAACAGGGTTACAAAAAGTGTTGGTGTCAACAACACAAGATTTGTGTGAAAAGTGTTACTCTTTTTGACATCCTATACATAACATATGTGTGTCCGTGAAAAGTATTGACTCATTTAATTTGAGACCCTATAGATAACATATATGTGTGAAAAGTGTTGACTCATTTACTTTGAGACCCTATAGATAACATATATGTGTATGTGAAAAGTGTTCTCATTTTGACAACTATATATAACATTTATGTCTATGTGAAAAACGTTGACTCATTTGTATACCCTATATCTAAATTATATATACACAAACATATTCATGTAAGGAGAATAAAATAAAATAACAAAAAATGGGGAAAGTTTTAATATGTTTTCTCCTGTTATTTTTCATCTCCATCCACAAAATAGACTCTATTCTTACATTTAGGCATTACAACATCCAAATTTCGAATCAAATTGCAGGTAACAAAAAACTTATGATCAATTGTCGAGCTGCCGGATTTATGGCGACTGAAGTTAAATTTCTTCCCTTTAATACCGTATGGTTAATCTCATTCACAGTTTTTCCAAGAACTTTGATTTGGTGCGATTTGTGGAAGGTAATTAATTTTTATTTATTTCACATTCTTCTCGTGTCTAATGTTTCTACAATATTTTCTTAGTTTATATTTAAGCGACTAATTTGAAAATACATATTTTTGACATTGTATTTTCTTTAGGGAAATGATTATGTGCAATATGCAACGTTTGACGCCTTTATAGCGAAAGAAAGTTTTTTACATGATGTATGTGGAGGTAGGAAGCCAAATGTATGTTACTGGCAAGCACGAGAAGATGGAATATATGTACGAAATAATGCAGTCGGAACCCTTAAATTTATGTATAAATGGGAAACACAAAATTCGACTAATATACTATTCTAGTCAACTCTTTGTTTTTCTTCTAAGAAACAGTATTAGATTACCAATATCACATATATTATATATAATAATATAGCATTGGGAATACTTATAAAGTAAAGTTTTTTAAAATGAGACAAATTTTGTTTAAAACCAAGATTAAAAAATGGTAGTCTAAGTGTTTTGCATGCGAAAATGTGTTGTTGTTTAGATGTAGAATAAGAGTTTGTTGAGAAGGGAGCTAATTCGGCCGCAACAGTTTTTATGATCTTTTAAGTCCTTACATATTTAAGCATAATTGTTGTTTATATAATTTCATTAGATAAAAATTAAAAAATTAAGTCAAATAATTTATTTATTTCTATATATAAATAAATGATTCTTAAAAATTTGTTCTATTTAGACAATTTATTAATCTGAACTAGTAGAAAATTATATATTTCAATCAAAAATTATTATATCAAGTTGATCAACATCTTATTATATAAAAGAGAAATTAATCAATTCGGGACACAAGTGCATTCGTCCTTAATACCACCCTCAACTAATTTTGACCATGAATATTGGTCTCCTCAATAAACATGCAATTAATTTAATTGTAGGTAAAAACACACACACAAAATAGTGTAATTTTCAAATCTCCCAAAAATGTTAGTCCTTTCTCAATACTAGATTTTACGTACCATCTTGATTAGTCTTGACTAAAAAAACTATTAATAAGTTTACCTTTATCTTTCTTTCTTTTTTTTCTGTTGGCAAAGTAAATGCGAATATGTAGGTTATTTTTACACTGTGGCAAGAAAACAAACAAAAAAAATATTTACATCATCTCCTCAAATTACAACCCAAATAAAACGAAAATTTACACTAATTTTTAATTATTTTATATGATTATTTGATTTAAACAAATATTATATTGTAGACATTTTCACTAAAGAAAGAACCCTAATTTTCGAGAAAGTAGAGTAAACTTTATAAAGGATGGATCATCAGTAAAGATCCATCATTCGAGAAAACTCGTTAAAACTCACGAATCCGTCACCGTCTTCGTCCACGGCTGCTATCATTCGACTGCATTCCTCTAACGTGCACCGGTCATCACCTATCGCGGCGGCGAACACACGGAGAAGCTCCTCCGCCGAGATCAAACCATTACGATCCGAATCAAAGAGCTCGAACGTCTCTTTCAGCTCCGTCGACGAGCCGTGGGACGAATCAGATGAGACAGAGGAGACGACGCGAGTAGCCAGCGTATCGATGCTAATCGTACCATGGCCGTCACGATCTACTTCACGAAGCATGACGTTGATCTCATCTTTGTTCGGCGGATTAGGACCAAGCTGAGTCAGAAGCGCTTCAAGATCGTGTCTGGAGACAGCTCCGTCGTTGTCTTTGTCAATAAGCGTGAACGCTTTGAGAAGCTCGAGGTGCGAGTAGTAAGGAGAAGAAGTGGTGACGCATAGGTTTTTGGTTTCTCCGGAAGAGGAAGACGAAGCGGAACCTAACGAGGACGTTCCGGATCGAGACACTTTGGATGGTTTCTTGGATGAGAAGAAACGTTTGGGATTGAATTTGATGAGCTTCATCATGGAGTTATAGAAAGATTTGATGAAGCTAATAGAACAGATCATTGAGAGGTTTATAAAAGGAAGAATTTTAGACAAGTGTGAGTTACTCTGCAGTTTCCTCGAAACTTCGTATCTACGACTTTTACGTTACATGATAGTTATTAGGATTTATCATTCCTTTTTATTTTAATAATTAAAACAAGAACTTAACCAATGAATCATGAAGGTGTCTACAATTTTCACTTTAAAATCTTCTAATAAGAGTAACTAATTTTTTTTTTGTAATGAAATTTACAAATGTATTCCAATATCACAGATGAATAAATGTTAAATTTCAAACAAATAATCAATGCAAAACAATACACAAGAGGCGCATCAAACCCCTATTGGAAAATCTCCAAACTCAATTGAGAATCTATTTCAGTTGAATCAATCACTCTAACCATCTATAACACTACCAGACACCGGTTCTTGTAAACTGGAATCATCTGAAGAGACAGTAACGGGACTCGAGCTCGTTGCACTGTTGTTATGTTCTTCTTCATTGTCATCATCATCTTCTTCGTCTACTTCCTGTTCTGATACAGAGCTATTATCCATCTCCTTTTCCGGTATATCAAGCTGTACACTCTCCGGTAACTCAGTATTTTGATTCCCAATTGATGACACTCCCAAGTTCTCTCTTTTAACAACATTTAACACAAACCCGTTTCTCGTTCTCTCAGGCTGTAGAAGATCACCTTCACTTACTGTTATGCTTGAAGTGTTGTTGTTGCTATTGCTGTTAGGTTCGCTATCCGAATGAGCAGCAGTGGATCTCGGGCTTGGACTAAACGGTCCGCCAGGAGGAACTGCTGGAGAATTGGGACTGCTACTAAACCCTCTTGCCAGTGCAATGTCTATATCAAGAGACTGAACAAAATCGATGAACTTATTGGCTGACGCCGTTCTCATCAAAGGTCCACCTGTTCGTGTCCAAGAACTCAATTCCACACTCTCTGTTTCACTGTCGCTTAAATTCCTGCCCGAAGAAGCATGGAGATTGTTGTCAGCAACTAGATCATCGAGTGAACCCGTTGAGTTCTCTCTGGCAATGACGTTCCAAGATGGAATTCTTCTAGAGGCATTGAATCTGGTGGTTGAAGCTAATCCGTGATGAGACGATGATGTGGCGGTGGCGGCTCTCTCGGCGCTTTTCTTGAGCCTACGCATATGGTTAAGAATAGCTACAGAATCATCAAGGGCAAGCTCGATCCCACAATTTGATTTTATGGCTGAAAGCTTCTCCCAAGTGCATCTTCTTCCTTGGTTAGCCGCTTTCTGAAGCTCTACATGGGTCGGGTTTTGTATAATTTTTGAGTACTGCACAAAAACCACACTCCAATAAGAATCTCCAACAAGTCCAAAATCTCTGGTTCTAAAGATTTTAAGTTTTGGATCAGAACCTGAGCAAGAGTAGCAGGCATTACAACTGTTACATCACCCTCCCACTCCTGAGCAAAAAGCTTTGCAAGTCCACCCAGTGGAAAACCGAGCTCTAACACCTGGTTGCATCTATGTTTGACCTCCATTTCCACTAGATGCGCAAGCTAAAAAGGGAGGGGGGGGGGGGGGGAAAGTAGTGTCAGTTACAATAAAGAAAAGAAACAGAGAGACCATCTAAACAACTATGTGAAATACATACCTTAGCTGCGAATCTACCCCCATAAGCTCGAACTAAATCCTTCAGACGGAGTAACGGAGCAATGTGAGGATTGGCTTGGCTCACAATAAAATGATTGACATTGAACAGTTCCTTAAGCTGCATCATTGGCAAATCAACCTCCAAACTACCATCTCTCCACCGGCGTCCAGACGATTTAGTGCCCACTTCTGGATCCAAATTGAAAGGTGGATGATACGGTACAATCGCTCCACTTCGATCTTTAGCCATTAGCTCTTGAGCTTCAAAGAGACCGGGAAAAGCACAAGAAGCAGTCACTGCGCTCCATATAACCACATGAGGCGAAGTCAAATAGTTAAGACATCGAGGAGGTTCATGCTTTCTTGGGGAACATACGGTTATCCCAAGTATCCTTCCTGTCATGTCATAAGCTTCCTGGAATGTGAGATTGCTTGTGAGGTTTCTCAGCATACACTGTAACTGTCTGATATCATGTAGAGCGCCTTGTGTCATTACTCGTTTCACGATTGAGAAAACGCCTCCGAGCTGATCAAAGAACTGTAAAGAATGCAAAGAATTCTCAAAGAAACTCTGTAGCTCCGGCCAAGACCTTGAGGCCACAACGGCACAAATAATGGATCCAACACTAGAACCAGCAATGATCCGAGGTAAAAGCTTGTGCTCGACCAAAGTCCTAACCACACCTACATGAAACGCACCAAGAGAAGCCCCACCGCTCAAAAGCAGAGCTGTTCTACCAAAGGCATGCCGTGTTTCGTGCATAAAGGAAAGCTTCTCTTCTAAAGAAAGCTCCTCTGAGTCAGAGTTACAGACCATTCTCAATTGAGTAGAGACCTCGTCAATATACTCTTTAATATGTCTAGGAACCTGAAGTCTACCTTTATGAAGCTCAGAATTACACATATTACCGAGATTCCTAACCAAATCAGCTCTCATACAGAACATGATGTCTCTAAGTGAGCCTTCTTGGCGACGATGACGAAGCTCCTGAAGTTTGTTCTTAACTAATTCTTCATCATAAAGATCAGACTCATGCATCTTTGGTGTCTCCTTTTCTAACATCTTAGCAGCATGAGCCCATTCCTCATAAGTCAAAGCCGTCCGCATCATGTTCCTCCAGAATTTCCTCCGGTAAGCCATTTCCGCCTTTATTTTGACATTGGTGTAACGTTTCAACACGAAAGCAATGATTGTAACCACAGCTAAGATCCCTTGTGGGTTCCGGGGATGAAACCACGACACAAACGGTGACACGGTGAGCTTAAATCTAAGGAACCAATGCAGCAAGAAGCGAAAGAGATCACGCCTCAGCTGAGCCATTGATCTACAGAACAAGACTCTGAAAGCAATGGTTCGGCCCATGATCGATGTTGGTCCAATTGAGAATGGATCAACACTGGCTTCATTACTTATGTCCATTGGTTTTGGAGATGATTTCGTGTGCTTTCAACTGCAAAGGTAACAAAAGAAAAAACGAGAACTCAATGAATAAGCACGTAATTGTTAAAACCTCAGCAGAGAAACAGAGTCGTGATCTATTTTAGGAATCTGAAACCGCGTCAGCTTATTTTTGTTTCCCCAAAATAGGCTAATCTATGAAGCAATTGGCAAAATTAAGCAAAGTAAACTGGTTTCTAAGCCAAGTATGATCCTTTTTTTTTTTAAAAAGGAGACTTTGACAAAGATTATAAAGAAGTCGAATAATCTCAACGCCCAGGAAAAGAAAAAAGAGAAATTTGAATCCGACAGATAAAACCCAGAGATTTCGTCACAATGACCCGTAATTGCAAAACAGATCAAATTAGAAAGAAAGAAACAAAATTTACCAGAATCTGGACTTGGGTAGGTCACAGAGCAAGATCGACAAGCAAAGAAGAGACGTGAAGCAGAGAGGTTTACTTGGGAATAGAGAAGAGATCAGAGAGAGAGAGAGAGGAGAGGTAAATAAAAAGTGGAATTTTATTATTTAAAAAAAAGGAAGATATGTGCATAGGGAATCGTGACGAGATAAGACAGGCTCGAATTCGATCTGATAATGGTGACACGACACGGACGCAGAGTCGGACTCAGACTCCGCCGAGAGAAACGGCCGACCATGACGGGCTTCTTTTTTCCTTTTTGGCTTTTCGATAAAAACGTTGAAAAAACAACACTAAAAAGGTCCTTGGATAAGATTTTTTCCCACGTGGACGGAAAAAACGTCATGGAGTTGTGTCCTCAAAACGGTTAACAACTTGTAGTTTCATGGTGATACACAGACTGTTTAACCTTAAAAACGCTGAGTTGTTTTTTTCTTCCCAAAACGCTGCGTGTAAGAACACGTATTCGCATCAAAACGGTAATTATATGCAGTGTGTTTGGGTCTTTGGGATTAAACGTTAGGCGATTATTATCCGTGGTAAATTACTTCCCTCTTTTTTCTCTTTGGGATTAAACAAGGAAGAGAGAAGTCATCAAATGAAACTTGGATGATCCAACCATGCATATTCTTTCACTTAACATAGTATTTTTATATAAAATATTCAACTATATTATTATACTATTGTACATGTTAGTAAAATTGTTAAAAGTAGCTATAATTGTTTGAATTTAGACATTAATAAACCAAATATGGAAAACCGTGGTTGTATACATTGCAACGGGATCGGGTTCGTAATTCCAAATGTATTAAAGGAATACAACATAAATGGTTTTTATTTTCTAATAATGTACTATGAAACAAAATCGTTTCGTTCACTCACGAAGTCACCATGAATACACATGGATTAAATATAAATGTTATATATAGAGAAGGTGAAAGAGTCTTCGTTCTGATCAGTCGGAATCATCATGTCGTCGCTTCGTAACATCAACCACGAAAGGCCTCTTCTTCTTCTTCTTCTCCTTCTTGCTGCGGTGGTCGTGGAGGCTGGAGAGAGTTTATCAGTTGGTTCTTCCTCGGAGAAGCAAGATTTAGCAATAGGGGAAGAATTATCTCACGGAGATTATGGTTCCTGGACGCCGTCTCCAAGAGTTGGAAGAAGTAGCCTGACACCTATTCCTCATGATCACTCTACACGACCACAACGTATAGTGAAGAAGGCGTAATTGTCGATATTTTTAATTGTTTTCAAGGAACGATCATCACTTTGAGGTTTTGTTTTCCTTAATACGTACTAACAGAATCTATCTTGATATGCTTTTCTTGTCTTCGTTTTTATTTCAATCTCTTGATGATATACTAATAGAGTCTATTATAAAAGTTTTGATCGTTGACGACCAGATTGCTTGGGAGCTTCTCTTTCTTTCTTTTTTTCTTTGAGATCATGCTTTGAAGTTTAAATTCATTATGAGTTTTTTTTTGTTAATACCGAGCATAGATATATCGTTGTTCAGTGAGATGATGATCTATATAGTCTTTGTCATGCACTGATGAACAAATTGAAAAGAAGAACGTACGTACACAATGTTAGTTTTTTCTCAGATGTCACAAACGACGTGTGTGAACATTTACCATCTTAATTTATAACTCGCAGCCTATGCTAATTGCTACATTTACCCTAATAAGAAAGCCAAAGTCCCCACTAACAGACTATAACTAGCTAATGTTCTTGACAGATTGTTGTGAAGCCTCTCATGAGCAATCTTATTCAATAAAAAGAGTGATCAAAAGTCATCACGTGGGTAGAGAGGAGTCATCAAATCAAACACATGTTTAACAACAGGGTCCTACGTTTACGCGTTCTCTTATTGAAGTATTGATTGATACTGCACCTGCTTTTCACTCAGTAGACTAGTAGATCATACAATTACATAATTCTTCTCTATGTTGGCACTGAAAAGCTTTACTTACTTGATAACACCTAAACATTCATATCACACATCTCAGTGATGAATGATGGTTACTGCTTGAGTATTCATCATCATCTTAACTACATATCTCCTGACTTTTCTCTGAATGAATTACTCAGTACTATTATCGAACTAACACCCACATTCTCTCTGCTATGAATTGATGATCAACCCCAATTAATATACATATATATTCATAACTAATACTACTATACAGTAAACATTGATTATATCATTAATGTAAATCTTCAATTCCCTAGTCAATGAACGCTCTTCCTTTCCAGATTTTTATAACTTATCACTATTTTTTCTTTTTTAAAAAAGGGGTTTTGATTTTAAAGAATGTTTTTTTAAAAATTTGTCCTTTTATGCTTTCTGCGGTAAATTGTCAGTTATACCTAAATTACCCTTTTAAATAAATAAAATTAATTTTTAATTAATTTTTAAATTAAAACATATCAACAATTAAAGATTAATAAGATTTAATGTTAAACAAAAGAGTTTTGGATGAAAGTATGTTGATTTTGATATTGAAAAAATCATTCTGCAATATTTAGAATACATCTTCTGTATTCTAAATATTTTAGATTATGAATTCTGCACACTCTACATGTTCTAAAAATTGTAGATTACAAATTCTTCGCATTGCACTTGTTCTGAAAATTTTAGAATATATATATCTTCTAAAAAAATTAGAACTCAGGTTTGGTTGGTGTTCTACAAAATTTGGAATATGTATTCTACATGTTACTCTATATTCTACAAATTTTAGAATTTATTTTTTACACTTTACCCTATATTCTGCAAAAGTTAGATCATCAATTCTACACTTTACTCTTCGTTCTTCATATTTTAGAAAATGTATTCTACGAATTTTTAGAACTATCTTATACAAGGAAATTGAATCCTAAATTAAAGGAAACAAAATATTTTGTATTCCCTAATATCTAGAAATCATATATTTTTATTTTGAGTGAACGTTAGGTGTATATACAGTCCTTGAGTTTGACCAAAAATTAAAAACTAACAATATCAAAGAGCTAGTCTCAAACAATCTTCCTAGTTTAGGTTTGATAATCACGAACAAATGAAGTTTTTATTTTTCAGAAAATTTTGACATCGTCGAGTCTATCTTTGGTTTTTTTTACCTTTTTACAATATTAAATGAGAAGAGTTTTTTTTTAAAAGGAAAAATAATATATGTTTTTGATTTTTTTAGATTTAAGAATATCTTTTTTTCTTACAGAAAATTTCCTAATTTGATGTTTTTTTTTTCAAAAAGTTTGATGTTTATTTCCATATAATTTAAGTAAGGATATAATTGAGCATTTTCCTATTCTAAAACCTAATATACCAAACTTAAAAAAAGAAGGCATAAATGGACAAATTTAAAAAAAAACATCCTTTAAAATCAATTTTCCCTTAAAAAAACGCAGATGATTCATTATGTTAAATTGACGTTAATTCTTAGAAATACTTACAGAACTGCTTTATTTATTTCTAAAAATTAAAGAACAAAAAAACTGTTTTAAAATATAATTATCAGAATTTCTACCTTGCAAAACTCATAAAGATTGAACTGATTGTTGAAGTTTCTATATAAATAAATGTTAAAACAAATTCATTGTAGATTTGGTAATAAATAAATAAAAATAAACAAGGTCAAATTACGTTTTATTTAAATATACATTAACGTCATCACACAGTCACACACAGTTTATAAAAATAATTCAACTTCAGCAAGAAAAAAAAAAAAAAAAAATCAATATCGGCGACTTTCTCATCTTCAAAGAGTGTGATCAATGATCAATCACGAATCAAACAAAAACAAAGGAAACGAATAAAAAAGTTTCGATCTTTGACGAAACTAAACAGAGAGAAGAAAAACATAGAATGGCACTTGCGTAAAAGTCTGTCTTTGGAAACAAAACAAAACAAAAAACAGAGAGATTTGCGGTGTCAATTAAAAAAAAAAGCTCGAAACTTTTTTAGACACAGAGAATGTCAAAACCGATGTTCTCGGAGAAATGGGAGAGCTCAAGTAAAAGCAGCAGAAGAGTTCATCAACGGAGAGACAGGAAGATGTGGAAGAAACCCATCAAGATTTCCAGATTGCCCAGTTTCGGATTCTCCGGTTCCGACTTCACTGTTGATCAGATTCCGGCCATCTTCTCCGGCTACACTGCCGAGGAGGAAGATTCTTCTTCTTCTGAGATGTCTGATGATTCCAGAACTTACTCTAAATCATCTGATGACAACGAGGAGATTGACCAGGCAAGACTCTCCCATCTGTTCTGTTGTTGTTTTCTTCATTTCTCACTGTTTTTGTCGAAATCAAGAGCTCATTAGATGCAATAGAATCAAAGATCTGGTTGGGGAATTTTTAAATATTGGTGAGTTTTGATTTCAGGAAAGGTCAAGATCGGTGAAGAGACGAGCGAAATTGAAGAGTGTTTCAAGTATGAAGCTTCTTAGGAGACAGTCAACGAGGAAATTATATGGAGGTCAGAGACTGAAGAAGATGAGATCTATGAAGCGTTTAACTTCTCTGAGGAAGAAGAATCACGATTCAATTTCTAGGGAAGAATTTGGATTGTTACAGCCTCATTACTTGAGACCAACGAGTTCTTCTGCTTCAAAAAATATTGATAGTAATCAGAAGAATCTTGGAGTAGCTCGTTTGAAGAGAATAGCAAGCTTGAGATACAATGGGTTGCTTAAAGCTACATGTTCTTCAGCTATGAAAGGTTCTTCTTCTAAGAAGAGTAATGATGTTTGCACTTATAGGTATTGTTCTCTGCACGGTAGGCGTCATAGCCATGCTGCGGATAACAATGTTACTGTTCCGTCTTTGAAGCGATTTGTGTCGATGAGGAGGAATTTTTTGAAGAGGCAGAAGAGCGTGAACCGGCGTTTGGTGTTATTAAAGCGGACTTTGAGTAGAAAGAGAGGGCCTTTAGGCGGTGGGATTGTGACTGATCAAGAATCAAAGGAGGTGGATGCTAATGCAGATGGGGAATCTAATGAAGAGGTCTCCAGCTCAGAGAATGGTGGAAATGATTCTGAACTGATTGAAAGATCTAGTGAGACAGTAATGGTAGATGTTGAGGATAATAGGGAAGGAGGAATAGATTTAATGGAGACTGTTGCATCAGCTAATAAAAAATGGGTTCAGGTATCTAAACCAGAGATTTCGGATGATTCAAATGGAAAAATTGAAAAAGGTTTGGAGAAAAACGCCGCACAATTGCACGGTATATGTGAGCAAACTGGGGAGGGTCTCGATCATGATGATGGGACGGTCGAGGGAACAAAGAGGAAAGAAACTATGGGAGACAATGAAGAAGTTTGCAGAGAAGGTTCCTCTGGAGAAATGAGAGAAGATGATGTATATCAAACTGTGGGAGATGATGAAAAAGTTTGCAGAGAAGGTTCCTCTGGAGAAATGAGAAAAGAGGATGTAAAGAAAACTGTGGGAGATAATGAAAAAGTTTGCAGAGAAGGTTCCTCTGCAGAAATGAGAGAAGAGGATGTAAAGAAAACCGTAGAAGTATGGAATGAAACTGTAACGCTCGTTAAGCAAGCGTTTGATGAGATACTTGCGGAAATCACTGATGATGACTCATCCGATGATATTTCTATTACAAAAGATGAACCTTTAGAGGGTGGAGTGCCAAAAGAAGATGATGTAGGAGCTGATTCGAGTGATTCATCTAGCTCAGATATGCAGCCTATTGAAGGAAGGGACAATCATTTATCTGTGATTGCTTCTGCTTTTCACATGGGGAAAGAATCTGATCATCAGAGAGGTCCCAAGAAGTGGAGTTACTTGAAAAGGGTAATTCTTCTCAAGAGGTTTCTCAAGTCGTTGGATCGAAGGGAGAAGCATAAGTTGTCTGGTGGTGAAGAGAGAGAAACAATAATGCGGTTGAGAAGAGAGTTGGTTGGGGAGAGGAAGAATGCAGAAGAATGGATGCTTGATCATGCACTTAGGCAAGTCATTTCAACACTTGCTCCGTCACAGAAAAGGAAAGTGAAACATCTTGTTAAAGCTTTTGAAAGTTTAATGCCAATGGATGGTGATTCTAGAGGTCATGATGATCTTGGAAGTCCCTCCAGAGAAGAGATTGAAACAGTGAACTCACAAACGATCTTGAGAAACAAAAACGACACTATTGATCTACTAGAAGTTTTGCCAGCAAAGGATCTTGAAGAAAACAACTTAAGTAGTGAAGCATCATCCTCTCTGCATATTGATATGAAATGTGATGAAACTTTGGAATCAATAGCAGAAGCAAGTATATGTAATTATCTTGCCGAGGAAGAAGTAGATGGGTCGCTTTCCGGTTCATTGATAGAAAAAGAAGAGATGAAAGGAGATTCTGAAAAGCTAAATCTTTTTATATGGAGGAACCTTATACAGAAGCACATGGTCATCAGTGACAACAGTGAGGGAAATCGTGATGAAACTGAGCAAGAACACAAGTGGTCCTGTGGAGCTGATCAGATGACATGTATTGAAGATGGAAATGATGCAGCTGTTAAATCGATTCAGCTAGCTTTTGAAACGATTCTCTCAGAGATACCTGACTCATCGTCCAACGAAGAGATTGCTTCAGAATCATCTAACTCTCTTAAAGAGGAGAGAGAATATCAAGGAGAGACCAAGAGGAGCTGGAACAGCCTGCGAAAGGTTATTCTTTTGAAAAGATTTGTGAAAAGCTTGGAGAAGGTACATGTTTTAAATTCGAGAAAGCTACGGAATCTACCTGTTGAATCTGCATTTCAGACAGAAAATGTATTCCTGAGACACCGGTCAATAATGGAGGGAAATAGAACAGATGGAGAGGAACTGTTGCTGGATTATGCTCTGAGACACCGGTCAATTATGGATGGAAGTAGAACAGATGGAGAGGAACTGATGCTGGATTATGCTCTGAGACAAGCTATATCAAGATTGGCTCCTATACAGAGAAAGAAGGTAGAACTCCTTGTTCAGGCCTTTGATACAGTTCTTGATGGGCATGATACTCCTAAACAAACCAAGACTAGTGGTACCTCTCAGAACAATGATGAAACTGGCGAAGAAGGAAATCCAAAACTAGAGGATGGTTGTGAAGTCAAAAGAGATGAGCAGAAGATTAAAAATGTCTTTGCTAGATTTCAGGTTCATCAAAAAGACTTGAAAGGAGAAGAAGAGGTTGAATCTACGTCGAAGGAATCCAGAAATTTGCCTCCTATCAGAAATGTCAAACAGCGCATCGTGATTGAGAAGGAGAAAGATTCGAGAATGTGGAAGCTTATCTATAAACACATGGTAACAGAGAAAGAAGGAACTGATTCTGCAAATGGTAAATCAGTGGCTTCAGTTGAACATGAATGTGATGATGAGGCTGGTGGTCTGATTAATGCTAGAAGAAGTGGAACAGTTACACTTGTTAGAGAAGCGCTTGAGAAGATTCTCTCTGAAATCCCAGATAACTCATCTGATGATCAATCAATGGACAGTGATATAACTACGGATCAAGAACTATCTGAAAGAAACTCTCAAGTTAGTGAAGAGCATGTTTCTTCAGCAAGGGTGGGCACCTTCAAACCAAAGTCTGATGAGAAAAGATTGAAGGGATGGAACAATGTGAAGAAAGTCATTCTTCTAAAGCGATTTGTTAGCGATTTAGGAAGTCTAACAAGACTCAGCCCCAAGACACCTCGGGTTTTGCCTTGGGAACCCGATCCAGAAACCGAAAAGATCCGTTTGAGGCATCAAGAAGTTGGAGGGAAGAGGAATTCAGAGGAATGGATGCTCGATTATGCACTACGGCAAGCCATATCGACTTTAGCACCGTCTCAGAAAAGAAAAGTCTCTCTTCTTGCACAAGCTTTCGACACTATAAGCTTACAAGATATGGGGAGTGGTTCAACCCCCGGTTCAGCAGCAACATCCAGGAACATCTCTCGTCAATCCAGCATTTCTTCTATGGCGGTCCATAATGAAAATGAAAGTAATGCTGAAATTCTAAGAGGAAGATTGCGAAATCTACAAGAGAATCTCAAAGATAGCACAAAAGAAGATGGTGTAGCCAATGATTTTGAGGAGAAACAACAATGCTCGAGCTTGTGGCGGTTATTATGCAAACAGATGGAAGACAATGAGAGAAACCAAGCATTGCCTGAAGAAACAATAGAAACAAGAAAAGAAGAGGAAGAAGAAGAAGAAGAATCAAAGAGCGACACAGGTGTGGATGGTGAAAAGATGGAGCTTTACCAAACCGAAGCAGTGGAGCTATTAGGAGAGGTCATAGATGGAATCTCTCTTGAAGAGAGTCAAGATCGGAACATCATCCAAGGAGAAACAAAACAGAAAAGTGAAACTTTGCAGGTCTCAAAAGTGAGGATTGACCGATGGAGCAACCTCAAAAGAGCGATATTGCTGAAGAGATTTGTCAAAGCCTTAGAGAATGTAAGGAAATTCAACCCGAGAGAGCCTCGGTTCTTGCCTCCAAACCCCGAAATTGAAGCAGAGAAAGTGAATCTAAAGCATCAAGAAACTCAAAACAAGAAAAACGGCGATGAATGGATGGTCGATAACGCGCTTCAAGGAGTGGTTTCGAAGCTAACACCAGCTCGGAGACTTAAAGTTCAGTTATTGGTGCAAGCCTTTGAGACACTTTCTGCAGGGAACTGAGACAAACAGTATTGTCTTACTACACACGGTTTTCAGTTCATAAGGTAACTTAAGCATCATAATACATTACACTCTTTAGATAGTCTCTCCATTGTTTGATGATAACTTCATACAGATTTGCAGCTTCAGAAAACAAAGAGACCATGAAGAACAAGATCTGAAAGACTAATCAAGGAACTGGAAGATAACGAAATAATTTTTATTTGCTCTTGCCATTTCCCATGTGTTTCTCATCTTTTGTTCTTTCATTGATTCATCATTATTTTGATTAAAATGGATTCAATTACAGAATTGTCCAACCCTTTTTTTTGTTAATAGCTAATAAACCTAAGACTGAATCTAACGGAAGATATTAATTCAAAAAATCCAAACCGAATTCTAAAATAACTTGAATACTTTTACAACAACTAACTAATTGTAAGAAAAAAAAATATATATTTTCAATATTTAGTTTCGGATTTTATTGCTTAGTCTTAAAAACGCGCTAATGAAATTGCATAATCTTTTAATCTATATAAGTATTCTTACGCGTTTCCCAATCGGATTTGAAATTGGTAATTAACATCTAATCTCGCGATATAAATACAGATCCTCGTTCCTCAGTTCCAAACATCAAGAAACACATTCTACCAAAAAAAAACATCAAGAAACACAAGTTTTTTCTCTCTCTTTTGTGTCCGTCCACCACTTAAAAAACACAAGTTCAGTAGACAATTAGACAACTGCCACATGTCCACAAACGTGTCCTTCGTGTCCTGTCACGCCGCCGTGAAACAAAACCCTCTGAAACGTAAACGCGACGACGAGATATCTGATGAGATTCATGAGAAAATCGTCCGCATCATGGCTATGCACAAAGAAGAAGACGAGCCGTCTCCACCATCTTGGGCGATTCTCTGCCTTGTTGGGCCTTACATGGAGCCTGAGACTCTAGCCACAGCCTCTTGCGTCTCCACCACGTGGTCCAAGTGCTTCTCCTCGGAACATCTTTGGAAGTCTCTACTAGCCACACGTCATTCTGCTTTCTTCAAAGTCGTCACCACCAAGGAGGAAGCTAAGCCGGCCTGGCTATCGTACAAGCGCCTAACATCTGAAGCTGAATCTGCCTCAAAACGCCGCCGCAACAACCAACCCGCGAAGCCAAGGATCTCTCTCTCCGACCTCCTTTTCATCGTCCACGTGTCAGCTGGATCAACGGAAGCAGTGGTTGTGAAGCAGGGGAAGGATCTTGCTTTCGGCTCCAACGAGCGGTTCAAAATCGAAGCTGACGTAAGCGACTCGGGGCTCACCGCTGATATGAAAGACGTGAGAATGTCGTGGAGCGTCGCATTGAGGAATTACGAAAGAATCTTCCTGATATCGGATACTGTGGTGAAGTCGCTAGATTCTAAGATTGGATGGTTCACCGATGAACTCCCGGCGACAAGAAACCGCTACTGCGACGGCAGCAACCTGGTCGGAGACGTGAAGCCAAGTTTCAAAGAGGAGGTTCTTGATAAAGTCGTATTCGGGATGGCAGATTCACGCAACTGGAAATCTCTGTTTGTTGACGATGTCTTGAGATACCTCCAATGTTTTCTTCTCGACTAAAAGTTTTCGAGTGTAGTAGATTGTTACGCAAGTTACAAGTTTCCAGTAGAAAGTAGATTACTTAGTGTTTTCTTTTTCCTTGCTTTAGTTTTCAATGTTGCAAATAATCATTTTGGTGTCTTTTTGCAATGAATAATAATCAAGGTTTCTATTTTTTTTTTTTTAAAACAAAAAAAAGGAAAGCTTATTACTCTGCGATTTACCAACTTGGTAAATTATTTGGCAAGGATAATCCATATTTTAAGTCTAAATATTTAATTCTTAAGATTTTTTAATCATATAATTGGTGATTTGGGATATTATATTAAGATGGGAGATAATAATGAGATTATCGTATTAAGTTTATCTGAATTAACCAAAAAAAAAAAAAGTTTCTGAATTGAGTTTCACGAAGTTGGAACCACGTCATCAACTCTAAACGGTCGTATTTGGGACACGTGTAAATGTAATAGCTACGGAGACGCCACATCACACCACAGAGTCTCTTCATCCCAAAAAAAAAAAAATCTTTACACTTCATCTCACATAGATAGGGTAAGCGATCTTTAAACATCTTTGCTTGATCTTTATATTTTATAATTTATTTTATCTATTTTTGGTTATGCGCTTCTCTAATCTAGATCTATATGTATGTGTAAACTCATGTTTGATTATTCGTGATAGTTCCTAGATTCCCTCGGAGAATCAAATTCACTTTCATTATCAAATGGATCAAATCGCGGCTTCAGGTGTCTCAGATGGTACAACTTCATTCTCTTCTTTGGCTTTCTTTGACTCAATTCTCAGCAGATCTCATCTCAAGTCTTGTTGTTGTAATACCCATCTCTTTTAGCTCATGTGTTTTAGATTACATATGCTTTGTTTGGGTTATGACTTATGATCTTCTGTCTTAACAAGTAAGTTCGATTATGTTAGTTATGGTAATATGGTTTCTCGATTTTTTATCTCCTTATAGGTGCGGGTAAAGTAAAAGAGCCGAGGGTAATATCTCCGGGAGGATCCAAGACCGAAGAGAGGCAAAGTCAAAGCCACGGTGTGCATACTAATCAGAACGACATGAGTCAAGATGGTAGAGATCAGCCAGGTGGTGAAGTGAACATGGAAGCTTCTATATCAGCAGAAGATGTGATAAGAGCTGGAGGGTTTGGTGCAAAAGACGACATTGGAAGTTTCCTTCCTGTGGCGAGTGACTCAACTGACTTTGAGGAATCAATCCGCTCTGCTCGCGGCTATGAAGAAGCGCAACCAGAGGTTCAAAGACCAGGTCTTGGCTGGCCTAAAGAGTAAAATCTTTGCCTTGGTGGCTCTAGTGCTTCTGCAGTTATTGTTTGTGTTTCTTGGTATCAAATTGTAATGTGTGAATCTTTGTTGATGGGTTAAGGGCTTGGAAGATTTCAAGGCAGAGAACTCTTGCTCTACTTGCTACATTTTTTAGAAAGTTTCTTTTTAGCTAAAAAGCATTCCATATATTTAAAGTTCTCTGAATTGCAAATGCTCTGTTTTATTGCTCTGCTTATAGCAAAATTGAATCTCTTAACAGAACTTGTTAATCATTTTAGATATTCTATAGCATTATATTAATCAATCAATGCTTAGACTAGTAGTACATCAATAACCTTATATGATCAAACAAACCTCGAAAGTTCTCTTGGTTAAAGGCACAACGATGTACAACCACAAAAACTGTGATTATCTTACCATACACTACTAATTTTTTCTCTTAATCCAAATAAATTATGGATGGTATAAGTGGGGCGGACTAATGGAATTATATATGGAAAGTACCAATTATACGTCAATAATTCACTTTTATATATATATATATATATATCATAATGCATGTGTCAATTACGTTGAGACCATTAGCTGGTGATCTAAGTGGGACAATGATAGAAAGAAATATGGAATCATCTTTCATTAAGTGGCTCAAGTTGCAGAGACTCTCACTGGAGCTTTTTAGCTCTCATATACATATCATCTAATCCAATTTTCCAATGTCTTGTCTATAACTTTTACGACTATCATTTTTATTTTCTTTTTGTAATATAAATCTGCAATTTCGATAATAAAATATAGTATGATTTATTTCAAAGTGGCTAATCATATCATAGCACTCAGCTACTTGGATATTATTTGATGGGTCTTTTATTGGCGACCACTATACATTTTGTTTGTCGCATTACTACTGATTTGGAAGCTGGTAAGCGTAAGAGAGTTGTAACATTTAAGAAAAGGAAAGACAGAGTTAGCTCTATCAATTAAAAAAATTTATCAAAGAAATTAAACAAATATGATTTTACCACTCAACTTTAAAGACTGAAGATCATTAAGATAAATGACAAAAAGCTACAAGTAACTTGAACTTGATAAGTATAAAATAGATTAGTAGTTTAATATCACATTCTAATTATTCATTAGCATAAGAGTTTCACTGTGTAACAACGTGTACACATTCGCTGGGTGTATACACAGTATACCCGTAGTAATTGTCTTGTCTCTTCAGGTCACCGATATCGAATATTGCCCCTATTTATATCTCCACATCATAGACTTACGTACACTCTCTTGTCACCACCAAGCAAAAGAAAAGAACCACTGCCATGGCCACTTTCTATATTTCTTCTATATGGAGAAAGACATAAATTAAGAAATAACATTTTATTGTTTTTTCTATAACCCACAAGCGAAACGTTGATCTTCTCAGACTCAGCCAGCTATCATCTTTGCTCTAATGGTGGAAGACATTTTCACAAGATTCTTCATCTTTTTCACAGACTCACGTGCGGTATCTATTTCTATGTCTTTACAAAGTTCTTCGTTCTTTTCACTTCTGTAAGCTGAATTTATATTCTCCGATCATATTGTGTTTAAATTCCCATATTATGTGTTTTCAGCTCAACTCATGTCTCTTTTTGCTAAAAGTTTCATGGTAATATAAAAAACTGTTGATTCAATGGTGTTGCAGGTCAATTTCCTCAAGATCTCTTAAAATGTACCAGAGACGTCCTTTGGAGAAGTTTTCCGAAGCTTCTCTTTCTCTCCGAAGGTTCTTGAATATGGCACAACAATGAAACTTGCGAACCAGAGGCATGAAAAGAAACTCGTACATTTTCCCGATCATCACCCTCCAAGCGTTTCGTTTATGTATATATTTCAGAACTGAACCCTATTACTATTAACTGTAAATCTTAGTTTCGATGTTGAGATTCAGTCAAATACCATTCCCAAAACTTACACAATAAGTATTTATCTTCAGAAACATTTAGACAAAAAATAGTTTTGAGCCATCAATATGTTTCTTAACTCTTACACACACTCACACGCAACACTATTAACCTATTACTATGGCTCTTTCTTCAAAAATGTTCATCAAACAGAGACGCTCTGTCTGATATTAGAAGGATTCGGTCCAACCCCAACCACTTGACTGTTGTTGAAACCCGCCTCCTCTGCTTCTCCCTCTCCCATTCCTCCATCGACAATCCTCTCCTCCATGTCTTACTTCTCCTCTCTTTCTCCACCCTCTGCCCTCTCTTGCTTGATCCCTACTGTTCCGATCCTCAACCTTCTTCTGGTTAAAGCTGTTGCTGTTGTTGTGATCCCAAGATTTGATTTTGAAGCTGTTGTTGTGATCCCGAGATTCGATTTTGAATCTGCTGTTGTTGTAGTTCTTCTTTTGATCCCAAGATTCAATTTTGAAGCTGTTATTGTTGGTGCTGTTCTTTTGATAACAAGATTCGGTTTTGAAGCTGTTGTTGTTGTGATCCCAAGATTCAGTTTTCTCCTTTATCCCCCAAGAATCTTCATTCCATCCATCACATTTATGATCATCCCATGAGTTGACCGGTTTACCTATTCCAACATTGTCCTCGTTAATCCCTTCAGCGTCTCCCCAACCAGTTCCCCAAACTTGCCCATCATACTGTGCAGACAAGGCCAAGGCATCGAGAATGACTACATGTTCTTCTTCTGGTATCGGGTCTGGACCATGTTCAAGGTCAAGAATGAGCTCGGTGTCAACTTCAGCGTCCCAATCAACATCATCAATGTAGACATCAGGATCAGGCAAAGATAAGTCACAAGTAAAGCCATTAATTTCTGCCCAGAACCGGGATTTAGCGTTCTTGAATGCCGCTTCCCCCGCTGAGTCATCCCATTCGACCACTCTATCGTATATGTGCATAAACCGCTTGGCCTCTACAACTCTCCACCATGGAACCGAACCAATCACAGCACAGAAATCTTTCTCCCACGCCGGAACAGAGAGTTTGGAATTAGCTGCAGAAACATAAGAAAATGGGAGTTAGAAGCTCTGATCAGTGATCACATGCTAAATACAAGTAACGAATAGCTTACAGATCAACAAAAAAGTACAAACAATAAACAGGTTCAAAGGATAAATTGATTTTCATCACTGTACATGCAGGAATTAGGAACTAGAAGTAAAAGATTAAACAAAAACAAAAGCTCACAAACCTAACAAAGATGAAGTCAATGAGTATTACGGATTCTCTAAATCGACTAACCTAAAGCAACATAAGAGAGCTTAGAACGGACATTGATGAACACACCACAAACCCTAAGAACACAACAGCAGAGCCAGACACAGAATCCGAGGAAAGATACCCATCAAACAGAATTCAAATCGACGAAAGGTTTACATAATTGAATAAGACAATCAGTCAATCAATCAATAGTCCACGAAATTTGTAAAGATGAAGAAAACGAAAAAAACAGAGAGAAGAGTAACACAAAGAGCATACCAAGAGGCGGCTTAGATGAAGTTAGCGTCGGCCCTTGTTGATGAATATGATTATTATTAATAAAGTTTCTGGGTTTCTGTCTTCTCCAATTAGTACTACCCATGATGACCAGACAAAGATTGAATTTTTATATCAAGGAATAAACAAAACCCAAGAAGAAGACAAGGAAACAAACAGCTTCCAAATCAGGCAGATTTAAGGAACCAAAATCCCTGAATTCGGAGAATTTCCAGAGAAAGATGTTTCTTTTAGAGCACCGATAAAAGGAAGAAGTGATAAAACAAATCAAAGTCCCAAACTTTGATTTTTATACTAGTAACGCGATGATGAATGATGAAGGGAGATAACAAATCAATATCCCAATTTTCCTTTTTTTCATTCGTTATTTTGATTTTCTTATTTTCAGGTGAAAAGGAAAAATAGAGAAACCTTTTAATGTTTTATTTCCTTTTCGTTTGTGTTGGAGATATATTTCCTTTTTCTGAAACGGAAATTTTGATGTTTTTTTTAATAACGAATAAATATTATATGGTTCCTTATTAAATTGCTTTTTTCTCACTCTTGCATTGATTTTAAATTATGGCTTTGAATTAACATTAGTAAATCGAGTCGGTCAAAAAAACATTAAATGGTCGACAAAAAAAATTGAATCTTCGAGTCGGTCAAAAATATTTGTTATTTTTCCATCCAGAGAACAAAAACAATATTTGGAAAAAAATATTTATTTGTATGTCTTAACCGTTCGATTTATTCCGTAGATCTTGTCCGTGCGATGAAACCTGAGAGAGCCGCCCTTAACGCAAACCTGAACCAAAATTAAATAATTGTTCTTAGTCCGGTTCAATCGCAAAACTAAACCCGGTTAAGAGAAGGTGCTGTGTCCGGTCTCCGGGTCCGGGTAACTTTATATGTGTAGTTGGCTCATTACACTTTCTTTGCAACCTTCTCTGTTGTTCAGCGAATCCTCGTCCTCGTCGTCATTAGGTCCTCCCTTCTCTCTCTCTCTCTCTCTCTCCCTCTTTTAGCTTTCGATTTCTTGACCTAATGCCAAGTCTTTGTTTCTGTCTAAGTTTCGATTCGCTCTCCCCAATCGTTTCATGATCTTAAAAAACGCAACTTTGAAGCTTAGGGTTTTCAAAAATCTCTAGCGAAAGCGAAATTCTCCGACTTTTTGTTCTTGTTCGGCTTTTGGGTGTAACCAAATTAACATCTTTTTGTAGAATTTCATGCTTATTGTTTGTTTCTCTTTAGATAATTGTTACATTGTGATCTGTAAACTTCTACTAGCTAGCTTTTGTGCTTCTTCTCTCCAGGATTTGAGTTTCTTTTGTAGCTTTTTATTTGGTGTCTTTTCTCTTCTTTTTATCCTCTGTTTTTGTATTAATTGTTTTGGATTCTCTTACTGATTATCAAAGAAACAGTGTCTACAATGTCTTGTTCTTCCAGGCTAAAAACCAGTTTGGGGATGAGGTCTGATTTGAGTGTTCATGAGGTTCTTAACAATAATGATGCTATGTGTGAGGTTCTTCTCTTGCTTCCACCAGAAACAATCTACAAGCTGATCTTGGTGTCCAAGAGATGGCTTCAGATTATATCCAGCCCTTACTTCCGTCACACTTACTTAACCAAGTGGAAACCTAGCTTTCAACTCATTGGCTTCTTCGTCGGCAGCTCCATGTACCTTGGAAAACGCCTTAATGGTCGTCGCCCTCGAGCTGAACCTTCGCTTCCTTTGCTCTCAACCAGCAGTCTTGGTGATGAAATTGAATCCTCTGGTATTCTGAAGAAGCTTGGATACTACATCGACTCTTCAAACGGTCTTTTACTTTGTGGCCGCCATCCAAAAGCTTACTACTTGTGGGATCCGAGTACCCAGAAGCAGCAGCAACTTCCTCGTCCTAGAGTTCATTTCGAAGAACTTTCTATGTCTTTGATCACTGAGGATTGTCCTGATAAAGGGTTAAGCTACAAGGTGATCCGGGCAGAGTGTGTAGGCTTCACACCTCACAGTACAAAGGTGAAGGTGGAGACTTTTTCCTCAAAAACTACTACGTGGAGCTACTCAGAGCTTACTTGTCCTGAGCCTATATCTCTCAGCTCGTGGACTCCAGGGAGAGTGATCAAAGGCGTTGTTTATTGGCATGCCACAGGAGGTAAAATCGCCATCTATGACTCAAACAGTGAGGAGAAGCGGATCAATGTGATAAAGCTTCCGAAGACATATGACTATGATGAACAGGCTCTGGGTGAAACCGATGATGGGTGTTTACAATACGGATGGAGCAATAAGTCGGTAATGGAGGTGTGGAAGCTTGAAAAAATAGACAATGTGCTTCAGTGGAACCTTCTGTTTAAGCTGAATTTCAAGGCTATGTGGAGGAAGAACCCAACAGAAGCAACACGATTCAGCACTCGAACTAAAGAAACGCAGCTGCTTGCCTTCCTCAATCAGAAGTCGGACACGGTTTACATCAGATGTGAAACGCAAATATTCATCTATGACAGAGAGACACAAAGGGTCGAAGTGGTTCAGTACCAAGGACGAAAATCGACATTCATTTGGGAATTCTGCAAAGTCGTGCCTTACTTTCGACGTACCTGGCCTACTTCTCCTCTGTTTGAAAACAGTGCCATTATGATCGACACTCCTCAATGCAACGCCTCTTCCGCAGGAAGTAACTAAGTAGTTTAATGCTATTAATCAGTTTGTGTGTAGGCCATTGAACTACTTCTTATGTTTTGGGGATGAAGTTTTTGGTTTGACCATTGATGAAACCTCTCATGGTTTTGATGTGTATCTCATGGTTGTCATTAAAGGTCATTGAACCCCGTTTTCCTTTTTGCATCTGCGTTTTGCGATTTACTCAGTTGTTAGCTAGTGATTGATGGTAGTTTTCACATAGATCTATCTAACAAATTCTAAATCAAATTTCACTTATCATACCAGTAATTGATATCATCACTTGTGTATTTGTTCTGAAGTTTCAGGTTGAATCCAAAGATAATATCAATATTAAAAGTTGCCTTAATGGGTCACTTGGATGATGATGAGTAGGATGTGGAGAATGTCCACATTCTTTGAAATGTAGTAATGAGGAATGTATGTTTTTTCAATTTAAGAAAAGAAGAACTAAAATATTTATAAAGTCATGTAGTGATCTAAGAAACAGATCACAGCTTCTCTCCTCTATGTAAAATCTTAGGTACAGATAATACTTTATGATCTCATTATTGGTACATTCATTTTATTTTTCTTTTTGCTTGCAACTTTTCTCCTCCCTTGGCAAAGAAATAAGCTTAGCTTACAATTTAAAAGTTGAAGCATAATAATATTGGATTTGATGAAAAACAAAAGAGTGGTGGGACGATAGAACAACTCAAAAGGATCATTAAACCGTGTTGAGAAACTCAAAATGCATTATTTAAAAGGCTAAACGAGACCTATAAGGTTGCTCTATGTTCATATCATATATGGCTCACATGGCTCATCATTGTTTCAGTGACATGATACCTAAAGGTGTAATGATCTACTCAACAACGAGTTTTGGTCTATATGGACCACCATCAACTAATTGTAATTTATATTTCCATCTTATAACTAGATATATGCGATAATATTGAGCTCATTAGTATTATGGAGCTTTTGAAGTTACGAATATTCATATACATGTTTTGAGTTTTTACCAGTTTTTAATAAAGTTGATTAGTTTGTATAAAAATCTTAGTATATTATTTCTTATAATGTCAATTAAGTTGAAATTAGTACGTTTTACTAATCTCAACATGAATAACCTAAGTAAATGTAGTTCTTGATTTAAAATCTTCAAAGTTAGATATATTTAATTAATTTTTCTTTCTCAATTTGATGATTAAACTGTACTATCACTCATTGTTGTCATTATTTTCTTTTCTCTCCAAGCTATGATATTTCATGAGTCCATTACATTAGAATATGATATGATCTACTCTTTTTCTGTTACATCTTTACACATAATTTTCTTATATCTTGATACATATAATAGATACGTTGACAAGCCACATGTTCTTTAATCACAAGCCAAAAGCGGCAAGAAAGAAAGAAGAAAAGAATTGAATAATTGTTTAAGTGATACATTTCTTTTTGAAGGTGGACCAGTTTGAAGTGATTGGTTAAGAAGCAAAAGAAAGAAAAATAAAGGAGAGTTAGGGGGTTTGAACAAGTCAGTAATCATAGGTAGTGAAAGTGACAGTTGGATAAAGGTGTGTGTGTGTGTGTGTGTGTGTGTGAGAGAGAGAGAGAGAGAGGATCCTATATTTAGACATCACTAGAATTCATCTCTTCACATATGTCTGAAATCTCCAAATCATCACTACAATTCTTTCTTTCACACAAAATCTGTTTCATAATTGATCCGATCATTTGGTTTTGCGTTCACAGGTAAGAGAAGATTCTTCTATAACTATTACAGAATGTGTTGTTACATCATTACTCTATTGATGTTGATGTGATATACACTTACGGATATGTTCTATTGATGAGTCTAATAATGTTGAAACATAAAACAGGTTATTGCTTATGTATGGATGGATACCTTTTGATTCTCTCTTAATGAGTCTTCTTTAGTTTCTTGTTATGTATTCTTGATCAAATCAATAAGAGGCTTTATTGTTTTCTTAATTGGAGAACTCTATCTAATGGCGAAGCGGAGGTCGTGGTTTGGTTGGATGAAAAGACTATTCATCTGCGAGGCGAAAGCAAAAGCAGAGAAGGTTTTTGTTCATTTCTCTTTGCTACCATTCATTTTTTTTATGTTTCTGATTCTATAAACTGATTCGTTTTTTTTTTTTTGTAGAAGCCAAGGAGATTGAGATGGGTGTTTAGGAGACTGAAGCTGAGACAGCAGATTGCAACTTGTGGGCAAGAGACAAGGACTTTGAACGAAGCAACACAGGATCAGAGAAAGCATGCTGTGAATGTAGCCATTGCCACGGCTGCAGCAGCTGAGGCGGCGGTTGCAGCAGCCAAGGCAGCTGCTGAGGTTGTCCGGATGGCGGGAAACGCCTTCACATCACAAAATTTTGTCAAGAAGCGTGATCCTTATTTGGCTGCTATCAAGATTCAGAGTGCCTTCAGGGCTTATCTGGTCAGACACTCTCTACTTTTGAGATTATAAAAGCATCTTAGTTTCTATTTGAAGCTATCTTTCATGCAGTGTTTGATCTTGTGACTGATTACTAAACAGGCCAGGAAAGCGTTGCGGGCGCTGAAGGCACTCGTAAGGCTTCAAGCAATTGTTCGTGGCCGAGCTGTTAGGCGAAAGTTTTCTGCTTTATTGAAATCTTCTCCCTCCAACAAAGCTTCAACGTCAAGCATCATCAAGAGAAACACAGAGAGAAAGCATTGGTCCAAGACCAACTCTGAGATCAAAGAAGAGCTTAAGGTACCAAAACATTTGATCTGTAACCCGAAGGTCGAGTGCAATGGTTGGGACAGTAGTGCTCTCACGAAGGAAGACATCAAAGCTATATGGTTGAGGAAACAAGAAGGTGTGATCAAGCGTGATCGCATGTTAAAATACTCCCGCTCCAATCGGGTAAGTTCTCTCTCAATATCTTTATATAACCGATCAGTTTTGGTTTGAGGTCTCAAGGTGTTGTATTTGCAGGAGAGAAGAAGTCCTCATATGCTTCTAGAGTCACTTTACACTAAGGATATGGGGATGAGAAGCTGTCGATTGGAACATTGGGGTGAATCCAAGTCTGCAAAATCCATAAACTCATTTCTCATTCCAAGTGAAATGTTAGTCCCTGCAAAAGTAAAGCTTAGAACCCTGCAGAGACAAGACTCTAGCGATGGACAAGACTCTCCATTTTCTTTCCCGAGGAGATCTTTCAGCCGTCTGGAGCAGAGTGTACTGGAGGACGAGAGCTGGTTTCGAAGCTCCAATGGCTCCCAGCCTTACATGAATGTAACAGAGTCTGCAAGGGAAAAGATGAGATCGCTGAGCACACCGAGGCAACGTGTAGGGCTGGATTCTTGGTTTGATAACTACAAGAAGGATGGGGATAATAAAGTCTCCCTCTGGTCTTCTTTTGTCTGTGAAAATAGTAAGATCAACAGCACAAAGAAGTCACATACCAACATAATTGTTAAATCTTGAAAATTTTCATGTCACTTTCTTTGGTTTTTCTCTTTGTTTTGTTTTTTTGGTCTCATATCTCATGTTCTTTATAGATATGCTTATGAAGAGGGCTAATTCTTTGGTGTTTGGTGTCTGCTTCTGTTCTTTAAGGAATAGGAAGCATCTTTATCAGTGTGATACATTTTGTTCAAACCATGAATGTTTTAAACCATTATGACAGCTATATTTTCAAGATTCTATAGACTTCATATCATTGTAATGGCATAGGAAAGGATATAAAAACAAGGCAACGAAATCAAGATGAGGAGATAGGGAGATCTGCAGAGTGAAATTTGGAAACTAAAGATAAAACATGGATTCCTCATCAAAGAAGTTGTTCTAACAAGTTGGTATGTCAAAGGAAGAAACATGAAACTTTTGTCCTAGATGATTCCAATCTTGTTTCCAGGATCCAATGCATCATAATTAACTTCTAAAGTCTTAATCAAGTAATCAACTTCTAAAAGTCAAAAAAAGGAAAAACCAAAACAAATAGAAAAAAAGGAAACTTGACGGCAAAGAAAAAAGGAAAAAAGGAAACTTTATTTTTTTGGTGTATATATTTAAGAGAAAAAAGGAAACTTGAGTCCCAAACAAAGGAGATTATAAATAAGTAGACCAGAGATGATGATCGATGCTCTAATTCTTCTTCTCCCTTCGTTTAGAAAGAATCATTCGTAAGAGATAGAGCTTCAAGGCTTCGGAAGTTCATGATGTTGGAGCTTCCTTCCGGTGACGGAGATGGCGATTAGATTGAGGGATCATCGGAGATTGGGGGATTCCTTTTTTCCGGAAACTGGGTGGTGGAGTGCAATTAACAAATTCATCGTTGTTGGCAAAAGACGATTAGAGATGATCGTGTGTGTTTCAGGTCCGTCCTACAAAAGCCCAACAAGAACAATTCCAGCCCATCAAACAATGACTAGCGATGTCCAGGTAGACGCGCGTGTTTCAACAAACGCGCCTCCTCTTCGCATGGCCGGGGTTTTAAGTTTAAAACCAACTGTTACGCAGCGTTTTGTTGAAAGCTCACATCGACGGCTGTTACCTGGCCACGTCATCGAAAGGGATAAAAGGGAACCATCCAAAAGTTGTTTCTTTGGAAGAAGAAGATAAGAAAGATCTTTGCGGAACAAAAGTCTTGAGCTTTGATCACACTACTAATGGAGGCTCTGCAATGTTCCAGCCATTTCACCGTGAGTAGAGTTCCTTGTGCTCAGAGCTGTACGAGAAATAGGAGAAGTAGGGCTACGTTGAGCTCTGCATTCATCGGTACCAGCAATTCAGCTTCTCTCTCCTCGCGGAATCTCTCCACGGTCTGGCTTCTAATTTTTTTGCTTCTTTACGTTTTCGTTTTCATCTAAGTTTGGGTGCGCTTGTCAGGAATTTGTGATTTAGTCTTCTTTGTGATGTTTCTGTATTGAGTAGCGAGAGATATGGAGTTGGATGAATTTGAAGACTGTTGGCCATGGAAGATACAGAAGAAGCCAAGTGAGAGCCGAGATGTTTGGTCAGTTGACTGGTGGACTCGAGGCTGCTTGGAGCAAACTCAAAGGCGAAGGTTCGATTTTTTTCTACTTTTTGTCCCCTTGAGCTCAAATTAGGATTCTCTTATAAGTAGCTTTGGTAGTTGGCTCGGAAACATAGTTCTGTCGGGTGAAGATAGGCATTTTGTTTATGTATGTGAACAAATATAGCTAAGCTCAAACACAAGCCTGGAAAGAGGAATAATTTAGAGTAACATTGTTCTATAAGCGCAATTGAAGGGGTGTGTGATCGTGCTACTGGTGGATACAGAAAGGATTAGCACGGTTTTAAAAGCTGGTTACGTTATTTGAACTTGCAGAGGTCTTGACAAAAGAGAATATTGCTGAACCAATGCGAGATATTAGAAGAGCTCTCCTCGAAGCAGATGTGAGTGGTGGTGTTTTCTTCTGTTTCATTTAGGTTCTTGTGAAGAATGTGGTCTAAAAGTGATTTAGTCGCTTGGTGGTTTTGTCAACAGGTGAGTCTCCCAGTTGTTAGAAGGTTTGTCCAGTCTGTTAGTGACCAAGCCGTTGGAATGGGTGTCATTCGTGGAGTCAAACCAGATCAGCAATTGGTCAAGGTAAATCAGCAATAAAAGTGGTTCTTATTTCTGTTTCTGTTTCATCTCCTCAGTCCTTCCTCATATGTTTTTATAGTTTTTTCACTCTTCTCATTTTGGTTTCAATAGCACTGACGTGTGGCTTACCATGGCTATGTTGCAGATTGTAAATGATGAACTAGTGAAATTGATGGGTGGAGAAGTATCCGAACTACAGTTTGCCAAATCAGGTCCTACAGTAATATTGTTGGCTGGGCTCCAAGGTGTTGGAAAGACAACGGTTTGCGCTAAACTAGCTTGTTACCTAAAGAAGCAGGTATGCTTTTTGTAAATACAGTTGAGATTTTGATTGGATTTGTTTGTTACTCTCTGACATTTATGCTATTTACAGGGAAAAACTTGCATGCTTATTGCTGGAGATGTATACCGACCTGCTGCCATTGATCAGCTTGTCATTTTAGGTGAACAGGTATTGAAATTTTTACTTTTGAAGCATCGTGTGCATTGGTAGAAATGGCTTAAGAGAAACTCTGTGTGAACATGTGATGTTACTAGATACCGTAAATCAATATATCCTGATACCCTCTTTATTTCAGGTTGGTGTGCCGGTTTATACAGCAGGGACTGATGTAAAACCTGCAGATATAGCAAAGCAAGGGCTAAAAGAAGCTAAAAAGAATAACGTCGATGTAGTTATAATGGATACTGCAGGAAGGCTTCAGGTAATCTTTCGTCTTTCAAAGTCATCGTATCAAAAATCTATTGCAGCTTTGGTCATGAAATTGACTCTTTGTGACAGATAGATAAAGGCATGATGGACGAATTAAAAGACGTGAAGAAATTTTTGAATCCCACAGAAGTGTTACTAGTTGTTGACGCCATGACTGGACAAGAAGCTGCAGGTACGCTGTTTGTATTCTACATTTTTCAGGGAGATTAGAAACATCCTGAAAATGAATTAGTATTAGAACCTGACATGTCTCAGTCATATACTAAGATGAGCTTCTGTACTTCCTACAGCTCTGGTGACAACATTCAATGTAGAGATAGGAATCACAGGAGCCATTTTGACAAAGTTAGATGGTGATTCAAGAGGTGGTGCTGCTTTGAGTGTCAAGGAGGTTTGTATTCTTCTTCTTTGATCAATTATGTCATAGAAAGTTAATTAACGTTTTACGTTAATAGTTTACTCTTAATTTGGTGTCACTAGGTATCAGGAAAACCGATTAAACTGGTAGGACGTGGAGAGCGGATGGAGGATCTTGAACCCTTTTATCCAGATCGAATGGCTGGACGAATTCTAGGAATGGGGGATGTGCTTTCATTTGTAGAGAAGGCATCAGAAGTTGTAAGTTCTTTCTCAGTAAAATTACTGTCAAAACTGTATTTTTTTTCTCTTCCGCTCTCTCTCTCTCTCTCTCTATACATTGAATTCTTCTTCATCTTGCTTTATAGATGCGTCAAGAAGATGCTGAAGATCTACAGAAAAAGATAATGAGTGCTAAGTTCGACTTCAACGATTTCCTAAAGCAGACTCGTGCTGTTGCGAAAATGGGTTCAATGACACGAGTTCTTGGAATGATACCCGGAATGGGGAAAGTGAGTCCAGCACAAATCCGAGAAGCAGAAAAGAATCTGTTAGTTATGGAAGCAATGATTGAAGTGATGACACCCGGTATTTTCTCTGTTCCTTTCTTCCATTCCATTAAACAAACAAAAAGCATTTCATAAACTGGATTTTGGTTGTCTTATTCTTGATTTTAAATATGTTGGACAGAGGAAAGGGAGAAACCAGAGTTACTAGCAGAATCACCAGAGAGAAGAAAAAGAATTGCAAAAGATTCAGGAAAGACAGAACAGCAGGTAGTCTCTGCAGATCTCAGACAAGAAGAAGAAGATTCTCAATACTGAATTTATGTTGTTGTTTTTCAGGTGAGTGCACTTGTAGCACAAATCTTTCAAATGAGAGTGAAAATGAAGAACTTGATGGGAGTAATGGAAGGAGGATCAATTCCTGCATTAAGTGGTCTCGAGGATGCATTGAAAGCTGAACAAAAGGTTTCTTACATTTTTTCTTCTTCGTCTTTTTTAACCTTATCATGTAACAAAGTCTAATGGAATCTTGTAAATGTATCTTAGGCGCCACCTGGAACTGCTAGGAGGAAGAGAAAGGCGGACTCAAGGAAGAAATTTGTAGAGTCAGCATCAAGCAAGCCAGGCCCTCGTGGCTTCGGCTCTGGTAACTAATACTGCTTCTATCCAATTTGGTAAATCTCAAAACAGACTATTTTTGTACAAGTTATCTAATGAATTCACAAACTGGAGAGAGATCTTATGAACTAATTTATATTTGATTTTGGAAGAAATAACATCAAGTAATTAAAATGCATAAAAATTTGCATGTGCTTTTAAAAATTTTTGTAGACTGCATATTATTAAGTACTTAGTTTTTAGAGAGGAACAAACACTGAAGATATGTAAGAGTATCGTCAAGTGAAAAGTATCTCCCGTCGCCTTGGAGGAACATCTGAAGGCCGATCTTGTCAAGTAACTCGCCTTTGAAAGCCACCTCGACATAGGCGACGAGGCCACTTATCATATAGCCTTGTGGAGTAACAAGATCGTTGATCAAACATCCAAAGGTTGCGTCTAATGACCTTCGAGCATCAAAGATTGTGACGACGTCTTCCCAATCATCCTTATAAACGACCCTGCACTTGATCTTTACATCGGCCATAGTGGACTTGGACTGTCCGAGATGGCTCATGGTTTCGAATTGTATGTGGAACCGGTCATTGGGGCCAAACTCTAGCTCCTCACCATATTTCACAAGTGCTATCATATTTGCTTCGGTACGTACGTTCATGACAAAGATGAGATCAGACAAGGAGATTTTGGGTTTGGGCAGTTTCAGTTCCTTAGCTCCGGAACTATCTCCTACTTTGGCCATAATCTCACTCGTTGTTTTTGGAATGATTTTTATGACTCTCCATATTTAATATTTATAGTACAAATCTTTTTGTTCCCTTTTGTTCATGTGTCCACTACAATGACTACTCTCCATTTAATTTTGATTTATTTGCATTGATTCTCATTTAAAGAATTGTCACTCGTTAAATGATTAATTTGTAAAAACAAAGAAAAATATTATTGTAGTTCTCCTTTATATATTGTAATAACTTCCAAATATATTGCTCAAGATTCGAACAAAATCATATATATAAAAGTAAGGTTCCACTCTATCCTTATTGGTGGAAAAATATTTAAGGCTTTAATTTAAAAAAAATAATAAAAAATAAATGTTTATGACAATCATTCAATACAAAATTTAATTACACTATAAATTATAACAAATGGCAAAAAAAATGAAAGGAGTTAATCATATATCATTCAACAAAATAAATAAATAAATATTTGTTTATGACAATCATTCAATACAAAATTTAATTACACTATAAGTTATAATCAAAAGGCAAAGAAAATGAAAGAACTTAATCATATATCATACAACAAATTTTATAAGCCTTATTGGTGGAAAATAATTTAAAATCATATATATAAAAGTAAGGTTTCACTCTCTTTATTGTTCCATTTTGTATTTATTTTTTAAAATATAATATTTATTTTTAACCAAAAAAACACATTTAATCATATACATTAATTCATACTTTAAATTCACACTTTACTACTAAAATGAAACTGAAAATTATATAAATTTCCAAAGACTATTGGTTTTCTTTATTGAATTCCAATTAAACACACTATAAATTATAATTATAACTCCTCTAATTTAATTATTTTAAAAATGTAACTTACATCACTTCTTATCATATAAATAGCCATTCTCACATCCTTTTCTACCATATCTCATATCTTCATTATTCTCTTTGTTTTTTTTTAAAAGTTCTTGCATGGGGTGAAAACTCATTTAAAATATCATTGTAAGAGTTTGATTAATTATTTAGTTTAAACTTTTGTTTTCAATTTTATTTATTTTTTGTTTTTATGTATTTCTTTATGTCTTCATTGTTTTTATATTTTTAAATGTAATACATATGTATAATAATATTTTATGGTTATAAGAAAATCAATCTAAAGAAACCATCTTCATTATTTCACTTTGGATGTTTGTTTCGTTCTCACATATTCATGTATATTTAATTTATTTTCAAAAGTATGTAATTTTTTAACAAAATAAACTTTTTGTTATATAATTATCAAACCAATTTGTAATACATTCTTTTAAGAATAATGATCCTTATATTTAGTTTGTGACTCAACATGTAATAATACAAAGAACATTATAATTTGTTTTAACTTTGAATTTTATACTTGATTTCCTATCTAAAAAACAATTTGATATTCCATTTTCTATCTATTATATATACTACAAGGATGAAAAATATAATTAAACCCAAAAATATAACTTAAATTAAGAGGAATATAAAAAGAGATTAAAAATAAAATTATTTCTTGGGAATTTTTAAGGTCTCACTCTCTCCTTATTCGTCCATTTAGCATTTATTTTTTAATTATAATATTTATTTTTAATTAAACCAAATATCTAACACATTTAGTCATATACTTTAATTCATACTTGAAATCCACACTTTACTATTTAATTGTAACTTAAATTATATAACCTTTCAATTGACTATTTGTTTCCTTCATTTAACTTCAATTAACACACTATAAAATATAATTATAACTCCTCTGATTTAATTATTTTAGAATTGTAACTTACATCATATTTTATCATATAAATACTCATTTTTACATCCTCCTCCACCATATCTGATATTCTCAATATTTTCTTTGTTTAATTTTTAATGTTCTTGCATGGGTTGAAAGCTCAATTAAGATATCATTGTAAGAGCTTGATTATATATTTGGTTAAAATTTTTGTTTTCAATTATATTTCTTCTTTATTTTATGTACTTCTTCATTTTTTCATTGTTTTTTATACTATTAAATGTATAATACATATGTATAATAATATTTTATGGCTATAAGGAAATTACTTTATCGATGAGATTCAAAAATATTGATTTCTGACCATCGCACCAAAAGAAAATCAAGCTAAATAAACCATTTTCATTGTTTTACTTTATATGTTTTTTTCTTTCTCACATATTCATGTATATTTATTTTATTTTCAAAGTATGTAATTATTTTAACAAAATATTTTTTTGTTATATTCAAACCAATTAGTAAGACATTGAAATAAATAAAATTTTATACACAAATAAAGGTAATTTTTGTGTATATTTATAAGTTTACACACATATTTGGATAAATTTCAACATTTTTAGTGGTTGTTTTGATAAAGTTTGAAAATGGGGTAAATTTAAAAAGTGGTATTTTTAAAGGGGTATTTTTTAAATTCTCCCAATATCATTCCTATTTTAATCATTAACAATATTATTGTTTTATCAAAAATACTTAAAAGTACTAAAGAAAATTACTATCAAAATTGATTAATTGAACAATTAATCAACGAATAAATTCAAAAGATATGGATGTATGCTTCTATTGTATGATTTAAATAAATAACATGTAAAAATATCATAAGCATTAAAATTTATTTAATCTATTTTTTATAAGTGATAAATAAATTAAAATAATTAAATAAATATACAACAACGCGCGCATATGCGCGGGACATTACCTAGTGTATTAATTTATAAACTTTTTTTTTGTTGAGATACATTATTAAATATGGCCACGCGCAGTGTTATTTAGGAATCGTGTTTTTATGCAGTTTTTGCTTAACGCCCTCTACGCGCAACTGATGCGCGTGGGTTTTAGATCATGATACTAATGTTAATGAACATACATTAACGGGCCTCGGGGTTTAAAGTTAAAAAACTCATAAAAGGCCTCGATCTAGCAATCGCTTCAATTTTCGGTTTAGGTTCGGTTAAGAAGAATTGTTAAAATAATAATATTCAAAGTTGATTCGTTTGGATCCGAATCAATTTGTTTTTAGGAGAGAAATGACAGTTCTCTTCCGCGTAACGACACCACCGTGCCTTCTCATTCCTCCTCCGCCGCTATCTCACCGCCGGAGCTCATCTCTCTTCCTCAAACCCACATTTCTACCATATCCGAGACCTCTGATCTCCCGTAAAACATCCATTCTCCGACTTCGGGCCAATAATCCAACAGTCAATTCACTAAAACCCCTTGAAAATGTTAGACCCTATCTGCAATCGGAATCTAGAACCGTCCTTCTTGGTTGGCTCTGCAGCTGTGTCTCTGTTGTCTCGCTTTCTCAGATTGTCCCTAGGCTCGGTTCCTTCACTTCTAACCTTAACGCTAACGCCGCGAGCTTGACGAAGCTCAAAGGCGAATGTCTCGTTTTGGCGGGTTTGGTTCTGACTAAGGTTGTTGCTTATTATCTGCAGCAAGCGTTTCTCTGGGAAGCTGCTCTGAATACTGTCTACAAGATTCGTGTTTTCGCGTATCGGAGAGTTTTAGAGAGAGAGCTTGAGTTCTTCGAAGGTGGGAATGGAATCTCATCAGGAGATATTGCCTATCGGATCACTGCTGAAGCTTCTGAAGTTGCTGACACTATCTATGCTCTTCTCAACGTAAGTAGTAATGAAATTTCATCACTTTGCAAAGAGAAAAGTTTCCTTCTTTTTTTCTCCAATTTACCAGGTAGATTGTGTTGGCTGATTATATAAGCATACATTATTATACTTGTGGCAGACAGTTGTGCCCAGTGCTATCCAGATATCTGTAATGACGGCACATATGATTGTTGCAAGTCCTGCCTTGACACTAGTCTCTGCAATGGTGAGTGAAGTAATTGTATTTGTTTGTGTGTGTGTGTTTTTTGCTATGCACTTTTCTTACTAGCTTTTGCTTTTGTTCTAGGTGATCCCATCTGTTGCGCTTCTCATAGCATATCTTGGAGACCGGCTTCGTAAGATATCTAGAAACGCTCAGATTGCTTCTGCTCAACTCTCTACCTACTTGAATGAGGTATTCTCTATGCATTTTGTGTTTTTCTTCTTGCTGTTCATAACCCCCAAAGTTACTAAAGTAGAGCTTTTTATTTCTATGTTTAGGTCCTTCCTGCAATTTTGTTTGTGAAGGCTAATAACGCAGAGATCTCTGAGAGTGTGAGGTTTCAAAGGTTTGCTCGTGCTGACCTCGATGAACGTTTTAAGAAGAAGAAAATGAAGTCACTTATCCCTCAGATTGTTCAAGTTATGTATCTCGGATCATTGTCGATATTTTGTGTTGGAGCAGTGATACTTGCTGGCTCTTCTTTAAGCTCTAGTGCTATTGTGTCTTTCGTGGCATCATTAGCTTTCTTGATCGATCCTGTCCAGGTAATACATTTTTCAGTGTGGCATTCCATGCCTCGCCTACATACTTTTTTTTTAATCTTTATGACTTGTTGAATCTGTTGCTCTTAGATGCAAACTATTACTTCTTTTCTTTTAATTTATTATTTTTGATTATCAAATGTGATTTTTCTTAGTTCATTAGACATCTGTTTAAGCCACTTAACCTTGAGGAACTGTCTTATTGGGATTTTTAATTTAAAGAATCATGCAGGATCTGGGAAAAGCTTATAATGAATTGAAACAAGGAGAGCCAGCAATAGAACGTTTGTTTGATTTGACCTCTTTGGAATCTAAGGTACTACACCCTATCTTTCCTCTGATTTTTTCTTCAGCTTATGCTCTTAATGATTTGGTTTTGTCTATCTCGAGTTCTGATGCAAATTCCATTGTGGCCATGTTTTGAAAATTAGGTGATCGAGAGACCTGAAGCCATTCAATTGGAAAAAGTTGGTGGCGAAGTTGAGTTATGCAATATATCATTTAAGTATGACGAAAGTATGCTTCCCGTTTTGGAAGGGTTAAATCTTCATATTAAAGCAGGAGAGACTATAGCTCTGGTTGGGCCATCTGGAGGAGGAAAGACTACACTGATCAAATTGCTTCTCCGCCTTTATGAACCTTCATCTGGTTAGAAAAACTTAGTTCTTAACTTGCATCCATCTAATCCCACCGTTTAGAACCAACAATTTGTCATCTAATCGCAATTTTTTCTTGAATAGGTTCTATCTTCATTGACAAAAATGACATCAAGGATATCAAACTGGAAAGTTTGAGGAAGCATGTTGGTCTGGTTTCACAGGACACAGTAAGTTTCAGTTCTCAAATTTTACCTCCTTTCATGATTCATCCCAAGATTCTTATAATGGTTCATCGTAGTTACTCAACTTTTCCTACACATACAAGACTCTGTTTTCAGGGACAATTGCTGACAACATTGGGTACAGAGATCTCACGACAGGAATTGACATGAAAAGAGTTGAGCTTGCTGCAAAAACTGCAAATGCTGATGAATTTATCAGAAACCTACCAGAGGGTTACAACACAGGAGTTGGTCCCAGGGGTTCAAGCTTAAGCGGAGGCCAGAAGCAAAGGTGGGGTCTGGAAGAGTGATTAAAACTCAGTGATATTTTTTTCTTGCCCAAACCAGTTCCATATATTATCTTCAGGATGCTTACCGTATTGTTATCATTGGCAAATGTTCAGACTAGCTATAGCAAGAGCGCTCTATCAGAATTCATCCGTGCTGATTTTGGATGAAGCAACTTCAGCATTGGATAGTTTGTCAGAGTTGCTAGTCAGAGAAGCTCTTGAACGTGTAATGCAAGACCATACGGTAAAAGCACACATCTGGTTCTTACATTCAAACAACCTTTTAAATGAATCATCACTGAGACTATTCAGAAACTCCCTGGTTCCAGTGTTCTGATCTGTTGCATTTACAGGTAATTGTGATTGCACATAGATTGGAGACAGTGATGATGGCGCAGAGAGTGTTCTTGTTGGAGAAGGGGAAACTAAAGGAGTTAGATCGCTCTTCTCTATTAAATACTCACAAGGACTCGCTTTCATCAGCTGGACTCGTGATTTGAGATTAATGAAAGTATGATCAAGAGCAGGCAGAGACCAACTGTTTTCTTTTTTATGATATAGGCAGAGACCAGCTGTTCTGTAAATTAACAAGAGAAGATACAAGATTCCTCTTAGTGTAAATCTTTCCATTATTCTTTAAAAATAGGATGAACAAATCATTTGTTGAGCTAGAAGCCTACAGTGTTTTGTATCTCTCCCTAGTTATGCCTTTTGATACATAGCAAAACTTCTGACATTATACATGTAATAAACAAAAGATTATATTTTTGGATTCTACTCCATGTAAAGAAGATTGATTCGACGATTCACTGTTTCACCATGAAGGAGCTTTTACAACTGCATCCACCCACTGCGGCTGGGTTTTCAGCTACCTGAACACCAAAGCATAACAAAATGAATTGAAAATGTTAAAGAAAATTACTGAAAAACATGTTTCAAAAATATATTTTGTCTTCAAAAACACAGGACACAACATGTTAGAAATGATAGTTAAGAATCAATCAGCTCAGACAAAACATACAAAAATGCTTCCATACACTATCAAATTTAGAAACAAAAGAGGGGTTTACCACAAAAGCAGCACGGATCAGTTCCTCCACATAATCAACCGTAGCACCTTTCACAAAGTCATATGAAACATTATCTACAACCAATTTGACACCGTTCTTCTCGAAAACCCTGCCATGTTTAAGAACAGCTATACATGAGAAAAAAAATAAACACTCTTGTGCAACACCGAGAATCATGATTCTTGTAGCTTGAGGGAAAGAATAGTAATAGCAAGGCTTGAGGTGACTAAAGAAAGTACCTGTCATCAGGATTAGTTCTATTATCAAGCTCAAACACATACTGGAAACCAGAACACCCTCCGGTCTCCACACCCAAGCGAAGCAGTTTCTTCTCCGGTTCACTAGATTGTAACTCTTTCATTCTCTGACAAAATGATAATAGTCATAAAGGTCAAGAGAAGGAGCAAAACAACCAACAATGTCTGATTCCAACAATCTAAAATAGGTAAGTTGAATGATTCAAAATGTTTCATAAACTATAGCAAAGGAGCAGAAATTGCAAAGCTTTGTGAATAACTGATATATCCAATTCAAGCAGTTTAGAGGTACAAAGGTTTCTCATTGTCTCCATTTCCACAAAATTCGTAAACTATGGATGTTCCAAACAGACCAAATATTTCTTAAATTTAAGAACTTCATTGAAAAGAATCGTCAAATTGTAGCAAAATCCAACCGAACACCAAATCCATAAAATCTTAGAGATTGGAATTTGCAAGAGACAAATTTAAAAACAGCAGATTCCATACCCGAATACAATTGTCGCTGAGATGGACGACATCAAGAGAAGACGATTCAGATTGGGAAGAAGAAGGAGAAGAAGCTTCTGTGAGAGCAGAAGCAGAGGAAAAATTAAGTAATCGATGATTTTCTCTAATACGACCAGCCAAATAAGGAGCAACGCGTTTCACCAGAGATCTCGACATGATTTTATAAATCCTTCAGAACCTTTCTCTCAATCCCTTTCTACACTTAATCGAATTTTATAAGTTTTTCGCCATGGAAGACGAAAGTTTAAAGCTTTCTGGGAAAAAAAAATTCTGACTTGGTGATGATGACGATGAAGAAGGGAGGCGAAAGAAAGATTGGTCTTGTGAAGACCACGCTTATTTTAGCGTCCACGTCATTTATTTCTGTAACGTCCCCAAACAAGTTAAATTTTCCAAATTGGCCCCATTAAACCGTTTGAAATCAATTTTGTCCGTAAATTGCAAATTTATCAATTTTCTCTAGAAAGTGAATAGCTCTCTTAAACAGAAAGATATTACACTGAACATTCTCATGACCAAGAATTTGGACTTTTGTATATACAAATTACTGTACATAATCTATTGTTGCATCTAGTAACTCTCAGGAACAAGACCAAGCTTGTTGTGTTAACGAGTAGCACACAATGGTCTATTACTTCTGGAACTTAAGAGACCTATAAAGCCAATTATTTTCTCTGTCTCAGAGAGAGGAAGAATGTCTAAATAGTATGTACCATGGCTTGTATCATCCGCTTGAAACTTGAGCGTCCATCAATGTTTTTTAAGTTGTTGAGATAGTTCTGTGTAGCGGATGATGTGTGAGCTACTACGTAACTTAGCAATAAACAAGTCCCTACAAGTCAAATGCAAAACCAGATGACGTCAAGATTGAGATACAGAGAATGTAAGTGATTCATATACAATCATTATTAGTAATTGTAGCAGAAAATGTGCAATTGCCTCATTCACTTACCATATATGACATTTCAGTCCGATTTTTCCAGCTCTTTGAATCTTCTGTCCCACTCGTCTGTCTCATAGTTTTGTTCCATCATATCTCTATCTGTACTATACACGATCCGCTCCTTCCCGATGACTGTATTTTGAGCCATATCCCTTGCACTTAGTAGCTGCATTGCATCATTTAAAGGTGTTATTTCACTACTCCCAAGTGATAAGAAAAACATATATGTGAAGTATTCAGGAAAACAATCCAAGAAATGAGCTTTAGTCTGGCTGGTGCTATCATAAGAACCACCATCTCAACTGTCAAAGAAAGCAATCGCAAGTGGGTAATCACATGAAGAGATCCCACGGATATGCAGGCATCATAGAAGTTTCAGAACAAACCCTTTATGATAGTTGGCAAGGGTTTACCCACTAATGGAAAATGTGGGCGAAGCTATCTCATCAGGAAAGTAGAACATGTTTGGAAGTCGCATTATATCTATCGACAGAAACCAAAATAAACATCTCCCTAGATTTATGTTACTACTGATGTGCCTACCTTACGCCTTAGTGCGATATCTGGAGATTCAAGTGCTCGTGCAAATTGTAGTCGAGCTTTGTTTCTGGTCTCTATCTGGTTATTCTTTCTCTTGATTGAAAACCACCGAATCAAAGGAATGGCAAAGAATGAACCTGCGTATACCTGCATAGTCGTTTTTACAGTCATGAAGGAGACCAAGATAATTAGTTCACAATGTTTCAAATGCAGACCAGTCATCTGGATAACTGGATTACAAAATTAAAATCCATTAAGAACTTGTTTGTCTCAGAAATCATGCTTAGAATTCACCAAAAAAAAAAAATCATGCTTAGAAACAACAAAATCATGTTTAGAGCGAATAGGAAAAATCAAAATCAGGAAACAATTTAATAAAAGGTTAGCCATATCAAGAGAAACTAAATCATACCTGAAGTAGTGGATATATATTCTTAACAAAGGTAAGAAATCCACCTGGCCTGACAGCCATCTCGCTGGAAACGAACACAAAAAAAAAAGTTACATTAAAGATTTAATTATACACACACTAGGGAAGATTGAGTAGAGTTTAATCAAGGAGGGCCTTACTTTAGCAGCGAGTTTAGAACAATCACACCAAAGAGATTCACTGCACCTAGGCCAATGACCAATGCTCTCTCGGACGTATTTGTTTTACTGTGAAGAAAGAAGATTCCATTATCAGAAACTGAACCACAAATGCAATACAAACTTCTCATAAGTGTAAGACATTAAAATCCATGTTCAAACAATGATAAGAACCTAAATTGCCATTTTTTCTCCTTGAAGAATTTCTCCATATCTGCAACCCAGTCAAACCATTTCCCCACATATTCTTTTCGTCTGCTAGATCCAGAAGCTGTACGTTGCAGGGAAGGAAACCGGTACAAAATATTTCCCTACACAACAGAGATATAATTGTTAATAAAATGACCAAAGAAAACGTGGAAGATCATGCACCATCGGGATCACATATCAGGCAACCAAAAAGAGGATTTGCATACCTCTTCATCCAACTCAGGTTGACCATCAAACCGAAGAAGAACAGGTAGAATGTAGGATTCATCGTTCTGTAAGCATCAAAAAGAAAATTTTATGTCTCTTACAATATTGTGATACAACTAACGCAAGATGTAAAGAATTACAAATGACCAGTACAAAGACAGCTAGCAGCATAAGAAAATTAGTTTCATTAGTTCCATTTGGAAGAAATAATAAGCAAAACAAACCATAGCACTCTTTGAAGATGGCACATCAAGGTACGGAGCAAGTTCATCAGCTGCAACAACACCTCCTCTAGAAGTTATATACTGCCCAATCTGAGAATATGTATCAAAAAGAATGATTACTAATACTTCATTCTTATGAGTGTGATGGATCTTTTCAAACTCGTAACCTTTAAAAGAATATTTATAGGAGTTAAAAAAAAGAAGCATAACTACAATCTCTTTTCCATAAGATATGTCGAAAGTAGTAACCAATTTTGCTTATAGAAAAACAAGAAACAGCATCTAAGATATCTCCAGATTGGAACTAGTGACCTGACATGGATCCAGAACTTGAAAAAAATTATGAGTAAATTTGGTCCTGGACATTACCATCTGCCATCTCTCTTCTTCAATTCCTTGATTTGGGTCACCATCTCCAAATACAAACGAGAAAACCTACAGAACAACTGTCACTTAGTTCAAGCCGTTGTCACTCAAAAGCAATGTGGGAAGGACACATAAAGCAAAGCATAAAAGCTCTCAAATTCAACTTCCACTTACAGATTCAATGAAATTCATTCCCTTTCCTTCATCTTCTCGAGCTCGACGCCTGTTGTAATAATTGGGATCCCAGTACCTTACATAAAAATACTAGACTATAATTACAGATGCTCTCTATTGGTTAAGAATTAAAAAAAAAACGAGAAATTAAAATTACCAAAGCAGATCAACAGGGTTGATATAGAAATTGAATCCTGAATCATACCCACGCCCGCGTCTTCTTTGACGATTATCATCATCGCTATAACAAAACCCAAAGGTAGTGTAAAATTAAACCAAGACCATTGTCCAGAACAATAACATATCTTGATAACTAAACTGCAGCCAAGTCAAACACATACCTTCTGCTTGAAAGCAGGGCTATAATTGATGTGTAGACGATAACAATAGACGCTATAAGCGCCGTGCCAAAGGAAACACGAGCCAAATAGTCTATAGCACTCTGCCAGGCACATAACAGAGATCAGAACACTCAACTTCAAAGCGATTCACTGTTAAAAGGAAATGGATAAATCATAACAAAAAGACACTACCTTTGCCTTTTCAAGAAATGGTTCAATTTGTATCCTTAACGACTTGGCAGCCAACTTAGTTCGATAGTCCTTTGGGAAAACATAAAGCACATCACCTTCATCCGACACCTGAATGAAGAAACGTTTCATTGAATTTAGCACCTTTACACAGACTAAAACGAAACATGTAACGCATAAAGATCAATACTTTACATCAAAATCTCCTCGGATCATCGGAATTGAGTTACTCAAGTGCATTCTACACTAATCTCATTGCAGTTAATCAAATTTCTAATGTACTGCTGCTTTCGTTCTTAATAAAGATCAATACTTTATATCAGAATATCCTCAAATCTTTTAGCAATTGAGTAAATGGGGATGAAATCGAATTAGCCAGTACCTCGAGAAACCCATCAGTATCAGCCGCGAGAGCTTGAAGAGCTGTCTGAGCTTCAGTAACCTTCAAGCCAGCTCTACTGGAGACATCACCAACAGTGACTCTCCGGCCACACTCTTCCACAGCATCCATCGCTCGTTTCCGTACATCAGTCGGCAACTTATCACTCTCCACCAATCCACCTGGTTTGATTGCGCCACTAACCTTATCTAAACTCGCCGCCTTCACCACCGCGATTCCATGGCGAGTGAGCTTCCGAGGAGTGCTCAGACACCTCTCCGTCAAGATTCCGGGGAAAGAGTAACGATCAACGGAAGATCTGTGGCGAATCAAAGAAGACTTGTTTGATGATAAACCCACTTGAGTTAACCTAGGGGAGAGGACTAAGCATGTCGATACACACGCCATTCTCTAACTACAAAGCTTTATCTTCTTCGTCTTCTTCTTCGTCTAGTTATAACTTCGAATTTCCGCCATGGAAGATGATGATTTATATGGTTCAAAATCGAAGCTTTCGGATTTTTCTTTCCCACTGCCTGGAAAAAGTGATGATTATCTCTCTCCCACGACGCAGAGCAGCGAAATCCAAAACCGATCGGTACGCTTAAAATCGCCTTCCGGTTATAACACCTTTAACCGGAAACTTTCTTTGGTTTAGTGGATGTCTCTACCAAAACACATTATGTTTTCTTTGTTAACAGTTGTTAGACAACATCAAATTTATCTTACACTGAATGAAAGAGATTTGAACAGATGTTATATATAGTCATTAGAGCATATAATACATACGGTTGTTACTTTTCCTTTTTTGAGTTCTTCGATCCCACTCCATGACAAAACATTGAAGAAAATTTCCTTTTAATTTACTTGGAAACAAAACAATAAAGCTCTAACTGTCATCATGATCAATATCACACAGTCTTTTTCTATAATATAGCTTTGAAGCTTCTATACAACAAAACCACAAAAACAGATATGTGTTAATTATGTTCTTCTGAAACTTTCAGATTCAGGTATGCTATCTAACATAGGTCTCCAGCCGCTATAACATTCAAGATCACCATCATCATGATCATCAGTAACCAAGAGTTGTTGTTTCTCGAGAGTCTGATACATCATCTCATGGACCGACCCTCCTTGAAGCAGCTTCTCCAACTCTTGCTTATGCACAACTATCTTCATCCTCACGACACCATCCATGATTTTGCTGTTGCTTTCACTAGAATCATCGTCTTCTCTTAGTGGTGATCTTTCGTCGTCGTCCTCTTCCACTTCAGGATTCGCAAACGTCACTTTCTTGTTGACCTTCTTCTTGATCATTGATGTAGGCAGGAGATAATAGAGGCGGCCGGAGATAAGCTTAGCATCAGGCAGGAGATGAGTGTTGTTGTGAGAGAGAGAGTGGCCAGAGAATTGAGTAAGGATGTGATGAACACAAACGGGTTCTCTATATTCAAGTACCTTTCCATCATTTCTCACTATCTTTATCACTTTCTTCTCCATTACTAAACAGTTCCCCATCTTCTTCTTCTTCTTCTAGTTTTCGTACTTTTTCTTGTTATTGTTGTTGTATTGTTTTTGCTTGGAGATTTGTGTTTGTATATTTATATAATTTCGTTAGTGTGCCAATATATCACGTGGGACCTGATTTGATTTTTCTCTCTTTGCCTTTTAATATTTTATAGTGGGTGGGGTGGTGTGGTCGGGTGCTCATTACTCCATGTATCCCCCTTTATATGAATCGATGTTTTTTTTTTGTCAAAGGTCTTCATTCATCTTCCTTTATATGGTTTTACTTTTTTTTTTATTAAGGAAAACTGAAATCGAGTTGGCGGTGCAAGTGCACATGAGAATACATCATCATCGTATATAATGACAACTTATGTTTTTGTGTTAGTGTCATGATCCCAAGTTGTGTCGCGCGTCTTTGATATATAATATTTGATCCCATGCAATATATTTTTTTTATCATTCCTAGTATATATATGTACCATACATTTATTTGAAGAAATTCCCATACAAAACTAATCGGTGTCTTCTTAGATATATACTAATCAACGTACAAACTATAAAAACACTATGGCTACTTGCGCTGTTACGCATGCGGCATGCCCATACTAATAAGATACAAGAGGGCTTTAATTATACATTAAAATCTCACACATATACAATGCATACGTATGCACGCGGTTTTGTCCTCGTTTTATGATATGGTTTATATTATATTATATAGTTTAAATACAAACGATAATTGTAGATTATATTTTCATATAATTACGGATTTCCCCGAATTAATTGATATGAGATAAAATCAAATTTACTTTATGAGATAACATTAATTAATGTTCACTTTTCTTTTTCTTTTTATACACACTTTTAATGTTCAATTAAGAATTACTAATTCGAGACGAAGAAAACTGAATGTGCTTATAAAATGAGTGTGACAAGGACATAGAGGTGAAACTAGAAGAATTAGATGAGATTGAGAGGTCAACAGAAGCTATTAAATAATAACACAAAACAGGTAATGGGTGGGTATATAAGAACTATGTAGGGTTTCAATTAAATGTTTGTGACTTTGTGATACAGTGGTTGCATCTTTCTAGGAAATAAAAATAGAAGCATGCCATTGATTTTTCCTTACAAACGTTGGGCGGTAGGGGCATCACGAATGTGTTTCGTCTCTTGTAGTGCGTGGTGGCTGAAAAAATGCTTATATATCTGAATCGGTGGAATTTTGTTCTGGAAAACTTCAACCAAGTTCCTGACTATAGCATTGTGTTCTCCTATTACTGATTAAACAACCCTGATGTCGCAATAGTATAATTATACAGTATTTACATAATTTTTGTATGAATAGAAAAACTTACTAGTGGCAACTCACCATGCTTGTCCCATGTCCAAAAGTTCCACTTGATTTTGTTGGGATTACACACTTTTTATAAGAACCAAACATTTTTCTAATCCTACGTCAAATCAATCAAATTGACTGTAAATCATATTGGCGAGGGAGTAAAGGTTTTAAGCAAATAGACTATCAAACGTAAGAGGTTAATTAGTTCAGATAAATAGACTAGCAAGCATTTTGGTTGATTACTTTGGCTTAACCGAGGATTAAAATATGAGAAACAACTTAACGAAGAAGAAAAAAAAATCATATGCGCATGTATGTCCAAACGAGAACAGTAATCTTCTTCTATAAATTGGAAACTAACTAAAAAATTTATCCACGAACAAAAGGTTAATTGATATACAAAAATTAATAAGAGAAACAACAAGCACAAGAACCCAAAAACAAAACAATAAGAGCACGTATTTGGTAAAATGCAATGCACTAGTTTTACAGGCAATGATGGCGGACTTAGAAAAAACAGTGTTTTATTTATATATGGATGTCATTGTCTCTAATTTGTCACCACATATATGTCCTAGGAACCTAAAAAATGTTTACAAAGCGCATACGCTGCTGCGCCTACATTCAAAGGCCGAATCAACCAGATGATTGGCGTTGGTTCACTTTTGAATATTCAACTCTCTCTCTTTACAAATAGATATTGTAGTCTTTAATGTTTGTCTTGTTTTGTTATAGATATTGTTATTCTCATGACCAAGATGACTCATGTAATGACCATCTAATACTATACAGTAAACACGACCTATTCCAGAAAAAATAAAAAACAATTGGAGTAGATAGACATGCACAAACGTGACATTAAACTTGTATGTAGTATTGCTATGTAGCTATTAAAATAGACGATAAATTATATATTCCCAAACTGAGAAAGAATTATATAATTATGAACAGATTTTTCTTTTTCTTTCAGAAGTAAATAGAACTAACTTATAAATAGTATATATAAAGATTGTGTCATGTACCTGTCGTTTGCTATAATCATAAAGTTAAAACATATTATAGTTACCTACGTGTATGTAAAACGTCACATAGCATGTAACTTCAACTTGAGAAAAAAAAAAAAAAAGTAATATTGCAAAATATCGTATGTTGTGTAAGTTTTATAACGAAATTAGATAAGCGGAAAAGAGAAGCAACATAAATCCAGATAAGATTACTATAAATGACATTTTCGAGTCAAGATTGAGATTCCATTCGCATTCTCTTTTGGAAAGTACAGAGCCCTTTGATGAGAAAAAGTAGAGAGAGGTGAAGCACTTTTGTGGGTCTTTTTGGACAAAACCACGAAGGTGACGAAGGCAAAAAGGAATTTAGATTTCTCGGCCTTTCAGTTCCCATGCTTTTGGTCGGTTCACGTGCTTAGGCTCCAGCAAATCTTCTTTCGACAAGTGGCAGCCTTTCGTTGGTAGGCACCGTCCAAAGACTCTCTCTTTTGAATGAAACACTACTACTAAATGCTTTTGCGCTTCGGTTTCTTCTACCAAGTTTAAAACGGTGTCTTCAAGACTCTGGATTATTTGATTTAAGTTATTCCATTTCCATTAAGTTCTATATGCTATTAGAATTATATATCTTAAATATTTTTACTTTTTTTCTTCGTCTTTAAAAATTGTTTTTGTTACAAATTTTTGAAATGTAAATAGAGGGAGAATTTTAACAAGAAGAAAGAAAGGAAACGTAAGAAATTTTGTAAACTAAATATGAAATAGAGTGAGTCATTTCGAAAAGGATATATTTAAAAACTTGATCAACTTTTACCGATAAAAACTTTTAAAACCGTTCAAGTTTTTTTTTTTTTTTTTGTGTTAATCATATTTCCTCCTATGATTTGAGATGATAAGTCTAATAAGAAAGTTCAACTGTCTAAAACAATTTTAACAATTTTAGAAATCTTTTTATATTTTAAAAACCAAAAAACAAAACTCATTTTCTTATCCGGTTATACAATTTTTTTTTGTGTAACATTAAGTGTTTTCTCTAATATTTTGAACCGATGGTGTGTTACAGCGTGTTAGTAATATTTTAAACGGTAATTCATTTTAAGACCATAAAAGTATTAACGCAGTCAAAAATACAGTTACCATTCGGAACCATAGTGTACGACTAGCGATTAATTTGTACTTTCATTCAATTTTTCCTGTTAAAAATTGGGGTTTTTTTGTGTTGCACCTTGGGCAAATTTTGTTGTGTGTTAGGCAATTGCTATAGGAACCGTGTCGTCCGTCTCGCTATACTACCCTTAGCGCTCTCATATTCTATGCAGCCTATTCATACATATATGTAGCCTATTCATACGCCTATGCAGCCTATTCATACATCTATGTAGCCTAATCATACATCTATGAATTCACATACATATACACATATACATACATCTATGCGGCCTATGTAGCCTATTCATCCATCTATGCATTCACATCTATCACCTATACAAACTATACATACATATATGCAGTCTATGTAGCATATATACACATACATACATTCTCCACTTTCATCCACATCACATCGACGTACGGATGTTATCTTTTATCAGAGTAAAAACGCCGACTACATACACTCTGGTCAACTTCACGAAGTAGAAGATGGAAAACGCTAGACATAATCCCAAAGGCTTGTTTTGACGATTCACCTTCAAACCCATCTGCAAAATTAGTTAGCTAAATTCAGTTTTCATTACAATCGTTTTCTCCGTTTCTCAATTTTGGCACATGCATAATTCAATTTACATAAAAATAAAAAATAAAGATAGTTTACAGTAAAAACCCATTCATTTTTTGTTTTTTCAGCAAAAAAATAAATGAAAACTTCATTCTATGTTTTGTTAGACACAACATATATTTTTTTATCTAGCTAAATAAATAATTCAGTTTATTTAAAGGACACATATGTAGCCAAAAAAATCAGTTTATACACACATAGTTGAAGTCAAGACAACAATATATATAAAAGAAACTGGATTTATAACAAAGCATTTTGAATTTCAGGTTCAACTACTTAACAAATGATTAAAAGGTAAACAATCTAGGCATCTAGCACAAGAACATATAATGATAAACAAAACTAGAGGAACATTGGACTAGAGAGTATTTGTACCTTGTACGAGGATGCTTATTTCTATCGGCTAGTGAGGATACTTGTGTTTGTGTCTCTCGGGTCATGAGAAGTGTAGATAAGTTCGAGTGAGAGAACTACTCAAGTGGGAAGAAGAGAGAACTAAGAGATTTTTTTTTAAAAACAAGGTTTTTATTCGACATTTGTAAAGAAGTAGGCAGAGCAAGAGAGGATTCAGATTTGAGAGTTCAGACGTAAGAAAGGAGTACTTATAGAGAGAGTTATAACGTTCATATCCCACTAAAATATTATATTTTCAAACGGTAAAAAATGTTACCGTTTCCACAACGTTCGTAATTTCTCTACTGTTACTGACGCCAGGTCAAATCATACCGAACGTTAGAACAATATGGGCCGACTCAAAACTCTGAAAGCTTAAAGGCCCAAACATAAGGCCCATTATGTGTGATATTATACCAACGTTAAAATAAGTTTAATAAAAAGAAAAAGGAAAAATAAGAAGAAGAAGGAAAAAAAAATCGATGGCGGGGATGCTAGTGAACAATATCCACCTCCCTCAGCCTCCGGTTCTCCGATCGGCTCTTTCTTCTTCCCGAAGAAGTTCAGTTCGAACCCTAGTTATGGTTAAAGCTTCCTCTGGACCTTCTGATTCTGGAGGCTCAGTGTCTACGAAGGCCAGTGACGACACTGGAGGAGGTGTTGTATTCACTGCTCCTCCTGGTTTCAAGCCACCAGAGCCGAAACGGTTCGCTATAAAATCGGGTAAACTCTTCGATGTCTTGGGTGCTTCCATTGGTTTGCTTTTCCGATTCGGCACTGGCGTTTTCGTTTCTGGGTAATTGTTCCTTTCTCTTTTCCCCCAATTGAGTTTCTGGCCACTCTTGTGTTCTGAGATTGAATTGAGTGTACTCGTATGGGGACTTAGTATATACTTGATTTAAAGCTATGTTTTTGCAGCAATTTGAATTGATTTCTTCGTATTGTTCTTGTATTTTACTAGGTACTCTGCCTCTTTTGTGTCCAAGGAAGATATTCCAGCTGATAAGTATGCCTTGCGTTTAGGGGGTAATCATGAACAAGTTTTAATCTTTCACTTTCTGTTTCTTGTGTGTTTAGGATGTTAGAAGCGGATTTGATGCATATGTGTTCAAGATTAGGATTAGTTTCCTTCAAAGCTGTGAGCTTCTTTTATGTTTCAGAGGAGTTTGTCCGTAATTTGTATATGTGTAGGGATCACGGTAAAGGAGACCTCAAAGCTCGGCCCTCGCCCTGAGAAACCTATTGAGATATATGAGTTTGAAGGGTATGTATGCTTTTACTAATTGTGTGTTGATTGTTCAATTAGACCCATTTGTTTTCTACCTTTCTCTTAATGTTGAATAAATGTTTTCTTTTTTCTCCATTTCCGATATGCAACTCAAGCTGTCCCTTTTGCCGGAAGGTAACTTTCTCTATTCTTTTACACTTAATCCATGTCATTATCTTAGATGTTTCACGGTTAACCAAGATTCTAAAGATTTTGTTTTACATAAAATATTTGCTTTATACCATTAAAACAAGTTGTTGAATCTTGTCCTGTGACAGCTTTTGCTTTGTCCCTTTTTCTGATTACCCTTAAACAAAATGTATATCTCGTAGCTATTCTTGATGTATCACCACAGCTTAATGTGACTTCACTAATATGGAGATTTTGCAGGTCAGGGAAATGGTTGCAGTGTTGGATCTTGATATTTTGTACTATCCCTGTCCAAGAGGGAGTCCAAATTTCCGTCCCAAGGTTAAACAGATGGGTGGAAAACAACAGTTTCCATACATGGTTTGGCATTTATCCTTATGATTTTTCTGTTTCTTTTTCATCCTTCTTACAAAAACAATTCTGGGAAGGTCTTTCCCCTGATATGTCCATGCTTTAAGTTCAAATTCATGATGCGTCAATCACAGAAATGTGGCTCAAGAAGATATCTATAGATGCAATAGTTTTGCAATATAAAGTTCCTTTTTGTTCATTAGCGTTCAGAAACCTTAGTTTAAACTTTTATGCTTATTATTCACAATCAAGAACTCTTTCTGTTACCTTGCCGCCACTTTCATCAGTAAGAAATAAGATGTGTGTTATGTGTTTAATTGTATAATGGTTCTTGTAATTATAGGTTGATCCCAATACAGGAGTGTCCATGTACGAATCAGATGGAATCATCAAATATCTATCTGAGAAATATGGTCTGTTTCCTCTTTTGCCTGATTCTACTTCTATTTACTTCTTCCCTTTATAGTTATCAACAATAGCATCATCTTTGCCATTGTCTACTCATCTCTAGTTAAATAATAATACCTTTGTTTTTGGTTAAACTTGTTTCAGGAGATGGAACAGTTCCTTTAAGTCTGTCACTTGGTGCTTTAACGGTTAGTTTTTTGGCACATGTTGCAGTTTATTTTCATTTGCTTCAGAATCCAATTATATAAAACTAAAATTGTTTCTTTGATATTGTAGGCTATAACAGCTGGCTTAGCAATGATAGGTCGTGCGGGAAAGGTAAAAGGAAATTCTATTACATTCCTTTGATATATCTCTAAAGAAAATTCCAAAAGAAAACTTATAAGACGTATATTGATGATTAAGTATATCATCACATCCCCTATGTAGTAATTGAATTAAATTCTATCATGAATACTATCTATTATGCAATATCTGTCTCAGGTTTTGTCACATTTTTATGCAGGGTAACTTGTACACACCAGCAAAACTCCCACCTAAGCCACTTGAATTCTGGGCATATGAGGTTTTGATCTCATCACGTTTTCTCAATTATTGAATACCGAAATGTTATCTGCATAATCCAAATACATGTCTGTTGTTTGAATTTCCCTGTAGGGTTCTCCATTCTGCAAGCTTGTACGTGAAGTTCTTGTAGAACTGGAGTTGCCACACATTCAGCGCAGGTATGAATAAAACTCTTAGACCAGCGCCACCGAAGGAACAATGTTAGTCTTTTAATTGATATTACCTTCTTTTACTTGTTATTTTCCATCAGCTGTGCTCGCGGTAGCCCCAAACGGCAGGAATTGCTCGAGAGAGCTGGTCACTTTCAGGTGGGTTAGAAAAATACCATACATAGTGAAAGATAAAAGAAAGGTTTGATTGAAGTATGATGATGACACTGATGGGTTGTGTTATGTTGTTATATATAAAAACAGGTGCCATACCTGGAAGATCCAAACACTGGAGTTGCGATGTTTGAAAGTGCTGAAATCGTTGAATATCTTAAGCAAACTTACGCTGCTTAAGTTTTCTTCTTCCTCACTCTATACGTATAGGTACATCAAATATGTGAAATGTGTATGAACAGCTACTAACTGCTCCAAGAATAAACTTGAAGGTCAGTTATGTGTAGGGTTGAAATGTGTACTAAGCCAAATTTTAGTGACATTAATTCAAACTCTGATCGTCCATCTTGTCTGTATTCCAAAGCTATATAACAGAATTTGGGAGTGAATATATATCAAAATACTGAATGTAGCAGCGTAAACAATAATTTGGCAGAATAGGAAAACAAAACTTAATCATACTGAGTTAGAATCGGTAACGAGGACGTATTAAATTAAGGCATGGGGGTAAATAAAGAGAAGAGTTTGGAAGAGGCAAGATGATGTCGGAAGGAAGAAGTGGTCCGAATCCAAGCATATGATTACAACAAAGGTCCATCAACAACAGTCAACACATATTTGTGGTCCGTTCATTTTGGATGATCTTTTGTTTCCTTTTCTGTGTCCTTTTGTCTGTCTAATAGAGATTTAGTTATTGAACCAACAAACTAAAAAAAAAATTGGAAATTCAAACCTAAAGTTTCAAAATATATGAAATTGTTTGTTTTGTTGTTAGTGGTTGAATTGTCGTTTTGTGAACTTTTTAGGTTACTACTTGTTACGGATAATGGTAGTTAATTGCTTGTTATGATTACATTTTTATCGATATCTTAAGCTAAAAATTTTCAATTTATACATATATGGAGGGAAATATATAGTTGTACCAACACTTGGTAGGGTCAAGAAATAACGATTATCAATAACCAAAATTTCTTTTTGCTATATAGTATATAGTAGTCACAATATATTCTATTTGAAAATGAATACCTTTACAAAAAGGTAGACTGAAAAAGGCTAAGCACGGTTCGTTTCTGTATGGTGGCATTATGATTTCAGAATATGCAAAACGATTTTTTACTATTTTATGTCATTATTTCAATCTTTTTAATTTAAAGTGTGATCTTGGGTGAGGTTATGTCTAGATTTTTCTATTTATTTATTTCTGAAAATAGCATTCCCTCTCTTTAGTACTGGAAAATATAATGTTTCCATCTTCCATACAATTTAACTATTTTAATTTGCTTCTTCACCTACAAAGTTTATGGATAATGAAAAACATAAATTTGAAAATATCACAAATTGTAAATTACGTAAGCTTTCAACAATACAACACACACAAAAATCCAACAATAAAACCTATAGTCTTTAACAGATTATATAACAAATAATTTAAGAATGGTCAACTTTTATAACTTAAATATATATAAATTCATAAGGACAGGTAAAATTGGAAAGCGTTTAACGTTCGCTTAACGTACAATAATAGAACCGTTGCTGCAGTCTGCAATTGAAAGAATCTAGACAAATAAAATAGTAAAGGAGTCCACCACGGGTATAAACGATGCAAACAAATACTTTAGGGAGAAAAATTAAATAAATTAGAAGTTTAAGTACTATACCATAAGAGCAATAATCAGAAATTATATGGTGAAATCTAAATAAAACATAAAGAACAAGGACTTCCGACAAAACTCTCTCGATCCACTTAACACTTCCACAATGTCCGTTCGAAAAAATATGACCGTTGAAAGTAATTAAAAAGAATTTCGAAAATAAAATCTAAATAACTCCATTCTTCTTCTTCTGTTCAATCTCTGTTCTTCCCCAAGAAAATAAAAAACTTCTAACAGTAAAAATCAAGTGAGAGAGAGAGAGAGAGAGAGAGAGCAATGGGTTGTGTTTCTTCGAAATTAGGCAAGAAGAAACTCATAAGAGAGATTAGAGTCAACAATGGCGGCGATCACATTGTCTCTCTTACTTCAACTACTTATGGTCATCTCGATATCGAAGAACGAGCAGTGACTTCTCCTCCTAAGTTGCAGGAAGTCACTAAAGGAGAAGTCTTTGAAGAATCTGAGATCAAACCGAGGAGATCTGTAAAGAGAGATGATCCGGAGATTATCAACACTTGGGAACTCATGGAAGATCTTGAAGACTCAATGCACGTTTCTAATCCGAACAAGATCAGTCCCAAATCTCGTGGCATTTTCGGGAAATCGTGGAAGACTCCGGTGAAATCAAGTATTAGTGTTGAGTCTCCGAAGAGAGGAAGTAGTAAGAGATTTGGGGGTAAAGAGAACAGAGGAGGGAATAACTCGAGAGGTGTGAGTCCGAATCAGATTCTGAAGCCGAAGAATATCCTCGAAACTCCCAAGAGAGGCGTGATGCGTTTGAGTTTCCCTTTGAAATCTGAAGAACCGTCGACGCAGAGGAGGAAGAGTTATAGTCCAATGTTCGATCCAGATCTCGTGGCTTCTTACGAGAGAGAGTTGTCTCAGGAGAAAGAGCAGATCAAGATGGTGATTTCTCCGGTGGTGCACGAGAGTAGAAGAACAGAGAAAACCAGAGAATCGGAGAGGATCCTCGAGAATTTCCCGGAAAAATGTCCACCGGGAGGAGAAAACTCGGTGGTCATCTACATAACAACTCTTAGAGGGATAAGGAAGACGTTTGAGGATTGCAATGTGGTGAGATCGGTATTAGATTCGTACGAAGTCCGGTTCTCGGAGCGGGATGTGTCAATGCACTCGGTTTTCAAGGAAGAGATCAGGGGAATCATGGGAGCGAAACATGTGAAGATACCGGCTGTATTCGTGAAAGGGAGGATGATAGGAAGTGTTGAGGAAGTGATGAAGTTAGAGGAGGAGGGCAAATTAGGGATTTTGCTCCAAGGCATCCCCGCGGCGAGGCTAGGTGGCGGTTGCTGCCGCGGATGCGGAGGGATGAGATTTGTGATGTGTGCGGTTTGCAATGGCAGTTGCAAGGTTATGGAGAAAGAGAAGAAGAATATGGTTAAGTGTTTGGAGTGTAATGAGAATGGTTTGGTTCTATGTCCAATTTGCTCTTAAGAATGATATCTTTTTTATCTTTGGTTCAGTTTGGTCCTAATTGGAAGAGGTTTGACTTAATTTTGGAGGCTGACTTTGGATTTGAAGTGTTGATTTTGGTTTGTAATAATGATTTGGCGAGAGAGAGTTTCTAAAGACATGTTTAGTGCTCTTTGGTGTGTGTAATGAAATATGTTCCTAATGTTTGTAAACCCCTTTTTTTTTGTAGATTCAATTCAATTTGTATAATCACTTTAAATATTGCTTTGTTTAGTTATTTCCTCAATGCTCTAATTTTTATGAACAACATGAGAAACACGCTATTTATGACTATGCAGCATCATCCCAAGTTATTAATGTATCCCATCTTTGAGATAGTTATTAGACCATGTTTCAAAAATTTGGATTTTGAATCACCAAACCACTGCTTAGATTTAATCTAAATCAACCATTTGACGAAGGTAATTTTGTAAGACGTTTAATTTCATTATCCAGAAGAAGCAACTACTCAACTAATTTCGCATGACGACTAAAACTGTGTTTGTTCTAGTGCAGAGGTAACGGAGTACTTTTTTCTTAATGATATTAAACAATTAACTTTTTTTAATAGCTCAATCGACAACTTAAACTTCTTAGATAGCCTTCGATGGGTTTAAGAAAAAGAAAAAAAAAAACTTGGTCAATGTACACCCCACTAATTAGTCAACTAATTAAAGATTGGAGATGTAACTAAATGAGAATGGGTATTCACACTAAGTTATGTTGACTTATCATTTTATTTTGGTAAATTAGGTGTATAATCTTTTCAAAGCTGTTGTATACTTTTTCTTAAACTCATTAGAAATTTGGATTTCATATCCTAAGAATTACGCTAGCTCCTTTGTTGGTCCATCCTTCAACAACAACACTTCATGTTAAGTTGTATTTCGAAGAAGGTCTCCTAAATTAACTCATAGCAAATGAAAACAACCCAAAATTCCAAACTAAAGAAACGGGCGAATACTGAAATTGCGACTCTACTATTTTAGTATATACTTTTTTCGTTTTTAAAAGGATATTACAATTATTATATAGAGATACAAGCCATATAAAAATTTTAGATAATCCTATCCTAACCGATATGATGACGAAAATCATACATAAACTTGGCACACATTCCTAAAAGAGGCACACATGTCAATGTGTATCCCCAATTATACCTATCCATTGCCACCTTTATAATACGATCAGATATATCTTTATACACGTAAAAATATTTGAAAAAAAAAAAAGAAAAAATCACAAGCAAAAAGATGGAGCTCGAGACCTCAGTTTATCGACCAAACGTCGCCGTCTATGATGCGCCGGATGGCGTGGAGGTTAGAGGACGGTACGACCAAATCTTCGCCAAGATTCTGACTAGAGAAGCTCTTGGCTTTGTGGCTCAGTTGCAAAGAGAGTTTCGTGGGCACGTGAGGTACGCTATGGAGTGCCGGAGAGAGGCACGACGGCGTTACAACTCTGGAGGCGTTCCTGGCTTTGACCCTTCCACTAAGTTCATCAGGGATGGTGATTGGGTCTGTGCCCCCGTCCCTCTCGCCGTTGCTGACCGCAGAGTTGAGATCACCGGTCCGGTCGAGAGGAAGATGATCATCAACGCTCTTAACTCCGGAGCTAAAGTCTTCATGGTCAGTCTATATATATCCTTCGCTCTCATATTTATATTATTTTGTTTTACAATGTTTCACCCGGTTCGGTTTGGTTTGTATAGAATTGGATTTGATTTGATTTTAACCAATTTGACTAGCATTGGTTTAAGTTTGGTACAGTTCAAAGCTTGTAACTGGACCGACTTCAATTTGGTTTCAGTTTAGATTGAGTTTAATATAATTTTGAATTGGGAGAAATTGAAAGATTGGAAAATCTAGTTGTGTTTGTTTAGGTTCGATTTGGTTTGATGTCCGGTTCCCTGTGTGAATGAATGTTAATATCAATTTGTTCGGTTCGGTGTACTTTGATTTTAATTATTCTTGCAGTTCGATCCGGTTCGGTTTGATTTGTAATAAATCTGTTAGATACTCCAAGTGAACGACTTGCAAATCAAGTAATATATTTTGTTTCGTTTGAACAGGCTGATTTCGAAGACGCATTGTCTCCTAGTTGGGAGAATCTGATGAGAGGGCATGTGAACTTGAAAGATGCAGTTGATGGATCCATTACGTTCCACGACAAGTCAAGGAAAAGAGTTTACAAGCTTAACGACCAAACCGCTAAGCTCTTTGTCCGGCCAAGAGGATGGCATCTCCCGGAGGCTCACATCCTCATCGACGGTGAACCCGCCACTGGATGTCTTGTCGATTTTGGCCTTTACTTCTTCCACAACTACGCCAAATTTAGACAGACTCAAGGTTCCGGTTTTGGACCCTTCTTCTATCTTCCCAAAATGGAACATTCTAGGTATACCTCTCCAGACCCACCCGGTTCAGTTATCAATTTGGTATAGTTTTCTGTTCAGGGTTTAATTAGGTTGTTTGGTTTCTTGACAGGGAAGCAAAGATATGGAACAGCGTGTTCGAACGAGCTGAGAAGATGGCTGGAATAGAGAGAGGAAGCATTAGAGCAACAGTGCTGATCGAGACCCTCCCTGCTGTTTTCCAGATGAATGAGATACTATATGAACTGCGTGATCACTCGGTTGGTTTAAACTGTGGAAGGTGGGATTATATCTTCAGCTATGTCAAAACCTTCCAGGCTCACCCTGACCGCCTCTTACCAGACCGTGTCCTAGTCGGCATGGGACAGCATTTCATGAGAAGTTACTCGGATCTTCTCATCCGTACTTGTCATAAGCGCGGTGTCCACGCCATGGGCGGCATGGTTAGTTCCCTCTTAACTAATACTTGTTCACTAGGACCATACTATAACATATCTCTGTTTTAAACTTGAACGCTCAGTGCAAAGGTTATTAAAAGGCATGAATTCAAATATATTATAAAGTCATGTCTTAATGTGCACATCCTTGATCTTTGACTTATTATGTGGTGTGATATGATGATCAGGCTGCACAGATTCCGATAAGAGATGACCCGAAAGCGAATGAGATGGCATTGGATCTTGTGAGGAAAGACAAGCTGAGAGAAGTAAGAGCAGGGCATGATGGAACATGGGCGGCTCATCCGGGACTCATCCCAATATGCATGGAAGCATTCACAGGCCACATGGGGAAAAATCCAAACCAAATCAAATCAATGAAGCGGGAAGACGCATCTGCGATAACAGAGGAAGATCTGCTTCAAATACCGCGAGGAGTGCGAACACTCGAGGGCCTAAGGCTGAACACACGTGTGGGAATCCAATACTTAGCCGCGTGGTTGACAGGATCAGGATCTGTGCCACTCTATAACCTAATGGAGGACGCGGCTACGGCTGAGATAAGCCGTGTCCAGAACTGGCAATGGATCAGGTATGGAGTGGAATTGGATGGAGACGGGCTTGGAGTTCGGGTGAGTAAAGAGTTGTTTGGGAGAGTAGTGGAAGAAGAGATGGAAAGAATTGAGAAAGAAGTTGGGAAAGAAAAGTTCAAGAAAAGAATGTACAAGGAAGCTTGCAAGATGTTTACAAAGCAGTGCACTGCACCTGAGCTTGACGATTTTCTTACACTTGCCGTCTATAATCACATTGTCGCTCACCACCCTATCAATGTCTCAAGGCTCTGATAGAAAGAAAGATGGAAGAAAAAACGATAAAAGCTTGTGCTTCTGTGTGTGTGTTTTTGGTCTATTTCCGTGTGTTTTATTTCCATTAGTTTCGATATGTTGGTATATTGTAATAAAAAGAACTTTCCTCTTTTATTCCCAATAATAAATAAATGTTTTTACACCAATCTTTAATGCACGAACATTGGAGGTAAGCCAAAAGCAGAGCATATGACACATATGAGAATATATGAACTATCTTAGTAATTTAGTACTATGGTGGATTCATTTAAGTAACGTTTGATTTGATCAGCAGATCATTTGGTTACTCATCTTGTCATATTGTAAATGGCTCAAATTTTTCAAAAATATTTTGATTTAATTAAATATCTTAATTATGTTAAAATAATACTTATTTACGTTTGGAGAAGTTTATCGGCAGTGCAGGACTGCGGGTGCTTTCATCTAATGAACTAGTGAGTTGATATTATCCTAATATTATGTATTTTAATTTGTTTTTTTTTAAACTGAAATATAATATTTGATAAGATACATAACTTTTAATATTTAATTTTAGACATTTTGAATAGATTTCTGCATATTAAATACATTTAAAGACAAACGAAAACATTATAATTATTTTTGATGTAGATGATTCAGTTACCCTCTTGTATAATTTTTTTCTTTTTTAAAAAGACAAATAGTAGTTAAGAATTATGAAAAGAAATAAAGTGTTGGGTAATAGGTATGTACTAATTTTAAGCTAAGAAAAAAGAAATACAAATTATGTTTTAGTTTTGTGAACATAAAAAAAAAAATTATTATATTAAAAAAATATATGCAAGAAGATATCATTTGAATGTGATCCACTTTTCAAAAAGAGGGGGAGACCATTAATTTCTTTATAAAAATGAAAAGAGAATATGTCTTTGTATATTAGAAATAGAACGAGATTGTTTTGATGACAAAAAAAAAAAAAAAAAAAACAAGATTGTTTTAATAATGGCAAGTATATATAATTTACAGAGACATTTAGGTAAAGATTTCACGAGTGACATTCGGAAAACAACCTAATCTGCTATCACTTGTTTTGCTCAAGCATATAACTTCTGAAGAATTGGTTCTAGTACTTCAGCTTTAACTCAAAGAATTGCAAGTTATATTTTCACTTGTTTTTGATATTTCTATGCCCTATCATCTATTTTATTTATGGTTCTAATATATATTTTTTTTTTTACAATTAACATGTGTTTATATTATCCATTAAATCAATATCTTTCTGGTGATTATGTTAATCAAACTTGTAGGAAAGAGTCAATTGTCAAATTGTTCAACTTTTGTGTATTCTTCTATATTGGAGCTAACATGTTTAATCAATTAATGATTGAACTATGTTAATCGTCTCAAACTCCTAATCCGGCCCAAACTATAGTTTTCTCTGATATCATCCATTAAACGATTAAACAAAAGAGAATTGATTCATTCGTTTAATCCAAATTAAACCGGCTGGGCGAAAATAGAAATGACTAAACCGATTCGGTTATTGAGAACCGAAATTAAGCAGGCCTATAAAAACACAAACGAATCCCTCATTCTTGCGTCTCTGGGAAAATTAGGGTTTTTGCGCCTCTCACGCTTATCGCCGCCAAGATCTTTCCTCCGGTCAGTCTTCATCTCCATGTTTCTTCTTCTTCTTCATTCGCTTTCAAATCTTCCCTGTTCTATCACCTGGAATCGATTGCATTCTCTTACAACTTTCTCGGCTAAAATCTGTCTTCTATAGAATCTGCCATAAGAATGATCCTCTGTTTTGTTAGATAATTGAATCCCTAGTTTGTAGCTACAAGGCTTCTCTATCATTGAAACTTTCTTAACAAGTAATTGTGAGTGTGTGATTAGATTCTTCTCGTGTATTGTTTGCTGCTCATATGTGTTATGTGAAATTTTCTTGGTTGGTGTAGAATGGATTCTCAAATTAAGCACGCTGTGGTGGTTAAGGTGATGGGTAGGACTGGTTCGAGGGGTCAGGTCACTCAGGTTCGAGTCAAGTTCACAGACTCTGATCGTTACATCATGAGGAATGTTAAAGGACCCGTGAGGGAAGGTGATATCCTAACCTTGCTCGAGTCTGAGAGAGAAGCCAGGAGACTCCGTTGATCATCTTCTTCCTACTACTCTACAAAGCGGGAACATTCTCTGTTTGGATTAGTGATTATGCTTTGGAGTATGAATTTTGTTGTTTCTGTAAAAGACTATTGCTGGATTCATAAGTGTTCTGGTTACTTTGGTTATTCGAAATCTCTTACCTTTTTTTTTTTTTTGTCTTTCTGTGATCTCTTACATCAAGAATTTGCTCTGCATTCTCCATTTGGTTCAGTCCAAACTAATTCTTGAGTCTTCACTTTTTCTTTACTTGGGTAAGCAGTTTGTGGTTTTTACATCAGCCCGAGTTCTGGTTAGTGGTTACAAAGTACCAACTGTACCTATCATTGGTCCAGCCCAAACCCTTCTAAATTGACGTTTGAGACAACTAACATAATGCATCAACCAAACCCCGTATAGGAAACTACAAGCCTTAACATGATTAGCCAAAAAGGTAGTGCAAATTTAAACCAAGACCATTTGTCCAGAACGATAACACATCTTGATGACTTAACTGTAGCCAAGTCAAACACATACCTTCTGCTTGAAAGCAGGGCTATAATTGATGTGTAAACGATAACAGCTATAAGCGCCGTGCCAAAGGAAACACGAGCCAGATAGTCTATAGCACTCTGCCAGGCACATAACAGAGCTCAGAACATTCAAGCTCAAAGCGATTCACTGATAAAAGGAAGTGGATAAATCATAACAAAAGACACACTACCTTTGCCTTTTCAAGAAATGGTCCAAGTTAGTTCGAAAATCCCATGGAATCATCGGAATTAAGTTGCTCAAGTTCATTCTACACTAATCTCAATACAGTTATTCAAATTTTATAATGTATTGTTGCTTTCGTTCTTACTTAAATTGAGTGCTTGCTTAACACATTGGCCAAATCATTATGACAAACATAACTAAAAGTTTGTTTTCAGTCATAAAAAAAACATGGCAAATTAAAGTTACAAAACAACTGGTCTGGGAGATTTAAAAGAGAAAGAGAGAGCGGAATATATATTTGCTAGACATAAGTGGGGATTTTAGTTTTGCGCTTTGAAAATGGTTGGAGCAGCTTAGCTATGGCGAGTCAGGTGCAAAACATTCCAACCTATAAGAGCAAGAAACAATCTTCCATCACCATTCATCCAAATAGCTACTGCTAACTAATTGATATATTTATATAATAATAAAAAGAAATGGACACCTTTTATCTTACGGTGATGGCGAGTGAGGCATGGAGGTTGATGTAGAAGCAATATCAGACGACAACTTCTCCTGTTAAATTATTACATATATATACATAAGTTGTAATAGAGATGACAGATCTTTTTCAATTGCAAAGGGTTATATAGATAAAAATATAAGAAGAAGATATATTATGTACCTGGATATCAAATTTATCAGAGTCACGCGTGGTCTGATCCTGTTCAAAGTCCTCGATCTGTTTCTTCCAGGAAGAACAAATTAGCATCGACTGTAAATACATCCTGCGTAAGAGCAACAACAACAATTAGTCCATTACCGTCGACAACAAAAGCTAACATTAGAGAGGTGATAACAAATGAATGTATACATTTTCGACAGAGGCTTGGGCTTGGCGTTGCTAGTCTTGTCAAGATAAAGACGAGTGGTCTGATCCTGATCAGAGTCGTCGAGCTTTTTCTTACAGGAAGAACAAACTCGCAGCGACTGTGAGGCCAACCTGCATAAGAGCAACAACAACAGCAATTAGTCCATTACCATCGACAACAAAAGCTAACATTAGAGAGGTGATAACAAATGAATGTATACGTTGATTTCGACAGAGGCTTGGGCTTGGTTTTGTCAAGATAAAGACGAGTAATCACCGGCCCTTTCTGTTATAAGTTGTATCAAAATGTTGGAAACAAATCAATCAATAAGACAAAAAAAAAAAAAAAAACAGAAATAAAGTCTCAATTCCGATATTACAAAAGGTACATATGAAAAGAAAGTCAATAACCTCGTTCAGCAAAGACTCAAGCCTGGCCGGATCAAAAGACTTAATCCAGGACTTACACATACCGAATCTCACGCATCGTTGCACGTAGGCAGCCATAGACCGACTCCAACAACGGCGTGAGTTTTTTCTCAACCCTCGCAAAGTAGGGCTATTCGGCATATGTCTCATAATTGCTCCAACAACTCTTTCGGGGTTGCGGGAAACCTTAGCTAGATATATGTATATATACAAGTAACTTGGGCCTAAAGCAAGGTTTATAAATCTTCAACTCCTGATCCGGCCCAAGCTACATTTTTCTCTGATATATCGTCCATTAAACCAATTAAACAAAATAGAATTGATTCATTCGTTCAATCCAAATTAAACCGGCTGGGCGAGAAACGACTGAACCGATTCGGTTTTTGATAATCGAAATACCTACAGTATATTCCTCTTTTGCTTTCTCTGATTGGATTAGTGATTATGCTTTGGAGTATGAATTTTGTTGTTGCTGTTGTTAGACTATTGCTGGATTCATAAATGTTCTGGTTACTTTGGTTATTCGAAATCTGTTACCTTTTCTTATTTTGTCTTTCTGTGTCAAATGTGATAGACATTGATCACTCACGTCAAGAGAATTTGCTCTGCATTCCAAACTAATTCTTGAGTCTGAGGGAAACTACTTCTTTAGTCTTCACTTTTTTCTTAACTTGGATAAGCAGTTTGTGGTTTTTCCATCAACCCAAGTTCTGTTTAGTGGTTACAAAGTACAAACTTGTACCTATCACTGGTCCGGCGTATCCTAGTCCAAACCCTCTTAAATTGACGTTTGAGACAACTAAAACATAATGCATCAACCAAACCTCGCTATAGGAAACTACAAGCCTTAACATGATTTGCTTCAAAGTAGTTTTCAATCCTTGATGTTAGCCATGCAGTGAGTTCAGGCTTGAAATATGGGTCAGTTTGAACCAATCCTTTAGCATCTCTTAAATTCGCAATTCGCAATTCGCAAAAGGGTTATGTAGATGTACATCGGTACCTCGTCATGGCTCATGAGTTGTTCGCTACTTCCTAATCTAATCGATACGTCGTCTACTTGCGTTTAATGATGTTAGTTTCTCTTTTGTTGTTGGAGAATTTCTCTTATGTGTATGATGTGATCAGGTTTATATTAAGTTTATCTATTTCGCTTTGTGCCTTTATTCTCTGATTAATTACCCAATTTGAATAAAGCATCAATCAAGAATTGCTTCTATAAGAAAATTAAAATAAAGTTATTGTTTAGTGGAGAATCCATAATACGAATTTATGTTCCATAAAACCTTTTGGTTTATTATATTAGTCTAGGGATTTTGTAATTCCACAACACTTAAGGTAGTTCAGAGTATGATTAAAACAATTCATCTTCGTAAAATTTACATAATTTTTTGAAGGTTTTTTATATAACTAAATCAGACATACAAGCCATGTATAAGGATTTTACAGATTTCGATAGATAAGATTTTTCATCGATCTATCTTTCTGAAGAATCAATTCGACAATGAGTTGTCGTTCCACGAGTGAGGAGTCCCAACTCTACGATAGTTTTCTTTTTAACCTCAAGTTATTTGTTTCTTCTTTTCTTTTTTGTTTGGTTCACAAAAAAGAATTTGAATTGATTTTTACTTCTACCACTTTATTACACGTCCATATATTTATAATAATATGCCTTTGTTTGTACAGTATGATCTATGATTAGTACCTTAGTGGTATTTAAATTTCATGGTTACTATAAAAATAAAAAATTAGCTTTATAGTCTATAATGAAAAAGGACAAAAAAAAACCCATCTTACGACAGTGAAATGACCTTTGAGCAATAATTTTATCCGTAGTTGTAATAGAATCAAAGTACGATGACACTGTTAATATAACAAAATTCCTTAATTCTCTTGGCCAATTAATTTTTTCTAGTGAAAATATTATTGAATTCATATGGACCAATGAGTAGTAAAAATAGCTCTTGAGTTAATTTATTCGCCGAGATATCTAGCTATGGAATTTTGTCGAATTTTGGACTTCAGTGGTTTTTGTTCTTAGTGCATGACTCAAAAGATTTTTAGGATTCGATATAGATTAATTAAAATGATCTCAATTATTGATTAAATGTAGCGATTTGGCTGATATATATAAATAAAAGTCTTGGTCATCTTGAAAACATGATGTGCCAATCTTGCTGAAGCAGTCAATAAAAATCTTAATATTGGCCTCTACTCATATTGTTGTTTTGTCTCGGGACTACATCTTGTCTACTCAAATTAAAAGTATTTTAGTAAAATGATAAAGGGTGAGGTTAGAATACGTAATTAGGAGTTGATGATGTCTATTGATTCTTTTAGGTTGCCCCTAATCTCTCTCAGACTCTCTCTCTCTCTCTCTCTCTCTCTCTCTTTCTCTCTCAGTCTAAGTTGGAAAAGCCCTATAAATAGATGTCTTGGTCGTCTTCTTTGTCTCCCACAACACTACAAAGTCTCTTTTTTCTCTGCAAGTTCACCTAAACCCAAAAATATAAATAGAAAGAGAAAGAAACTTAACCAAAAAACAAAACAAAAAAAGAATGGAGATCAATATGGGAGCTAGAGTGATAGAGCCATTGATCGTGGGGAGAGTGGTAGGAGATGTTCTTGATTTCTTCACTCCAACAACTAAGATGAATGTGAGTTATAACAAGAAGCAAGTCTCAAATGGCCATGAGCTCTTTCCTTCCTTTGTCTCCTCCAAGCCTAGGGTTGAGATTCATGGTGGTGATCTCAGATCCTTCTTCACCTTGGTATAATATATACAGATTGTGCCAAAACATATATATATCAAACTTTTCATTTCCTTTTTCTCTTACATGTTTTTCATTCTCTGAACTCTTTGGTGGAAAAAGAGATCAATAATATTATAATTTCTACCTTTAGTTTTTATTTTTTACTTTGCCATTTTGTGGAAACAGGTGATGATAGACCCAGATGTTCCAGGTCCTAGTGACCCCTTTCTAAAAGAACACCTGCACTGGTACGTTCAATTTTGTATTTGTTTTTTCTTTTAATTATTTTTGGCCCCATATGTATTGGTATTGCATACCAATATTTTCTTTACAACCCTGATTAATAAAGTTTGTTTTCTTGGTGTATACATTGATTTGCATTTAAACTTGACGATTTTCTAACTTTTCTTATGAAAATAATAGCATTAATTAATTTGTGTTGTTGTTGAACGTTTCATCAGGCTCGTTACAAACATTCCCGGTACAACAGATGCTACATTTGGTAAGGCCTCGTCATGATTAATTTTGTAATATTATAAAAACTTACATATTAAATTAAAAAAAATATATATATGTTTGATATAAAGTAATGCAAATACATTAGGAAAAGAAGTGGTGAGCTATGAGTTGCCAAGGCCAAGCATAGGGATACATAGGTTTGTGTTTGTTCTGTTCAAGCAGAAGCAAAGACGCGTTATCTTCCCAAACATCCCTTCTCGAGATCACTTCAACACTCGTAAATTTGCTGTCGAGTATGATCTCGGTCTCCCTGTCGCGGCTGTCTTCTTTAACGCACAAAGAGAAACCGCTGCTCGCAAACGCTAGTTTCATCACTATTTACTGTCCTTCATCATCAGATGCAAAAACAAAAAACTATGATGAAGATGAAGATCATTTGTAATCCACATGTTTTATTTATGTTCTGAATTTCCGTACGTTGAATAAAGACTTCCAAAGATGAGTTGAATCTGAATCTGATTTTATAAATTATAATATAATTGTTGTTTGATAAACATGTTTTTGTTTTATTCTTCAGCACCTTCATATACGATAAAAGACAATATAGAAGCCAAACAATTATTTCACACACCAACCTATTCCACTTTCATCATGTTAAAGATATAATTAAATGATCATCAGTATAAAAATATGGAATTAATTACCTTTAACGTTCATATTTTTATTCTTTTTATTGAATTACTCTATAAGACTATAACCAACTTTATAATTAAACTCGAGATATCAATTTAGTTTACGGAACGTGTTGATAACCTTACTAGCTATCACAATACAAACTTAATTTGCATATCATGTTTTCCTTGTTAGTACACAAGTAGTAATTAATAAAATCTAAGTTGTTGAATTAAGATTCTCCAGATACATGGCTGATAATGATAGGTCACATCATATGTAGTGAACCTTATTATATGATAAATGTGGAAATACGGAAAATAACGAAAAAAAAAAAAAACTCTTTTTTTTTTTTTTTTTTTTTCTGGTCAAAGTGACAAGACCTTGATGAGCCTCTTAAACAGGATCCTCTCTTCTTACTCGGCGATCATATTATCAATTCTATCTACTTCATGTGTTCATTGTTTGGTATTGTGACAAAAAAAAGTACTCTGCTCGGTTTGCTACAAGTTTTGCTAGTACTTGAGAAATTTACGTATAGTGATAATTAAATCAAATGATATAGTACTACAATTGATTTTTCTTTTCAGTATTGTCACACATTAGATTTATTGGTAATACCGACCGACATGTACTCCGCGGTGTTATCTGACATGCATATTCAAAATGCATAAAATTGAAATGAAATATCAAAGTGATCAGTCTTCAATAGAATACGTTAATAATTCTATAAAAACATATATTACAAACTCGTAATCATTAGTTTGCTTACAGCAAGCATCTCATATTTATATAATTTTCAAAAATCTTTTTTTTTTCTGAAAAATATGATAATTAATGGTTTACTAACAACCACAAATTTTAGCATTCTACATTCATTGTTTAAATTTATAAAAATAGATTAGCCATTTTGGGTATTTACACAGTAAAAAAAAAATGATAGAGCCATGTTTGAGAATTGCAAGTGGGAAAATACTACTTTCAACGGTAAACTCAAGAGAGGTCACGTGTCATTTAATTGTATGGTTTAGCTGCTAAGTACTGTTACAATTATCTATCCTCAACGCCGACCAAACTGTTCGTTACATTGTATATATATTCGCTATCAAATCAACAAATCTAGCAAAATACTAGTAGTATAACACAGCTTGTCTGTAGTTTCTTAGATTCGTATACAAAATAGTTTGTTTTCTCGTTTATAAACTTTAGCAAAGCTTCTAATCATCTTCGTTCCAGTTTAATGCTTCAAATTAAGGACTTGAAGTTGAAGTTAATTTAATTCACTTTTGGTTTCAATTGACTATTTTATATTTGCTTAACGAGGGTGAAAGCAGAATAGAATATTGGTACTCTTTGGTTTTATTGTGCATTCAAACTTAGAATTAACCAAAATTTGTCTTTCAATTTACCTAGAATGAACACTTTTATTTATAAAACAAAGGTGGTCAGTACGTTTATGAAATTCTATATCCTTTTATCCTAATATAATTAATTATCGTAGCTATAGTTTGGTAAGGATAAGTTTATTATCTACACATGCATATGTGTCATAACAAATCTAATGCAGTTATTGCTTCCAAGACTTTGAGTCCAAGATTCTTAATTATTATAGCCTGTAATTAATATGTTCGCAAAAAATAAAAACTGGAAAAAGGGTAAAATGGTGTATATACAGTGCACCTACGTAGGCAAATGGATTGACTACCAAATCAAGAGCATGCAAAGACCTTAGGATTTGCCTCAAAAAGACACTGTGAGTTTGTGAACTTAGAATATTATATAGAGTCTTTAGGGTTTCAGTAAGACATAATGTGTCTGTGTTGTGTTTAGCCACTTGTGGTTATTTTTCATAGCTTAATATTTTTCCAAAAGTATAAAACGACTGGCCCCTCGTTAGGTGTTATTACATATCAACACCTGCTCTGTTCCATTCCATCCCTGGTTTTACTCAAGACTTCATTTGCTCACATACTCATTGCCAAAATTGGTGTCAGTATTAGGGTATGAATCGTTGTTGAACTAACAGCATTATAGAGCGTTAGGGTTTCAGTAAGACATAATAATGTGCATGTGTTGTGTTTAGCTACTTATAGTTGTTTCCATGCCTAAGTATTTTTCCAAAAGTGACACGTACACTTTGTTTTTAATAGTAACTATGTTTTATTCGTAAAAATGAGTGGCCCTTGCAATTTACAAAATCAACACGTATTCTCTTCTGTTACATTCCTTGTGTCACTAAAAAAAATTGCTACATCTAAATTTTCTTATATAATTCTCCCAAATATAAAAAATGTTAGCTAACCTTTTTGTTCTTCGTTTCTTAAGACATATAAATACGTGTTTAAGAAAAATCGGTTCAAATGCATGATTAATGTCTCTCGTAAGTATATTGATTATAGTATCAGTATGCATTTACAATCTTTATTTAATTAGTACTTTACTACAATCTTTATTTAATTAGTACTATGTACCTTTTATCTTTCATTTTTTTACAGTACACATATAAATCACATCATTCAAATCACACATTAACAATCTATCTACCGGTACATAGATTTATAAGTACATTAACATCTTCTATTACACCGGTACGAAGCCGCAAACCTGGTGATTAACCATCAGTGGGAATTATTAGCCGCCATATACAAACTTGGGTTTAGAACGAATCTCGAGGACAAACCAACGTGCAATAACCTTGCGATTAAAAGAGTCTACCTGTCATGTTTCATGTAATAACAACAACAACAACAAGGCAAAAAAAACATACTAACCCTTGGACCGAATCCACTGGTCCTTCGTATAAACAAACACATGAAGATTCTAATTATCTTTTAAATATTTAGGGTTTTGTGGTGTGTAAAGGCTGTCTAAGTTTGATTGGTAAACGTGTCGAGGAGTCGTGCTAGGTCCCCTCTCATGTGTTAAGGTTTTTGATCCTCGTATAGTTTTGGTTTGTGCGCTTCATATATAGTTACAAGAAGTAAACAACATAAAGTGAAGAGGAAGTACATACAGACATACATTGATACATATCGACATATCGACAAAGTAAACTCAATGAGTTAGAAAGAAAGAGAAGTGAAATCAATTGTTTAAAAAGGAGAAACAAATTCAATTAAAAAATATTTTTATGATTAATGCATGATCTTGTATTGTTACAAGATACTTTTTTATAACAAGAAGTTCGTTATATGCATTCTTTTTTTTTTGGGAATCGGTGCTTATGCTAATCGCTAGACGCTAATCATTTTCGTTTTCTTTATCGTATCTTATGTTCTTGGTAGTTCTTTTAGTTATAGTTTTGGCCTTTATGTCTTGTTTATTTCCTCTATATATGTTGTTGCAATTAAAAAAAAGTATAAATCTTCACATTGTTACAAAAGCAAAAGATATATTATCTTCCACTGATAGGAGCTTCTTTCTGCGATTTTGTACTGCGAAAGCTGCAAAAACATGTGTCTCTTTCTCATTTCTCATTTATTTTTGGTTTTATTTTCCTTTTTTTTTAATATTTTGCAATTACATTTGTATATTATGCAAGCTGAGACTTTCTTCTGCAATATATATTTGCAACCAAAGTAAAAATATCACAAGAAAATTGTCTTTTGGGAGAGTCCAAAGGTTGAGGAAGAGAGTAGATAACAGCAGTCCACACAATTGCTGTTCACAATCTTGGTTCTGATTTACACAATGTAGCAGGAAGTTTCTAGTTGATACAGATTTGGGATCATTTTTGTATATGCCAAGTATATATTGTTTATTTCTAGTTTCTACCACTGTATTTCCTAGGCGGCGTGATCCACCACACATACTTGAGTACTTTTTGTCAACGTTACTGTTTCATCTTTTGACAAAAAAAAACTCATTTGAGTTTATCTTTATACATCAAAGAGTTTCAAAACATAAATACAAAGCTTACACAAGCTCGTGCATCTTATTTCTCTAAGATATAATCTTAAAGTAACTACAAAGAAGAAAAGTTTACTAGTATGCATCAAGTCTACCTCTATTTCTAACTAAACTCCAAGTCTCCAACTCTTACAATTAAGAATCATTTTACATTTGTTTCAGATAAACCCTTTACCTAAAGAATAGGCAACAGATATTGTCTCAGTTCCAGTAATATGCAGGGGATAAAAGTCGAAGAGCAACAACACCTTAGCACTGTAATAACCTCATTTAAACTGGCGGAGATCGATAAACAAATGCCCCGTGAGCCGAATCTTTAAGAAGAAATTAAATGTTCTCTACTGTTCGTCAATGAGAGGCTTTAACTTCTGTCTGAATTCAGGAATCTTTTGTGCTCCACTACCATCACTAGACCCATCAACTGATAATTCTTCAACTGCTAGAATTGGCATTATAACCAAAGATAACAAACCAGAAACAATTGTATCAAACTTATGTGATTCCGGACCCGATCTATAAACCCGATCTCTGTTACTGTTGGATATGGGCCTTGCCCCTTCCAAGTTAGAAGGCCTACAAAACAAGATGTGTCAATTAATGAAGCCTTTCACCCAAAAACAGGCCCAGCACCTTCGCAGGGGTAAAATCGTCATTCGCCAAGGAGACACAAAGAGCTTCTAGGTTTCTGCGCCACTATAAATACATTAAACAACTGTTTGGAACAGGGATGGGTCCAGAGGTTATTATCCACCAGACTGAGAATCGTGCCGCGCCCGAACTCGCCCTAGCCGGAGATTCCCGCCGCGACTCTCTCTCTCGTGATTTTGCACTTCTGT